TCCTTCTCACTCTTAACTGAGTTGAAAGCCATTCCTGCATTGAGTGAAACAAGTGAAATATTAGAATTTAGTACTACCTTAACGAGTTTCATTGTCATGTGGATGCGCGATCTCGTTCCGGATTTCGTTGCAAGTTTAGAATTCTACTTGGGTTTCATGGCTTCGTCCAACTTTCTACCAATCCTGCTAAGGAAGATTTCAATTAACAACGTAGAAACGGCAAATAGGGTGCTAATTTGGTTGCAGTTGCGGATAGCTTGTAGTTCTCTCTACACAACGACGTCATGCTGCTTGATCTTCATAGATTTTAAAAACTACATTTCGACAGGTAAACGCATCGAGAGCTTGCGCATTTCAATATGACGATGTTGAGGATGGTATACAGGGTTTCGGATGCTTGGATCTAATTTTAGTCGGAGTTAATAGTGCATTATCGACAGTCTAGCATGTCTTATAATGAACGAAGAAAAGCCGTACTCGTAGGCACGGTTTCGAAAATGGTTTAGCACTGGAACATCACAGAGGCGCCGTAACCAAACTCAGTGAAATATCGACAAAGTCCAGCATGCTTTCCTTCACTTCCATCGATTTGAAAAATACCATTCAGGGTGTTCCCACTTAGTCAGTGGAGATCACTCGTCAGCATTCAATGTTTCCTCTGCTAGAATTTAACCATTCTACACCAAAATTGCCAGCAACGTAAAAAGGTTTTTAACAAAATTAGTGAGAAAATTCGTATGTGATAATGTCAGAGCGGGAGCTACTGGTTCACTCGAAGTGAAAATAGATTCGCAAAGTCCATTGGTCTTCCAGATATCAGTCAGTCTAAATTAGTTTACAAAAACCTTGCTGTTTAGCCTCTCAGAAAGCTGTTGATGATTAAAACTCGACTCGAAAGCTTTCCATGGAGCAATGGCGTATAGTTGTTTACGAAATGCTACAAGACTCATCGGCAACTTTGCAGCTCTTCAACTAATGTTCTCTCAGTACTACAAAAAAGATGTGTTTTATAACGATGCATCAATCTAACTCCTTGTAAACGGATTCGTCAACTTCGGAAATCCAGTATGTTTAGCACTTAGTGGCTCTGCATCGCTCGCCACTCCTCATGCCTCATGCAACGGAATAACCCATTAACAAATCGTGATTGATATTATCAAAACACAACTGAAAATGAGTTATCCTCTGATCTTACACAAAACACCTTTCAAAGTGAACACCACTGATTGAAACAAAAGCCTCGATGAAACGTAGTTCGGCCTGGAAGCATAGGACTATGTCGTCAAATTAATCACTGATGTTCGCGGGCTCCGTTGTTACCTTAACACAATTCAGCGATTCAAAACGGAAATGACATTCCGATTATACCTCTACATACTGCAGGACAAAGTCCCAACTTTAAGTGTCTTAAGCTCTGAGGTTTCGACATACTCTTGTTATCGGAAATTATCGGTAGTTATCAAAACGCCGAAAATGTCGCGAATGTGTTAAATATCGCACAATACAGCGAAAAACGATTGTAAATGTCTTCCTTGTCTCTTGAATATTGTTTCAAGAAAGTGTTACGGCTGATCAGTAGCTTTCGACATCGTTTTGGTTCTGTTAGCACTGCGTGACCTGTATAACCGTCGTTTGTTAGGAGACACAGTGGCTTCTATACCAGTGTATGGCGTCTGCTTTCCTACACTTCTTGTAATCGATGCATAGCTTATTAAACATAGGCGTTGTAGAGGTGTAGGCCATGGAAGGCTCTTATGTTGCTGTACTTCGCGCTTGAAGGTCCATGAAAAACTGTTCTCGAATGAGTTCATTGGTTGGCAAATTGACTGTCTATTGACCGCTATTTCAATTTTAATCGCTACAATGAATCACAGTTATCGTATGTAATATTCGGGTAAAAAAGCTATAGAGCTATAGTCTCAAAACAAGCTGTAAAACACTTTTAATTGTTGAAGAACAGTGGACCGTAGTAACACATAGTAAATTGCGTCGTAAACCGCATTCACATCCAAAGAACGATAGAGCAAAATCTCTTCTATAATGCTGCGAGCGATGTTCCCAACCACTTGAGTCATCTGATTATCCAAATATTATCACCTGTTTTCACCAAGACAGCAGATAAACAGAGACATGAAATTGGACACATCGTCTCACCTCCAAAATTTGGCGCCAACAGCACCACAATTAGAACATAAATTCTGTTTACTCAAACGCGATGAGTGATAAAGAATCAATCAGACGCCTTTTTCATTTCCTTTCAATGATCTTTACAGCGTTAGGAAGTCAGCATTTTATAAAGAAAACTTGTTTGATTGACAAAATTTCTCCACTATTAACTTTCAGGACCAAATAATATCAGTGCCAGCACTTCGTTAGTGCTTCTGATTTTTACTCTTGGCGCTAACATTTTGAATACTTGAAATGATTCATAATAATTTGTGCACACTGAGTTTCAATGGTGGTTCAATTTTTCGAGTTGTTTCTCATGTTGCTGTTATACTGTAAATGATATTGCTGTGTTTTTCATCGTTTCCTCAAAAGCCTCAATTGCCTTGCTTCCGAAATTCCTCCTGGTTTTCACTGAACGTTACCACAGAATCGTTTCGAATTCGCTAAATCTCATTCTTTCCCTTCTAATTTACCGTATTTGATCGTTGTAAAAAAAACAGCATCCCAACAGCCCCGCTCTCATGTTAACATTTACGCGACGATGTGACCTCTATGTGACTCATAAGATGTAAAAAAAACAGTGACCACTTTCAACTCCGAACCAGTGTATCTAAAATCTAATTAGATTTTGTTAGTTGAAACAAAAACTAGAATCTGCAGATCCATGCCTATAAGATACACTGCATCTATTCTAGCAAAATAAGTCTGATTTTTATGGGCCTGCGAAACACACCCTTTTCACCTCATGGTGAAACAGTTCGGAAAAATTTTGAACTTGGAAGCGCTCGAACAAGCGTTGCTCCCCAATGTTTCATTCATGTCTGCAGATACTTCTTTTGCGTCAGAACTTTCTAACAATTATTTTTTATCAAGTTTTCAAAAGGTTTGAATCCCATATATATTCAATTTTGGGAGCACACCGTATAAAACTCATTCATGCGTTTGGTACGATGAGAAAAGTCTCTTCTCTAGTTCTATGAAGTTCCAGAAAAAATAATAAAAAAAATAAAAAGTAAACATTGTGATTTCAACTATAGCCTCAGCTTAACTGGGTTCAACGCCGATGTGGACTTCCCAGATCAAACCCGTTGTCGGGTGATTGCTGATGGCAGTGATCGATAGAACTACCTGAGAGACAGGCGAAGCGAAGGACGCACGTGGTGTAGTGGTTAACAGTTTAGATCCCGGAAAGGATTATAGCGCGTTCGTTCCCCACCGCAGACACCTGCGGTCCGGAGTTTTGCAAACGTCTCAGCATCTTGTGGTTGTATTTCACATAATATCCTGCCGTAAAATTTGTTGTAGGCAGAAAACAAAAAGTAAACAATGGGATAGGCCAGTGTTATTTTATTGCCACCCGTACCTACAGCAGAGCTTCGGATTTTTGAATTTGATAGTAAATGTTAAGCGGTTGTTAACACACTTTAATGTGGGCAGGAATTATCGCTCAAGCATTCTGCTAAGCACTTTTTCATAAGAAATACGTGCTTTGCATAATTTGCAACTACGAAGACATCAACGACCGTTGTATCTTATCACTCAAAGTTCACGTTATGTAAGGCAAATAATTCTTGAAATCGTTTCAAGTAGAGGGTTCTGAATCGTGTCAGCTAGTTCCTTTATTCTTTATTTAGAAAGCTTTAGATCGATCAAAAGTGTAAGGATACAAAGTTAAGTAGTAAGCCAATTCCAGTCGACTGCGTTCAGACAGCGCTTCGCTCTTCGTAGTAAAACTACGGCTCCACCTATTGTTCAACTGTCGGCGAACATAGAATGCTATGATTTCATCTATTTCTAATGCTCTATTTTCTTTTCAGGCTTGTCGTTGGCCATCTGCGAAAATTAAACCTTACAAACCATGACTCGAATGTGTTTAGTACTATTACTCATGATATTTTCTATAACAACCACGTCAGCTGAAGAATGTAGAGTGAGTAAATTTAAGAATGTCCCTGCCAAAATCCCTAATACAGTCACTGACCAAGTGAACAGCTTACGTCTCTGCGGACATGACTTCCCGGTTGTCTTCTCACAGTTGGAAAAGAATTAACTTTTAAGTGAATTAAAAATTAAAATTATTTCTACTTCTGTTCAGCAAACACGAGGTGCTATTTTATTTCTTTATTTACGTACAAGCTGACGCTTCGGCGGATTTCGCCTTCCTCAGAGCCTGGAAAGGTCAAGTTGACAGCAACCTATCCGGCTAAACACCTTCATAACCAAACAGAGAAAACGCTAAACCAAGATTTCAATCACATTTAAACTAGCCCTGCACACTCACCGCTTTCTATGAGTCTTCCACTGAGTATGTCGTGTGAAGACCGACCGCACAAAATTCACATGGAAGCGTAATGTGCCCCTCCCATGAGAATAACAGGTTTATATATTGTCCAATATCACGAGTGATAATAAGGCATTCTTCCCTGCGGTTCATTTTCGGATTCCTGGAATTTATCCAGAATGCCTCTAGAGTTTATCGCGCTTGTGTTCTCCATTCTTGCGCGAGGATCGCAACCCTAACTTCAAAATCTTCTCCGTTATGTCTCTGCGTCCTATGCGTGCCTAGTGGAGTATTTGGCTTACGTTTGCTGACTAGGTGTTTTTTTATACGTACGCAGAGTGGTCTACCCGTTTCGCCAACATATTCGTCCCCGCACGCTTTACAAGAGATCAGATAGACTGTACCCGAACTCATGCAGTCACCGTCTCTACCATTGGATCAAATTATGCAATTCTGCGTTGCACAAAGACGGTCGTATGGGCGGTTACGAACTAGATGGCGTCCTAGATTACTCGGTGGTATTTCGATTATCGTTACCGAGTTCTCTAGAATGGTCCTTCTTAAACAGCGTTTTATAGCTGCACTTACTTTATTTGAAATGAGAGGCAGTATAAACGAGACCTTGTTGTCGTTAAAGTTATCGTTGGGGTACCTGTGGTTTCCTCTACACCTATCTGGAGCTACAGTTTCATAGCCATTAAAAATGGCTACTTGTCGCGCCAAGTTCAGGTACTCCTCTCTCTGCTGTCTTCCTTTACACACACTGGTAGCCGTTCGATACATGTTTCTCACAAGCGCCCTTTTTGTGTGAGAGGGGTGAGAGGAGTGGTAATGAACCAGGATGTTTTTACTACTTGGCTTTCGATACCACTTCGTAATGTAGCCGTTTTCTGTTAGGCTAATTTGCACGTTCAGAAATGGAAGCCAGTTTTCTTTTGGTTTCTCTCGGGTGAATTTAATTTACTCTGACTGTTCGTTCAACAACTCGAAACATCTGTCAATTTCTTCTTGTGTTGAACAAATGACCAAACAGTCATCTATATATCTACAGTAGAGTAACGGACCGAGGTCGATTACTGGCGCTTCCAAATTTAAAAACTTTGCGTACATTCGCGAACAAAGGTATTTAGAGTACCACATACGTTATCGTTTCGGCACGTCTCCTGCTGAAATCTAACAGAGAACTGAAGTCTAACAGAGAAATAGAAAATACTAGAAAATATTAGAAAATACGAAGAAAATACTTTGTCAAGTAAATTTATCCATAAAGTATTCGAATCTCAGATGTTATCAAATACGATTTCAAAAATAGACATTAGTGGGAGACAGGAAATAGAAGCCTTTAGCGTACAATGAAATTGCTCAACGTGTTCAGAACGAGCAGAAAGAAGAACGGCTGACAAGATATCCAGTTGTTTTGTTCAAATGGAACGAAGTGAAAGTGCCACTAACGGTATCGCTTTGGCTCGTTGGTGCCAGTATAGCTAAAATTAGTATGTTTTTTTCTCTTTTTACTTAAATCAACTTTTATTTCTTGCTGTGTTTGAGCACCTCAGCATTCATCTATTGCTGCTCTGTGTGTAGTTGTTTTCCTGTAAATAAGGTTCCTTCGAAGGTATCATGATTTCTTCTGAGGAAGGGATTTGCACTCACCTTTTGTGCACCTCCGAGAGTGCACCACAAAAAGCACGATGTAATGGTTTCAAGCAATCTGTGAAGAAAACCAGTGAAAACCTTATATAAGAGTTAAAAGGTGTTATGGGTATCCAGGCATTCGCGTAAAGCGCCTCTCTAATGCGTTGTATCGGGAGATAAATTATAATTTTTCTTTTTGAGTCTCGGCGCTTTGAATACTATGCATATTTGGAATATTTAAGCAGGAATGGGGATTCATCCACAATGACATGCGTAACTTTGCCACAAATGTAAATGACTTCGAACGCTCGCATACAAAGAGCTCTGTCCTGGCGAACTCGAAAAGCACTGTTTTTGAGATAAAAGCCAATTTTTTTCCTATATCATTTGCATTGCACAACAAATCGCCATCTTTGGTGGACGTCTAGAAGTCATTTTACTTAGTAGTTTGATCGGTGTTAAGCCGAAGACTAAAGCTCTATAGCAAATGAAACAGTGATGTAGGATGATGCGATGACAGCGACTACTCTAGGTGATTGCATCGTTCTCTTTTAGCCACAGTAGGTGAAATCATTTGCGGTGAACATTTGAAACGATTAGAGAACGGATTCTAATTAAGAGACGAAACAGACTGGTCTGCCAGAATATGAGCGAACTTAGAAGTTGGTCAGTACAGGGGTTAAGTTTTTAAAACCATAAGGGAAAGAAAGACCAAAAAAGCCTTTCGTGCTACTGATGTAGAAGGTGAAGCTTAAGTAAACCGGTCAAATCATAAGAAACGAAGATAAGAGAAAAGCTTTGGGAAGCCAAATGATCTCTGGAGTAAATGAGGGGCAGTTGCTGTGAAACAAGGTACACTGATATCGCTCATTCCATAATAAACCACATAGTAAAATTACTTTCGTTCATTCTTGTCCTGAAATCTTATGAAAATCATAATTGAGTAGTTTCACATTTCTCTAAATATAAAGACTGTTTTCATGCATTGGCTTTCTCTGTTACACACAGTTTGCTACTAATTTTCTATTTGTTTCAGTTTTTCACGCAATTCCTCATTTGACAGAAATGTTTCCCGATTCAGCGCTATTGATTATGATTGGTCTCATTATAGGGATCATTTTTAACATCATAGGTGTAGCAAAGGTACGTATTCGTTGTAGGCTGAAACGTGAATCCTCACCTTCAATTCCATATTCTACCTCTTCAGAATGATTTCTTCCTCGATAGTGAAGTCTTCATGCTGTATCTCCTTCCACCTCTGGTTTTCGATGCCGGTTAGATTTTTTTTTTGCTCTTTCAGCACAATAACATCCTCCTGCCCATTGCTTGTAACCCCATTCTTTAGTTAGGTAATCAAGTAGTTAACATCCGTGCAGATAAAAAGCATTGTGATTTTGCAAGGAATATTTTTGAACCCCGACACTAAGCAGTTCAGTTCGACACCCGTCTTTAGTTACCCATAATGGCACGATGAACTTAGGAAATGACAACATTAAAGGATTAGAGATAAGAAAGACGATTATCGTTGATCATTCCGTCACGGAATCGACTTCATGCATTGCAGAAGTAATTGAATGCATGTTTACAATTTAAAATGATTTTCAGAGTTCTGCCGATGAACCATTTAAGTACAGCACCAATTTTCCTACCCCTTATTGTTTGACGATTTGTGTACACGAGACGTAACATTGAACCAAAGGTCTTGTGTTTATTGCAAAGCACCTCTAACCACTACGCTATACAAGCATTATGAAACTGTAACACCTCATCATCAAAACAGAAAGAGTCAATTTTTGATATTAACCTATGAATTCCACAGATCTCCCTCGTATGAGGGGTCTCGAGCCGGTTAGTCGCGAGACTACGTGGCGCGTCCCCAGGTGGCGGATAGGGAGATAATCGCGGACCAAAAACGACCTTTGCTTCCTGGAGACGCGGGTGGATCCAGGGGATGGACTCCGTGTTTCAGCTGCGTCGATTTGGCTCATACTTTCTGTATTCGCTAGGCGTACTCATGCACGCATGTGTGGGTGCGTTCTCGCTTATGCGGTTTAGTATTCCATGAGTCAATTCGGCCAAAGACCTGCAATCAAGTTACAACGAAGTATATGGGAGGCGGTCAGGAGTCGCCTCCAACAAATAAGCTCCATGTCGACTCAGGGAGAGCCTGGCAAGCTACCCGTGAGTATACCCAGCCCCCATGTTCAGAGCCCAGCAAGCTATACGTGGGTATCAAAATGCTAAACACAGTAAAAGAAATGGGCCTCATTCCATTGACCTCGAAGGAGCCACCAATTTCGTAGCGTTGGGTAGGACGAGTACGGAGAGGCTGCTAAAATCCCAGGGCCAATGGAAACTGCCTGGACTATGGTGACGATCTGTACCTACAGCGCACGTACACTTGCATACGAGTCCACGATAGAAGACTTGCTCATGCAAGCAAGAAGGATAAGGTGCGACTTCATCGGCCTGGCCGAGACGAGACGACGCCAGCCTTTCAACGTCGTCAATGATGCCGGAAAAAGAACTGTTTCTTGGAACATGCGATAGTAGAGGAGTCGGCTGCGTCGGCGTTTACGGTTAAAAAGATGTTGATCAATACCGGCTTTGACAATCTTCGTCGTTTACACGCCGACTCATCCTCAATCTCAATGAAACACGCTCATTCAACATCTTCACGTTAGCGCTATGAAGGCTGAGAGTGCGAAAGTCACCAAGAGACGTCAGTCTCCAGAAACACTTGAGCCGATACGCTAGCGTGGCAATCGCGAACTAACGTCCGAACTTGCAATGCAGAAACAAACAATGCAGAAAGGCGATAAAAGAAGATCTTAGAGATAGAAGAGCAGCAGTAATGACCGATGCTGCAGAGGTTGGGAAAAGCATTCACAAAGCCCACCGAAGCTTCGCCAATTACAAGACCAAAATTATTGCTCGCCGGCGCGAACAGTTACAGCGTTCAGAAAGGCAATGGAAAAAATCATTCACGAATACTACTCGGATCTCTTCGATAGCCACGTCCACCTTCCGTCATATGAAATAAAGGCGGACGGATTGGTTGTAATACCGGTTCTCACTTCCGAAATCCGACATGCCACTTCATCGTTGAAAAATCGAACAGCACCAGGTCCGCACAGAATGAGACCAGAACACCTGAAGAACCCTCCTCCAGTTCTCGTAAACGCACTAGCTCGGCTCTTCACACGTTACCTGCCTGAATGCAAGGTCACTACTTAGTGGAACACCAGCCCGTGTCATTGTTCAAGAAGGATGACCTACACGATATCGCCAACTATCGCCCAATCTGCTTACTCTCTCTCCTCTACAAACTTTTCACTCGAATCATCCTAAACGGGATTGACAGAACACTGCACGAAAGACAGCCATGTGAGCAAGCAGGGTTTCGAAAAGCATTTAGTACGATGGCCCACATCCACACGATAACAAGGCTCATTGAAATATCACAAGAGTACAAAAGATCGCTCTGTCTCACTTTCATCGATATAAGGAAGGCCTTTGACTCAATTGAGATAGAAGCAGTCATGGAATTTCTTGATAGTCAAGGAATCCCTACTCGTTACGTAAAGGCTCCTGGTGAGCTGCATAAAAAATTAACAACAAAGATATCACCATTCTACAACGGTATTAACATTGACGTCAAAACAGGAGGTAGGCAAGGCGATATCACTTCAACAATGTTATTTACCGCTACCCTCCAGAACGTCATGCGAACATTAGAATGGGATAATATGGGAGTGAAAATCGAGGGTCGGCAGTTACATCGTCTTCGCTTTGCTGTTGATATCGTCCTTATAACACCAAACAGCCAAGCGGAACGTGGGCTTGCCGACTTTGATAAAGCCTGTGGAAGGATTGATCTTCGACGAAATCTCACAAAAACGATGTTCGTAAGGAACGGATTGGTTTCTTATGCCACATTCACGCTCAACGGAACGATTATCTCCGAATGCTCCAGTTATGTCTATCTAGGTCAGGAAGTCAATGCGATGAACGACTTAGCTCCTGAGCTGAGCAGAAGGAAACGAGCGGCTTGGGGAGCTTTCAAGGGCATCGAGGATGTAGTGAAAAGAACAAAGGACACCCGACTCCGTGCCCACCTTTATTCGAGTCAACGGTACTTCTTGCCCTAACGTACGCGTCAGGAACCTGGTCGCTGCGTAAGCAGGATGACAGATCACTCAGCGTTTTTGAACGCGCAATCGAAAGTACGATGCTAGGAGTATCGTTTCACACAATTAAGGGATAAGATCCGAAGCACCGCTCTGCGTCAACGATAAAAAACCAAAAATGCCGTTCTTTGCGCCAAACAGTCGAAGATAAAGTGGCTCGGACACGTAATGCGTATTAATGACAATCAATGGACAAGAGCAGTTAGTGACTGGATTCCTCGGGATGTCAAACGTGCTGCAGGAAGACTACAGACTCAATGACCAGAGTTTTTCGCGAACGCCTTAGAAAAATGATATGATGCTCCGACGCGCCCCGTAGGTGAACACAACCCACAGGGTTACTTTTGCACACGGCACTAAAAAATAGTAGGTGTATTGGCATCGTCCAGAGTTACTCGAGTATCAGTAGGATAACAGGTGATACAGGTGATAACCAAAAAATCCTATCTTAAAGAATTCATGTTGTGATCGATTCCTACCAGAATTTCTCTTTTTAAGCACCAGCAATTAAGCAAGACCTTTTATCTGATATGATAGATAGTTTGTTCGGAATATCATCTAAGATGAGTGGTCACCACGTTTTGTCGAATATCTCAGCATGGTTGTGGTTGTGTCTTACATCACGCTCTACCGTGAAAAGCTAAATTAGACAGAAATAAAGGATTAACATTATGTTAAATGTTCTTGCATTGAAAGCGCATAAATATCCAGTGGTACCCTAACAAGGAATTTTACGCATTTGATTTATTCAACAAATTTTAGTAGATTCGATCTTTTTCTCTTTTGCTCTGATTTTTACTAAGATGGAAAATGATAGTGATGATACGTAGAAATTTTCTGTATTCTGTATTTCGTAATGATCACCACTTTCTACTCATAAAGTTAAATGTTTCTATAAGCAGAAATCTGAAAAATACAGAAGGGCGTATACACAGACAGTACTTCATTTTCAGGATACTTCATGCCGGCACGGCAATTCTTCGATAACCTCGGTTCGATTCTCTGCTTTGCTATTATCGGCACAGCATTCAATATTGTCGCCATAGGTTTCCCATTTCATAATAATCATCGCTTTCCATTAGTTGACGGTCTAGGGCCGGCTAGCTCAATTATATTTAACAGATGAAATACTGATAATTCCGAGGCATCTGAACGCGGCTTTGAAAAATGAGAAAAATCCACAGCAGTGTCAGATGTGCAAGCGAAATTCCACAACAAATGGAGTGGTGAAAGAGCAATAACCCATAAAGACAATGAAAATTTAGCATTTTTGTCATTCTTTGCCATTGCTACATACTTTTAAAGCACCACAAAATCGCTCACAGCAATAAATGGTGCAGTTTAATGTTTTAGCTGTCTCTCTATGGGCAATATCTCTGACGGGTTTGTTCTCCGTCGAAACACCACTCATTCATTTGCTCTTATTCGGTTCCGTGGCGGCTGACGTGGACCCGGTCGCGGTCATCGTCATCTTTGAAGAATTGGGGGTTAGTAAAGCACAGAACCCATTTGGATCTTCTTGTAGAAAGTTCTCTTCTCCATTCATAGAAGTGATGCATGATTAACGAAAATAAGGCAGTTGAGAGCAAGGTGAAGAGGATAAGTTTCTTTGTTTTTTTTTTTCAAAAAAAAGGAGCCGTAGACATAACTCGGTCGAGAGACAAGGGCGCATAAAAAGCAGTTGTATCGGGCCAAATTCATTCAAACACATATAATTTCATTGAGCGAAAACGCCAACTACATTGTTTGATAGAAGTAGTTTGCCTCTTTGAAGGTCTTCTATCAATAAGCACGAACCGAAGCAAAAACGATGAGCGATTGATAGTGAGGTGTCGTAAATGCGACCGCTAATTTACTTAGCATGGCGTTGACAAACAGGTCTGCCATAGGTCGTGGAGGGAAATCCCTGTTGAGACTATACATGTGACTTTTTTGAGGAATTTCATTTGGTGGTTGTCTGCTTGATTTAATTCTTTTTCAATGAACACTTTTAATGGCTGACTCAAAGGCTGAGGGTGTGAAGGTGCCTAAGAATGATAAAAGAAACAGTAATAATTCCGAAGTTTTTAAGTGCGAAATACAGATCAGTGAAGAATCTACACCTTTACAAATCCTTATAACTTACACATGATTACGAGGTACCATATAGTCGTCAGGGAGAAGGTTTCATGTGTTTTAGGTCAACGACATTTTATTTATCAGTGTATTTGGCGAGTCACTTCTCAACGATGGTGTTTCTGTTGTAAGTTCATACATAAATACATCTGAAAATGCCCTAAAGAAAGGCAAAGGTATGATTTAAAATACTGTAATTGAATAGGACAAGAAATGGAGTTGAACAAAATAGAATCTAAAACTTTATTATTTTTGTGGACCCGGATGGTGTGGTGGTGAAGTGCGCTACTCCCCGGTAAGGACAATAGCGCGCGTTCGTTCCCACCGCATACACCTCTGGTCGGAAGTTTTGCAAATATCAGCATTATATACGAGTTATATTTATTATTTTTATTATAAAGCTCGACAATATAAACAAGTGTTTATTGCTTGACCACCGAGGTTTAGTGACGGTCGGCTTCAAAATTAATGTTATTATTATTATTATTATCATTAGTATCGTGATTATCATTATTGTTATTGTTCTTTATTATTGTCGTTATCACCATTATAATTGTCATTACTATTACCATTATTAACTATTACATGACCCGTCATCACGTCTACTGTGAGGATTCCAGCAGTTGTAGTACTCGATTCACTTTCCTCGCATTCATCGTCCACAAAGGTCTTCGAAGAGTTCACGTGCTGTTTCGGCTCCTACCTGGAGGTTGCGTCTTCCTTATGAGCGTCGTATATTGTTGGTGGAGTCGATTTTCTTTGAAGTCTTGGAGAAAGATGAGCTAAAGCGTTCCCACGTGGGAATGAGTTGAAGTATTTCGGAGGGTATCGAACCAGCACCTTCCCAATAAACTGCACCACTAACCTCCACACTTTCTTTGCTTACTTTCCATTTCTTTTACCTTTGCTTATCGCTTTGGCTTCACCCTTTATCGAATTACGGTGCATAGCCAGAGGCTCATCTTCACGAGTTACACATAGGCTACTGGCATTGTCAACGTAAAACCAATCTACGACAGAGAAAATTTGAGTCAGAACCAGGAATCCTTGCCGTTCTAGGGAAAAACTAGAAGTAATGTAGCAAAATTCTCCGCAATCCATCCCATTTTCTCCTGCTAGCTACACCTTTGATGACAACTTTGGAAGGGACGGGTTCTTGGAACGCTTGAAAAAAATCTCACTTATTAAATGACATGCTAACGATAGGATATTGCACTAAGGTTTACCTTATTTCTTGTGAACATAATCTATTATGGTCATCATGTAAAGTGCCTGATTTTTTACCCTAACGGTGCCATCAGCAATCACTCGCCAAGGGGAGCGATCTGGTGGGCACAAATTGGCATTGAACGCAGTTGAGCTGAAGCTGCTGTCGAAATCACAGTGTTTAACTTTTTATTTACTGGCTATTACTATTACTTACTGCAACATCGGCTTAATTGGGTTCGATGCCGATTTGTACTTCACAGATTATTCTCGGCGACGCGTGATCATTTATAAAGCTGTTAGGGTAAAAACCAGCTGAAAGCAGGCAAACTAAGAGCCTCTGTGGAGCAATGGCTAACACGTGAGCGCCGGAAAGTGTAATTGCAAATTCGAAGCTGATTCCAAATTCTGCCAACATCTCAGCATCGCTGTGGTTGTGTTTAAGGCAATAGATAAAGACTCAGACATACTGGTTTTGTCTGATTTTTCTTCTTTTTATAAAGAATCTCACCTGTGAATTAGAGGGGAATTAAGTCTATACTGTACACTGTTCACTGTCCTACTAATAAAGAGTTCCTCCACCCTCGGATTCATGCAATCTTTTCACATTCAGGTTTTCTATCGTATGTTCTCATCGTTCACTGAAATCGGAGCTGAAAATCTCATTGCGATGGATTACATGAATGGAATCATATCTTTTTTGATCGTCTGTTTTGGTGGAATCGGTATTGGCCTACTAGTAGCACTTTGTGCCAGCTTCATTACGAAGTCAGTTTTTACAATACATCAAATTGTTTAAGGAGAAACTAAAAGTTTCTAGAATTAAGTTATATTAAGCTAGTTCAGCCTTCTTTCGTTTACGTTTCTACGCACCATAGACTAAGTAGGGAATTGCACAAATTAGTTTAACTCAACACAAACACATTAAAGCAATAGAATGAATACAGAATCAATGAGAACATTATGGCATCCTACCCAGCAATAAGTCGAAACTTTACAATCAAGCGACTTGAGAGTACACCATAGGAAATGTAACGGCTCACAACGCAAGGATGTAAAAAGCGTTCGCGAAAGTGCACAAGAGCGATGAACCGTCTGTAAAGTACCTCAAACTTGGGTAATTAAACCTTTACTACTATGCACATGTCATTTACACAGCAACACAATGCGATCCACAATGTCTGTTTAATAAACTGCGAATGAGGTGGCTCAGTGGGTTTGTTACCTAATAAAATACAATACAATAGTACACACACCAATGTAACGGCTCACAACGCAAAGATGTAAAAAGCCTTCGCGAGAGTGCGCAAGAGCGATGAACCGTTTGTGAGGCACCTGTGAGCAATGAAAGTATTCAACTTATGTTAACACACACAACGTAATCACACAAGAACCAACTGTCAACGATGCAAGGTCTAAGGATTACACGTACTATCATTGTGACCTAAGCAAATAAATTCGCAAGGTAGGATGAAACGGGAGGAAATTAATGACGGACCTGGCGACGGCGATCCCGAAAACGTCGTCGGACCAAATGACGGTGCTATTGGGCATGGCTACGTCCAACCGAGCAGTGGGCCCTATGGCCAGAATGGGATATGGACGCAGAGGGCGCGCGCGGCGTTGCAGCTACGCGGTCTCCATCAATCCCCTGACTGTATTAGTTAGTTAGTTACTGAGCCAACCAAGTCTTCGAACTCTCTGGAGTCGGTAAATTGCTACCGTACTCATCTGCAAGGCTTACTAGTATCCGCGATCGCGGGCGACTATCTATGGTTAGGACCTATGAATTCTCAACTAAAACTATACCAGTATTCCACAGAGAATCAGGTCGACCCACATTTAACGACACTTGTAAAGAAGCCAAAATCCTTGAGTGGGAACTCACTCTGTGTACGAATCCAAACATTTGAATATATGACAGAAGCAAAAGATCTAAACGAAAGAAAGTTGTATTCGGATATTCGGATCCGTAGCATAAATGAAATCGTAAAATAAGCAATGAATCTGGAAAGACTGCGCTTGATGTTCTTATCAAGAGGAAGATAGCCATGAATATATCGAGGATACGCTCCAGAAGAATCTCTCGACAATGTCACAACGCGCGGACTGGAATGTAGCGGGCGGCAGGAAAGCATGAAAAGCGCAAAATGTTGCAGTTTATTGAATTCTAGTGAAGTCACTGCACAAGAATAGAGTAACGTAAGCAGCCACTACTCGACTACTTTTCTAAAGTTGCTCTACAAACCAGCTCTAGTCGTAATTGGAAGAGTAATATAGCACATGTAAATGTGAACAGTCCTGTTGATGTTGGTACAGATATTGTTCAGGTACACTAACCAAGCAGATGTTATTGTGCTCAACCCGGTTTTCGTGATTGTTCTTCCATTTTGTGCCTATTTGATGGCTGAGATGTTCGGTCTATCCAGTATAATGGCGTGAGTCCAAACATCTTTTCAGCATCGAAGATTTTGCTTCATAAATCTGTTTTTGGTTGGTAAAACGTCTTTGACAATGTGGCATTCAGTGTCGTCTTCTGTGGAGCCGCCATCAAACAGTACGTGAAAGCGAACGTACCGGAACAAGCTCTACTCTCCATTAACTATTTCATAAAGGTACTCTTCCTCGAACACTCACAATACTGAAACATGCACAGTTGCTACCAAAAAGTTATGCATTCTACTCCAGTAGAACGTGTTTAGTAATGTGAACAAAATGTGGTGGAATAATGATAAAAAACGGTCCAATGCACCTAGCTTTACCTTCTATGCGGTATTAACAAGAAACACTACACTCTACCCATCTGTGACAGTCTAGAACTTTTAGCACAAGCATTTACACATTTAGGAAAGGCATACAGAACCAGAAAAGTCTGTTTAGGTATGTAGAATACTCATGTGAGAGCTATTCTTTTTCAAATGGAACCTTAACACTGAGGTAGAGTCAAAATACACTGTCATCCAATTCAGTCTCCTTAATATTTATCACACCTTCTCCAATCTGTTGGTCGCAACGTGCCGACGTTGAGAAGAATGCGATAACAGGATAAGATAGACAACGATGCATAGATGCGGTTTACATTTGCAGAAATTCATTAGTGTATACAGATTCTAGTCCTTAATAATTTCTAATTTCTCTCAGGGAAGCGCGTAGCGCAGTAGTTATAGCTGCCCTGCAATACAAAAGCAGTTGGTTCGACAACGAGACGCGGCTTACCAAGACCTCCTTCCCTCTGTGGTCGGCAATTTGGTAGCAGACTTGTCTGGAGAATAACAAATACTTGCTTGACACATAACCGCGGATTTCCTCACAAGGGGATCTCATGCCGGTTATTTGCGAGGCAATGTGGCGCGTCCCTAGACGCCGGATAGAGCGTTAATAGCTGACGAAAAGCGACCGATACTTTGCTGAGACGCACATGGATCCAAGGGTGGACTCCTTGTTTCTCCTGCGCTGATTTGGCACATACTTTCTGTATTTACGTGGACGTATTCATGGATGCCTTCGACGGTGTGTTCTCCATTATGCGGGATGTATTCCACGAGTCAGTTCGGCCCAAGCCTGCAACCATGCCGTTAGGAGTCACCTGCAACAAATAAGCTCCATCTATTCACTGGAATAGACTGATAAGTTACCAGTGAGTATACCCAGCTCCCATATTCGGAGCTCAGCAAGCTATACGTTGGTATCAGAAGGCTAAACGCAGTAAAATAAATGGACCTCATTCCCCTGACCAGGCAAGAGCCTCCGATTCTTCTTTCTAATGAGTGGATCCATTCCATCACACAGGCATCCTGTCCCTTCGACCAGTAAACTTCTAGGAACCAGATTATTGAAATCCAACTATGAACGCATAACTGTTGTCATGACTTCCTGCTATGCATATTACTAATGAGTTAAATACTCCTTCCGCCAAAAAGAAAAAAATTAGGAATTAAAACAAATTTGTGTTAATAAAAATCCAGCAATTCAGGTGCTATCGATGAGCTCGGAGACCGTGATTTTTGTGTTTCTCGGTCTCTCCACGGTGTCATCCGACCACCATTGGGATACACCATTCATAGTGTTGACCACAGTGTTCTGTCTCATATATCGAACTCTTGGGGTTGTTGTGATGTGCTTCGTACTTAATAAATATCGTCTGAACAAATTCTCCAAGGTTCGTGTTTGTATGCCTTATAGTTTACTCAATTCTTTCATTTCTGCATAATTCAACGCTTTTTAAAATATGAGTTCACCACTGTTATTTGTTTTGATTCATTGGATGAATAGTGATTCCCTATGTATTTCATGGAGGAGAAGATAGAAAGGCAATCAAAATGGATTAGGATGTCCTTCTTTAGCATCCTGACGACATACACTTTTTATTTTCCTGCGACATGAGATAGAAGAAATGCCCTTCGGAAAATGCGAAGGTTGTTGCTGAACAATGTGTCCACCCGAGTACGAGCATGGTTGTCCATAAATTTTTATGCGGGCATGAAAAATAAATAAATAGATGTGAGGGCAATGAAATTTTCTCGTATTTTCTTGGAACTACAAGAGAAACGTACATACTGAGGAAACACTGTTCGACTTACGCTTAGTAAGAATTATTTTTAGGTCGACCAATTCATACTAGCTTACGGTGGGCTCCGTGGCGCTATTGCTTACGGTTTAGTTGTGGCCTTACCAAATATTCCTGCTAAGAATATGTTCGTCACCAGCTGCATTGTCGTTATCTATTTCACTGTTTTCTTGCAGGTATGTCTCCCATTTAGATTAAAGTAAGATATTCAGTACATCGTAGAGGCCCAGGGTATTATTCTCAAGCCAATGGCGGAACTTCTACAAGTCGAGAGGAAGAGCTTACATAAAAAGAACATGACTGAGTACATATATCAAGAGGTACGACCAAGATAGAGTTCTAATTTTTCTTTACTCACCGGCAAAAACCGTTTAAATTAAAATCGACATATTAATTGACGTTTGATCTTCAGCTCATTGACTACACTATGTCAGGAATGGAGGACATTGCCGGATTTAAAGGACATCATTGGATCAGAGACACGTGAGTTCCTTTGCTTTTTGTGCAAACGTCTTCAGGAATAATGTCATAGCACAGAGCAAACATAGCTTTAAATGAACGAAAGCACACTCGAAATTTTGTGAACGGCGGATGGCAATTAAAGCACAAAAGTTTGCGTTCTCCTTGTAGATTTAAACAATATCGTGACTTGTGTCTAAGAAATCTCTCAAAGAAAAAGCAACAAACAAAATAATCGATGGCAACACCTACGCCAAAATCCACGGAGCCCGTTCTCTGAATGATCTCCAATCGGTTAGGCTTGAGACTACGCGGCACGTTCTCAGCGTCCAGTAGGAGGCTAAATACGGACCAAAAGCGACCTTCCGCTTCCCGGGGACGCAGAGGGATCCAATGGCAGTAGTAAAGGCTGAAGCTGATAAGGTAAGAAACAGCACTCGCAAAGTTCACCAAAACTTCACCTAGACGATCGCACCGAAGCTCGGACGAAACAGTGACTGCTTCGAAAAAAGCAATGAAGAGAATCATCCACGATTATTATCCTAGCATCTTCAACAGGTTATCCTTCTGTCTTCATCTAAAATGAAAAGATGGAAATGTCATCCAATAGGTTCTCTATTCGTAGATGGTATTTCATTAGTGAAGAATCGTACAACACCTTGTCTAGACAGGAGAAAACCGGAACAACCGAAGAGCTCTCCAACAGTCCTCGTAAATGCAACCTCGGCTATTCACATGCTACTTGTCGGAACGCAAGGTAGTTAAGAAATGGAAGCGCAGTAAGGCTGCGTTTCTGAACAAGAATTGAGGCCTTCACGAGAACTATGGTCCAATTTGCCTGCTGCTTCTTGTTTATAAACTTTTCACTTGAGTCATCCTCAACAGGATTGATATAATACTGGGCAAAAGAGATCCATATGAGCAAGAAGTGTATCCAATGCTCCGAAGAGTACTCAGTGCGACAGACAACATCCATACGATACCAAAACTCATGAAAGAATCGCGAGAACAGAAGAAACGGCTTTGTCTAATGTTCATCAACTTAAAGAAGGATTCCCACCCAGTTGAAATACAGGTGGTAATAGAAGCTCTAAAGAGTCGGAGTATCATTAGTAAGTACATGAAGATCGTTTGCCAGCCATAAGAAATTTTACAATCAAAATATCAACACTTTTCTAGACTACCGAGCTGACACGAGGTTGGTATAAAAAATATTTATTCGGTTAACTTTCCAGCGCCTTTGCCCTCTTTGAGCTGCGTTGATCCAACTCGATGGTCCACAGCTGGTCGTTGTCGCATGGAATCGAATTCGCTGGAGTGGAGCATACTCATATGAAGAACACTCGGCAGCATCATTTTAGACAAGATGGCTGTTGATCTATTACTCAACCCTACTCCGTCAAAATTATTTACAGGAACCCTTCTTTAAGATGGTTATGAGAAAATTCGAAAAGGACAACATAGATGTAAAAATCAATGGTCGTCAACCACACCATCATCACTTTCCCGATCAAATCGTTATTAGAACACTAAGCATTAAGCAGGCGGAACTAATGCTTGCCGACTCTGACAACGTTTGTAGAAAGATTGGTCTTCGACTAAATCTCACAAAAACGATGGTCAAGAGGAACGGGTTGGTAAGTTACCACTGCCCCACTTATGCCTCATTCACGGTCAATGGAATGAATATCTACAGATATTCCAGTTGCAGTTATCTAGATCGGGAAGTCAACATGATGAACGACTTAGCTCCAGAGTTGAGCAGGAAGAAACGAGCTGCTTAGGAAGCTTTTAGGAACACGATGATGCAGTGAGGAGGACAAGGAACACTCAATTCCGTGCCCACTTCTTCGACTACGTGATTCTTGCTGCGCAAACGTATGCGTCGGAAGCCTGCAATCTACTCGAGCACGATGAAGGTTTGCTCAACGTTATCGAACGCGAAGTTGAGATGCCTGTGCTGATGTCCCCGTATCAGTGAGAGAGGTAGCCGAAGTACCAACATGCACCAACAACTGAAGGTCAGAGAATGGCAGGTCGGGACTATCGATCCGTTTCTGGGGTTATGGGTCTTATTACAACGTTCTTATGTGTTGTTCGCTTAAATAAATGGTTAAAGAATAAATAACTATTGGAGAAAAACTGTGAGTGAATAGCACACGTATAGAAATACAAGTAAATATGGTCTACAGACTTGGCCATTATTGATGCAAGTACCGTTGACTCAAACTAAGGATAACTATGTAATTTTCTTCGTAGTAATTTCACATTTAGAATCAGATTGCATTAAAACATAAGTGGCATTAAAAAGGTCGTAAGAGTCCAATAATGGGACAATTTCGCTAGTTAGAAAGTCTTGTACACTCTAGAATAGATTTTTTTAGGCTTAGTAGAAGCTTGGTTCACTTGAAATTACGTAAAAGTCGCCTGGTTTCCAGAAATGAAATACAGTAATTTATCTCTGAAAGCGAAGCGAAACAATTTTCATAGTCAGTTGTCACTTAGTTACGACTAAACTAACTGCGTACGAGAAATAAGCACACGTTTGACTCGTCAATAGCTAAACTATGAAAAACCTTCACACTAAAATGTGAACACTTCAAGCTATAAACTCAAACCGGGGATATATCGACTGCAGAGGCAGAACACAAGCATGTTGATATTCACCGCTTATAGGTTTCAGTACGTAAACAACAATTACCTAAAACCTATTCTTGTAAACCGAAGAAGCATGAAGAGAATGGATAACACAAAAATTGTACGAATGTTCGAACGACTACAACTGCAAGATGCTAAGGATCTCGTCAAAGTAAGTTAGATGAATATAAACAGATATGTGAAGTCTCATCTCGACCATCTCTTTCATTTCCAATAAAACCTACTAGGTGAGCTTTAAGATCGATAATTATTATGCCTTTCAGGGACAGGGTGATGTTTCCAAAAATCAAATATTCGTGCAGGCTTTGATTGATCATACTCGGAGTAGAAGCAGCACTGTCAGGTACACATATTATATATCCATTATGGACACTAGATTCTTAACAAACAGGAATCTAACTTCTCGATGTATTAACGACCTCAATATTAGAAAAACCTAGAGAGTCGACCACACTAACCAATCTGGTATTTATAAATTTGGTAGGAGATATTAGTTTTCAAAAAGGCGGCTTGGCTTTCTCGATGTGATAGTACAGTCACGGAGTTCAACACGAGCAGAAGTTCATGATATATTCCCGTTATCATTATTTCTAATCAGTAAGCCATTTTAACAGTGAGATAAACGAGTGCCCGATGAGGGATGATTCATTGATACAAAGGATAAAGGATAAAGCTTTCGGCGTTGATCAATCCCTGAGGGTTGCACCATGCATTCGACCTTATTAAGTATCGTTGGAGGTGATTGAATGCATATCTGGCCTTTACAATGACTCGCGGTAGCCTACCGATGTATCGAGCCAGTGCTGCCATCCTCCCAGACAAGTCTGGTACCAATGTGGCGAACCCGGAGAGATGGAATGCTTGGTGGGCCATGGGCGCGGGGATAGATTACACGTGTGTCGCAGTGGCGACTTCATTGATCGTCAGTCGTCTCTTATTGATCAGTCTGGCCTGCTATCCATTTCGTTGTTGACAAAATGGAACTTCAGGCTTTCAAACCTCTTTCCTGTCATAATATAGATTGCAGTGAGATGGTACGCAACAGCAGGATAGGAATTAATAACTCTTTTGCAGTGGCTGCTTGAAGTTTCCAATAACTCCCCCATCCTAACCCATAATGTATATTGTCTATACCACAACACATCCTTCTGTGGTTCATATGTTGGCCTCGAACACAATAAACCGGCAAATGTCAGTCATAAAATACTCGTAGTAATGAGCCGTTTCTTAAATGATTAAGAAAACACAAGATTAGCAATAAGTTTGATCCGAGTCGCTGACCCAGGAGTGGTCTTCCTTGCAATGTTCGTTATCGCATCGAATGAAAACAATTAAGATGGTGCACCGCTCGAAGAACTCGATTCATAGTGATTTTTTGGCACGAAAGAAAAGAATTTTACAAGTTTGTGACCGAGGATCTAATGATTACGCGGAATCACGTCTCTTTCGTTCACACCTCCCTTCATCGTAACCTTCATCAGCATCATCGTATTCATCCTGAATTCACTTACTCCCAACATTTCGAGGTTCAATGTCGATCATTCCTTTACGAATATGCTGTGCATTCGATTTCATCAAGCATCTTAAAAATGATAGAATTCATGTTCTTCGTATGCAGTAGTGGACCTACCGATGGATCAAATCTATGCTTTACCCTCTCAGACAAGATCAAACCCAATTTGCCGACTCTGGAGGGTTAAATTGCCTAGTATTTTTGAAATTGAGTGTCATTTAACCCCGGCATTAATGATCAATAGCTCCTTGGAGTATTAAACTAACACGAGGTTCAGAAACATTTATCCGGCTAACTTTAACCTCGTGTTGCACTACTTAGTTTTCGCCGGAGTGGGATAGAACTAACAATCAATCCAGAGTGTACTGTAGCGTAGTTTTAGCCACTGCGCTACACCCACCCGTAAATTGAGGGCGTTTCTTACACGACTCAACATCGCACATTGTGCTGATCCTCGTACTCGATTTTCGATTCCATTTGATTTTTCTCCCACCCATCAACTCTTCGAATTTTGCGGAAAACTTTGATTACTGCTTGTGGATTTTTGGTCTTCTATAAGTGTTGTTGAATATGGAATTAAGCCAATCCTCCCTGGAATCCCCGCATGACCCCGATGTTCGGGTGGTATTCGGGAGTCGGCAGGTTTTCCATCACAGCCATTCGCCAGTTTCTTGTGGATTCGAGGAAGATAGCTGATCCCAACCAAGTTTGGTACCAATTTGTTGACCTCGCAGGAGTGGGAGGTACTGTGGCGCTGAGCTGCTATTGTTGCCAAGGTCAAACTAGTATCTCGTTCGCACTGAACGACCTCACCACAACAGCTCTACCCACTCCTAGGTTAACAGTTGTGATGTTTAAATAACGAAGACAATGCAGTATTTGATCGAGACGATGGCCATAGAAGTAACTATCTGAAGTGAGTGTCAGGTAATTTAGAGTGTGTTCTGAGTCTAAGGATAATGGTTTAATGATCGAGCCACCATGCAGACATATTTTGAAACAACCGTTTGTGCCATTCTCTAATTATCATTGCTAAAAAACAACACATCAAAATCGATGTGAGTCCACAAGGACCATACTTACCGGAGCATCTTGGGCGATCAGTCTTATATTATCTACCTTCTTTTTTAGTTGTTAAGAAAACAACGTCTGGCATATGTATTAAGAAGACTCTTGTAGCTCAGTGCATATACTTCCTCTATAGTACACGCACCAACGACTCTTGGTTAAACCCAGTATCCAGGGTTAATCAACCCTTCGACCATCTCTCTGGGATGACTAAACTGATAACAGATGTCTTTGGGATAGTAAAAGCACTGACGCTATGAATCGATAAGCCTTTGTTTACACCAAAAATGCATTCAATCATCATAACGATGCTTGTTAAAGTCAAATCCATGGAGCATCCCTCAGTAGTTGATCAACGCCGAATGTCTAAACTTTTTAATAACGAAATGAGTAGGCAAGTGGCGCAATGATAGTGATGCTACCCATCGCCAGAGCGCTGCTAGTTCAGCCCAGCTACGCGTTCACCAAGTTTCTCCTTCATCAGGGTTCGGGAAATTGATAAAAGATCTGTCGGCCAACATTTCACACTCTGCAATCCAAGCAGGAACGCTCCAGTTGGGCAATCCCGTACTCCAAGAAGAATCAGCTCCACCAGCATTAAATAACATTCATAAAAAAGACTAATTCCTTAAGCAGTAGCTGAACTCATATGCGAAATGTTCGAGGACCTTCGTAGATGATAGATGCGAGGAAACGAATCGAATGAAAGAAGTGTAGGGACTCGCCAAGTGGATGTGGAACTGGGTCATGTAAAATGATATAATGAATGAATAATAGGGAATGTTGTCACTTGTTGACGAAGTTCTCCAGGTTCTGTCAATCTTATTTCACGTCGTAACGTTCAGTATGAGATAAGCAATTTATGACAAAAGAGGGAGAAAAATTTGAATGTCTCTCTGTTGGCAAACCGCGTCACCGACAAAGTAATGTATGACTGAAGGTAGTAGGCTCCACGTTAAATCGCTAAGCGATCTTGTTCGTAACTCGATAGAGACATATGATTTATTTGGATTTTAGCGATTTTTTCACCGGTTTATGACACTGCGTCAAGTCACATCCTAAGTAGAGGATATCTTAAGAGATGCTTCACCTGCTTTCACGGCAAGCGATGTGATACGACTGAGAGACCACGGAATCACTATCTATGACCCGCCGGTTGCCTCTTTACATCCTGACAACAGAACTAGTTCCATAGTTGGATCTACATGCAGCCGCCAGGTACTTCAGGTTAGCCGTCAATTTGATTCCGTGTCAGTTCGATTTTAAAGGATTTAGTGGATATTGAATCTAAGAAGACGTGAACATTGGAACTAAAGAATTCAATCAACTTTATTTTTACTGGAACGATACACGCGAATAGGGTATTATTCCAAAAGAGGAAATGCAAATTAGCTATTGACAAGAAATATGGACGTGCCCTTTTTCAGGACGTAACCAAAGTCTAGAGGTCCAAGGCTTAGCAGGAAGAAAGATATCTAGTAATATGTTAAGTATTATGTACAGAAGATAATCATAAAGGGACTCCATGTCAACATGCTGCTTATGAAGCTACTTCTTGAAAAATATTTACTGCCACATGACAAAAGCAAAACTATCGGAAGAAAGAACATGAACTGAGCATGAAGTTCATGAAGAAACTTGAGGCTAAGAGTTGAAGCTGACTGTTTCTCTTTCATGCGACATGTACATCGAAATAATTAACTACACAACGCATACGTCTAACTCTCTACGTACAGTGGTGTGGTCCAAAAGACAACAGATAAAAAACACCTAACTAGATATGGCACCATTGTGTGCGCAGAGTGGAAAACTCAGTGGTCCAGCGAAGCTGCCAACCGTTTCATCTCAACTTTCAGTGTATCCAGCGTAGTTATTGGTGGTCCACACGTGAAATCGGCGCATACAAAGACAGTTGGTGTTTTCACAGTAAGCATATCAAGATATACAGAGCATCGTTCGGTGATGAATGAGTTGTCTAAGAGAAGAAAATTGGCATGTGTTTGTTAATTAAACGTAACACACTACTACAGTTAAGTGGTTTACCTTTAGTAGGATCTAAGAATAGGATCAAAGTGTTCCAATTGTAATGCGATCGAATTTCGTTTCGGAACAACTTGACGGCGTCATCTGAAGCCGATCCGACGATTACAATCTGAAGGTCTCAATAAAGTAAAAACAAGCCGAGAGTGCTATTTAAAAAAGCTAGGAAATATAAGGTCTTGGAAAACAGCTATCAAATGTAATTCGAAGTGATGATGATGCAATAGCATGCGTACTTTTACAGACCCTTTTACCATTCGATAGTAGCCAGATATCATTTTCGTCAAGATATAAGGATGCCTAAAAAACTACACTTTACCAACTTACAAATACAAGAAAAATAATCCAATACCAATAGAATAAAATATAAGAGAAGACAATGATGAATGTAACCACTAAGTCCCAGAGTGTATTCAATTCATATATGCTGTTACATGAGAAGCCGATACCACAGTGGTAGTAATGCCGACCATCACAAGCACCGTGATGACTCGATCCCACTTCGAGCTCATCAAATCTCTCATCCATCTGGGGTCGGGAAATTAGTTAAGGACTTAACTGGGAAAAAAATCATTTTCTGCAATCCAAATGGGGACGCTCCAGCTCGGCTATCTCAGGACTACAGGGAGAATCGACTCGACCAGAATTCTACGACATTCAAGATAAAATAAAAATACTCAAACAGCAACCGAAACTACGCGCAAAAGGTGTAAGACCTTCGTGGATGATGGATGCGAGGAAACCAATCGAATGTGAGAAGTGCTCTGCGCAGTAGACGTGAAGACGGGTTGCATAAAAGATAAATATATACTGTTATATAAACACTCTCCTTGATAATCTACTGGAACATGCTTCGATAATTTTCTCCGCTTTGTTTTTGTATCCTTTTGTATTAAAGTATTCGTAGAGACGAATAAGATTCCCTACGGCAACCGAATTCGTACATGGTTCGGCGCCATCTTGATCTATAACATCGTATAATTATGAAAGTCATTATTTAAAAGAAGAGAAATTTTCTATCCTTAAGGATAAGAATTTATAGGTAAATCTACCTTCCATGACACGTACTTTCAGGTCTCCATGTACACCTCCTATGTAGTAGCCAGTCTCTTTTTCGATGTCCCAGAACTTCTCATCCTTAAGACCTACACGTTCTCTAGATGGCAGATTAGGAGAAATTTTGAAAGCATAACGAATACCATGTTTTGCTGCAACGTATCTGCTAACTTCAACAATTCTAGGTCTCCCACCACTTGATAGAGATCTAACAGACCTTGGATAAGCATCGCGTAGTCATCGGAGAACGCATTGATTGGCGCAATACTATAACAATAAGGAGATCTGATAGGCAACTACAAAGTATAACGCCTTCTTAACTAACGGAATTTCCACATTTCCTTCATGGCCTCTATAAGCGCATCGCAGTAGCTGTCCGTCTTCACTTATGACGAAACGCTTTACGAAATCCACTGCCTTCACTGCCCGTTCAACAAAATCAAAACGTGATGAGGTCATAGCAGCCTTAATGGGAAGCATTTATTCGAATTTCTTAATTGAGAAATTATAACAAACTATTACAACAAATTTATAGCATAAAAATGTACCTTTGCTAAGCCAGTGAGAGCTAGTCCTTGCCAAGCAGTTACCATTTTTGTGTCAAGGTGGGGACGAGGGCGTCTAGAACGAGCTTCAGCAAGAATGGACTGGAAAATTAGAAACAAACAGGTTTGAAAAAAACAATCACTTGTAAAAATGTTCAACACATAATTACACCGTGTATTTGCCAATTTATTATCCATCCCTCTCACTGAGGGACCCCTAAGCGATTAATCGTAAGATCGAGGAGTGAGTGGCCCTTGGTGTTGTCAAAAACAAACACGCGCCAAACGCGACTTTCTACTTTCCATGAGTCGCAGATGGATTTGGAAAACGGACTCCTTGTTCTTGCTATGCCGAAATAAGAAATGCCCTCCACATTTCGTTTTCCATGATTCAATCCCACATTTATTGCACGCACACCAATAACTCTTGCATTCTTTTCCTCTCTGCGCAACTATCACCCACGGCGGTGTTTGAACTTTTCGCGTGTGGGTTCGGTTGCTGATCGAGGTTTGTTCTCTTCTTTATGAATATCGCTGAATTCCGCTCGAGTCAATTCTCCTTTGAGTCCTCGAATAGCTGTGCTAGAGCGTTTCTGTGTGTACTTGAAGAAGTGAGTTGGGCGCAGACAAGTCCGCTAGTAATTTCCCGACCTCGCGGCGATGGGAGGCTCGGTGAGCGGATTAAAACCATGCCGTCCATACTTAATTAGTAATCATAAATATGTTCATAGCAGTGTTTGCGTATATGTAAATTGTATCCATTAAATTTTGTATCAATTTGTATCAATATCATTTGTATCAATATTCAATTTGTATGTGTCAATCGTATCAATTTTGCAATAAGTCAACAACATAGTGACTGGGAACTACATGTGGAACTGGGAAATTGACTGAGGAAATAACTACTGAAGACAGTTTTGTTCCCATAGACGACTCAACGTGCTCCAAATCACTGAAATATCAAATAAAAAGACGAAAAAATCAGTAGCTACTGGTACAAAGCAGCACCCTTGGCTTACAAAGATATTTTGGGCCTCTACCATGCAAAGTCCAAATATATAGTGGCGAAATTTGTCAGAAAAATACCTTAGCTTTCAGAATCCCGGCATTTAACAAATCGCTGTCGATTCCCAAATGTTTTGCATAGTCTTCATGCGACTGCAATATGCATAGAACGTTCTGCTCTTTGAGCTCTCCATGCGGGTCCTTAAGAGATCGTGATAAATAAAACACATTACGCTCTTAAGCGAGACATAATATCTTGCGTTAGAAAACTACCAATCCGTCAATAATAAAGTAGTCCACAGTATTCACTTAATTGGATGGCTTGTTCACACTGGATGTGCGGGCTCCAGCATAATTTCGACTTTTTCGAGTTAATGGTTTAGGCATTGTGGTTTCCTGGAGTCCCGAGGTCAGCTAGGCTAACGTTTGTCCCAGATCGTCACCACCACAAGCAGTCGCCGCTCTTGCGGATCAGAAGGAGACTTACCACCATGGGACTAGTCTGGACGGTGACGGATCCTGGCAATAGTTTACTCTTAGCTGGACTTCCTGATGGAAACGCCGGACTCCTTCCCAGTTTGGGAGACCCTGCTGAGGGGCCGAACTACCCCGCTGTACATCGCAGCCAGACACCCAGGAACACCTCCCATACGAGGTAATCCATAGTGTTAATAAATAGCATTTTAAAAAAATCAAGAAATCATAGCTCTAAAGCAGGTTAATAACCACTGGTATCTATATCAATAAAAGCAGTCAGTCGACAGTTACTTTATAATTGCATATGAGAACATTCTAACGTCATTTCACGATTCACACCTTATGTCGGCTAACATTTCCTTCCTCTTTAACACCATAATACTGACAAAAAATGTCAACAGCACCGTTTCCTCCAATTTTCAAATCTTTCAACAGCTCTCGAACCTTAATTTACGTAAATACTTGGGAATAAAAGACTTGGTGCAAAAGATATGTATAATAATAAATTACTTGACTTACCTCCGACATCTTCCATACACAAAATGCACCCTCTTTTTTTTCTAATGAAGATTCATTTGGTAGAGAATCAGCATCCTCCGCCGAATAAAACCCACCATCCTAAATTACACTTTGCCAAAGAAAAATTATGATTAGACCAGTCTCATGTGTCTGCCTAACGTAGACAAAAGCATATAATCTGTTTTTCAACTTATATTAAGATAACTCACTTTGCTTTACAAAATATTCAAATAAGTATGTCACACCTTCACGAAGGTCTACCAACTCTAAAACATTCTGGAAAGAAAACAAACACACTTTCGGTTCGACAAAAGTTAAGAAGCACCCAGATGTAGACGGCAAAACGGACGGTATCAATATGTCACCTACTTTTTGATGTATATAATCGATAGCTTATGCAACACAACACAGTGCATCATGTGTTAGACAGAAAACCCAATCCGTACAGTTTATTCTTTCGGACGAGTTCGCTTTTCAAACCAGAAACTATTATCAATGAGGAGACTACATATGAATCGTATAAAGGATAGAAATGGAAGTAGATCAGACGACATGACTTGATTTCAATTGATTTTTTTGATTTTTTTTTCAATTTCCAATTAATTTCCACATGTTGCGAAAAATTAGCTGTGAATTAGAATGGCAAATTAGAAGCAATAAACAATTACGCGTTAGATTCCAAGTGACAATGACAGAGTGCAGAAACTTACTTTGTGTGAAAGACATTCCTCCATATATTGCGCGATATCTTCTACTACATCGATAAATTTGCCACCAAATAATCGGGAGTAGTCCGCATACACACCAAGTAGTTGCGCTTGGTCGTACAACATCTTTTCGAAGTGTGGCACATGCCATTCCGCATCAACGGAATAACGATGGAAACCCTGGCAAAATGAAGTGAGATTGTGCAAAAATTAAAAATAGTAAAGATTAGGATGACGTCACGCTCACCAAACATCCACATATCATGAAATCTACGAGACATTTTCAGTAAAAAAAAAATTCAAAATTTTCGTGACAAAGGAAAAAATGCTTACTTTGCCGACATGATCATGGATCCCTCCCATGCTCATTGCATTCAGAGTCACATCGAGCATATGACGACAAAGATCTTTTTCCGAGTTTTCCTTAGTCCAACAAAAATGATTTATAAGAAACTCTAAGTCACCTAGAAGACAGTGTTGAAACGTTGATAAGAACAATCGGGAAATTGGGAAACACTGATGCAAAGAACTGACAAGGTTTTGGAAACTTCGGCGCCCTACCAAAACCACCGTGTGCTTTGTCGAAAGCAGATGCTTTATATTGCATCGCGCTCTTTGCCACAGTCTCTATGGGAGGGGCTTCACCTATGCTGTACAGCGAGTCTACAAGAATCTGTATAAAAATATACGAATCTTATGCCTTACCTTAACCCTTAAGCCTCGCACATACCTTGCCGCAACGCTTCAGTGATCATTCGCCCCTGACTTGCAATTGTCGTCCTAGTATGTTCGTCAGCCCACTAAACGATTTGAGAGGTACGCACTCATAAATATAGCATCCTTAAAAGCGAAAGTAGTAGTAGTTGAAAACTTAAGGACACTTACGCACTATCTAAACCAATTATAAAATTAACAAGGAGATGTTTTACTTTTAATTTTCTGCCTACTACAATCTTTACGCAGGGTATTAAGCGAAATACAACGGCAACGTTGCCGAGATATTTGCAAAACTCCGGACTGCAGGTGTCTGCGGTGGAGAACGAACACGTTATTACCTTTTTCGGGGCTAACGCGTTCACCACCACACCATGCGAGACCTTCGTTTCGCCTGTCTCTCAGCTAGTTCTATCGATTTGTGCCATCAGCAATCACCCTCCCCAGATTAATCCACTTGACGGGTGGTTGCTGATGGCGCTGATTGATAGAACTAGCTAAGAGACAGACGAAACGAAGGACGCACATGGTGTGGTGGTGAACGTGTTACCTCCCGGAAAGGACAATAGCGCGTTCGTTCTCCACTGCAGACACCTGCGGTCCGGAGTTTTGCAAATATCTCAGCAACGTTGTGGTTGTAACACGGAGATTTCTTCTACAGATAATCAACGACGCACGTTCATTTCAATGCGCTCGGAGCGGATGACAAGCTCCGACATTAGCTCATCTTCTCTTCAGTGCCTTATTTTGCTAGAAGAGGTCAGGAACTGCACGTAAATCGACACAGTGCCACACTATGTAACTTTCAAAACAGTTCTCGTTTCTTATTGTCATAAACTTTCAGCAACGTTTCAGCGCAGAGCATAAGGCGAGTTCCCTTCTATCAACTGCTTAAATTCTCAACTAATCATGCCCCTTGATTATCGGAAAACTAGAATCGCCGATCATGTCTTGAAACTCATTTGTTTCAAACCAATACGGATTTACGTTGTTCAGCTTTAGTGGCCTGCTTGAATATCAACAGTTTTTCGTCGGCTGCACAGAACAACTAAACTTTTCCGCACTTGCAAAATTAAGCACTGAGTGTTGTCGTAAGGCTCGTTGAGTAGCAGATTACTTTTGCCACGAATATAAATTAAAGGCAACAAGTCAACTTTCACATGATTAAAAAGAAAAGTCTTACGTTGTCTATCACAATTTTTAGAACTGAAGGTAATCCCAAACTACCGAATGAGTCACAGGGTGGAAAATATGTTCCACCTGTTATAGGATCCAAGTCGGGCGTCAAAAAAACGGTCATCGGCCATCCGCCTGAGCCCGTAGTTCTCTTAAAAGACACTGTATGAAAAATAGACCAGAATCAGCTGTAGAATAGACCTGAATCAAGAACACAGGCGCGAAAAACTCTCGAGGCACTCTGGATTAATTCCAGAAACCCGAAAATGAACCGCAGGGAAGAATGCCTCATTATCACGCGTGATATAGAGTAGTATATAAAACTGCTTTTCTGATGTGAGAGGCACATTATACTTCCACGTGATTTCTGTGCGGTTGGTCTCTACGTGACATACTTAGTGGAAACCTCATAGAAAGCGGTAAGTGTGCAAAGCTGTGTTCAAAGTGATTGAAATCTTGGTTTGGAGTTTCTTTGTTTGGTTATGGAGGCGTCTGGCCGAGTGAGTTGCTATCAACTTGACCTTTCCAGGCTCTGAGGAAGGCGAAATTCGCCGAAACGTCAGCTTAATTGTGAACAAAGAATAATAACACCTCGCGTTTGCTCAACAAAAATACGAAGAAAATAGACCAGAATATCAACTCTCATGTTGATATGTTAACAATACTGGATCAAACCATAGTAGCAGGTCTTTTCTCTTTAGTGAAGTTTCCCCTACATTACCATCTGTCTGTCTTGAGTTCTTTAACTAAACCTTGCGATAAAGCGAAGATAAATTGCTGAGAAAAAGTGATGCAAAAATCAGTAAAGCGTAACCTGAATAAAGGACATGTACAGTTTGTCAACATCAGGCCGTTCCTCACGATCAACCTACAATATATTGAGAAACCATGATGAAGGGCGGCTTCTCGTTAAAACCATTAGAAATACCCACCTTTATGCTAACGAAATTACTATTCAGTATTCGAGCGATTTCTTCATTCTCAAAAGATTCCTTTTCCATCACATGACACCAATGACAAGTAGAATAACCAACTGAAATCACCCTACTGTATTAACTATTTATTACAGAAACACAAATTCCAACGAAAAACAATTGTTAGCAAAATATCATTATTCGAAACAAAGTCAGGTTTGCAAAGTAGAACTGACTTGAGAGAAAGATCGGACGGTTCAATTCTTTCGCCTTCGAAAACGCCTCCAAGCCCCATGGATACCTGTAAAATCTACACATGAAATAACTCTGAATCAACTACCGTTCTTGGACACCTCTGGTGGACCTCAATTAAACAAACATTTGGTAATTATATCACTACTATTCCCAAGGCAACATGGTGTATAGAGCTGTGTTTAGAGATATCCCACAACCGACACGAGGTTGCTGGTTCGACCTCACACTCTAAGCCAACCAAGCTCTCCAACTCCTCAAAATCGGCAAAACTCTTAGACTCGTCTGGAACAATAAAAAACACTGTTCTGATAAATAGAAAAGCCACCAAAATCCTGGCCAACGCCAAGCTCTTCATATTCTGTGGTACAGGATAAATGCAAACATGCGAATACATCTACTTACTTGGATGCTTGAATGGCCCATCTTCTGGTTATGCGGACTCCAGCATAATCTCCATTGTTTCGAAGCATTGCTAGTTAAGCCATTGTGGTTCCCTGGAGTTAAGAGGTCAGCCCAGCCAAAGTCTGACCTAGGTCGTCACCACCACATGAACTTGCTGCGCTTGCGGATCAGCGGTAGATTTGCCACCATGCAACTACTTTGGTACCAGGACAGTAGTGGATCTTTGTATTGGTTTACTCTTAGAAGGGCTTCCTGATGAAAACCCTGGACTTTTTCTCACCTTGAGACACCCCGCAGTGGGACGAATCTCCCTGCTGTAAATCTCTGTCCAATACCCAGAAACATATCCCAGCCAAGATGAGAAGGTAAACCGTTCAAAGGTGAATACCTGTATCCCCTGTATCACCTGTAGTCCAGTTGATCGTCGAGTGAGTCGAGCGAGCGCCAGTAAATCTTCCATTTTTTCCTGTTGCATGCAAGAGTAGCCCAGTGGGTTCTGCTCGCTCGAGGAACTCGTCGAGCATCATATCTTTCTTCTAGGCTCTTCGTGAAGAACTCTGACCATCGGGTCGGTGGTCTTTCTGCAATGCGTTTAACATCTCGATAAATCTAGTCACTAACGGCTCTTGTCTATCGGTTGTCATTCATACGCACTACGTGTCAGGCCCATCTTGTCTTCGATAATTTGGCGTAAAGAATGTAATCTTTGATTTTTGATCGTTTACGCAGGTCAGAGGTTCGGATTCCAACCATTGTTTGTGTGAAACAGGATACTCCTAGCATCGTACTTTCTACTGCGTGTTCAATAACGCTGAGTAATCTGTCATCGTGCTTACGTAGCGACCAGGTTTCTGACGCATGCGTTAGGGCAGGAAATACCGTTGAGTCGAAAAGGTGGGCACGGAGTCGGGTGTTCTTTGTTCTCCTCACTACATCCTCGATGCCCTTGAAAGCTCCCCAAGCCGCTCGTTTCTTTCTGCCCAGCTCTGGAGCTAGGGAGATCATATTGATTTCCCCACCTAGATAAACATAACTAGAGTATTCGGAGATATTCGTTCCGTTGAGCGTGAATGTGGCATGAGAAACCAATCCGTGCCTTACGAACATCGTTTTTGTGAGATTTCGTCGAAGATCAATCTTTCCACAGGCTTTATCAAAGTCGGCAAGCCCACGTTCCGCTTGGCTGTTTGGTGTTATAAGGACGATGTCACGATTTTCACTCCCATATTATCCCATTCCAATGTTCGCATGACGTTCTGGAGGGTAGCGGTAAATAACATTGTTGAAATGATATCGCCTTGCCTAATTCCTCTTTTGACGTCAATGTTAATATCGTTGTAGAATGGTGATATCTTGCTTGTCAAATTTTTGTACAGCTGACGAAGAACCTTTATGGAGCGAGTAGAGATTCCTTATCTTGGCTATCAAGAGATTCCATGACTGCTTCTATCTCAATTGAGTCAAAGGCCTTCCTTATATCGATGAAAGTGAGATAGAGGGACCGGAGCGATCTTATCGACAACGGTATCTTCCCAACAGCCGACTAATGAGTTGAATAAGCTCTAGTTTACAGTGGTTTGGTACTTTGTTCTTTCCATTTGGAGACTTTGTTCCTTTCTGCGAAAAATGGAATCTTGCACTAAGGATGTGGTGGTCCGATCCCGTGTAGAATTTTGGGGCAACAGCGACATCGGTTATGCAGAACCTTCTATTTACTATGATGTGGTCTATTTCGTTATGGTACTCTCCATTGGGAGACTCCCACGTCCAGCGTTGATGGTGGGGCTTCTCGAATTGCGAGTTACCATGGATGGTCTTCGTTGCCATGATAAACTCAGATAGCCGCTCACCCCGTTCCTTCCATTCTAATCCATTGGTCCGAATGTGACGTTCTCCAGACGTTCTTCTTGGCCCACTCTTGGTATTCAAATCTTCAATGATGACCTTGAAGAATGTATGCTCTTCCCTGTAGAACTTCTCCAAGTTCATCTAGAACGCTTCAACCTCTTCTTCGTCATAGTTTGATGTCGGCGCGTGAACGATGAAGATTGTCAAAGCCGGAATTGATCCACATCTTTCTAGTTGTAAACGACCGATTCGGACGAGAACGCGGACGCCGCCGACTCTTCTACTGCCGCATGTTCCGAGGAACCTTTTCGAGGAATCGTTCTGCCCAACGCTGCCTAATCGGCGCCCCTTTCATGGTCAGGGAAATTGGCGCGTTTCTTTCACTGCCTCCAGCTTTTTGATACTCACGTATAGCTTGCTGGGCTGTATACATGGGAGCTGGGTTTACTCACGGGTACCTTGCCAGTCTCTCCTAGAGTGGATATGGAGCTTATTTGTTGGAGGCGACTCCTATCCGCTTCACACATACCTCCACATCACTTGATTGTAGACTTTTAGCCGAACTTAGTCGTTGAATACAAACAGCATACACTATAACGCACGCACACACGCATGCATGAATACGCCCAGCAAATACAGAAAGTATGTGCCACATCGGCGCAGCAGAAAGAGGGGAGTCCATCCCCTGGATCCACCTGTGTCTCAGGGAACCAAAGGTCGCTCTTGGTCCTCGATTAACCCCCTATTCGCCACCTGGGGACGAGCCACGTAGTCTCGCGACTAACCGACTCGAGATCGCTCATATGAGGGAGATCCCTGGGGAAGTTAATACATATATACATATATATATATATTTATACATGCGCCATGTTATGCTTAATACATGAGCAGAAACCAACTGCCAAGGGTTGGTAGGGTAGAACTTGGACTTTTTCATCACACGAGAGTTCGAAATGTTCAAATACCATAGAAATAAGTATGAAAACCAGAAGATACGTAGAATGTTAGGATAAAAAACCGAAATTGGTGTAAAGATACAAAAATAACAAAAATAAGTGGGGCATGGTCATCCTCTGCACGTTAGATCATACGAATCACATTTGATACGTATCAGAGATATAAGATGATAAGTGGAAAACAAAGATAACCGAAATTACGAACAAAATACCTAGAAAAACCAGGTTATATACCAAGAAGCACAATATGGTACCAGTTGCTATCAATTCATTGTCAATTCATTGCGCGCGAAAACTTCTCGACTTAACATTTATGGAAACTACATCGATTTAGGATCCCGATACTAGTAATTAATCCCTGAATGGACCGACCAGGCAACAGAGTCATGTTCTCACCCGTTTCAGTCGTGTGCCATAGTTTCACAACCGGTTCTGCTCGCACGAAGAATACGAACATAGCCAAGCTAAGACATCCCCTTTCTTCACTATTTTAAACGAAGGGGTAACCACAAGTACCTCGTGAGATCTGCCATAACGATCGGTGTATTTTTATGGGTAGCTTGTTGAGAATTTCAAAACACGCATGATCCATGCTTGAGAGAATCGCGATATGCTGGATACAATCTTCAGCCATACAATAACACCACTACACGAGTAATGACTAATGGTAAAGTTAGTGGAAAAATGACAGCACGGTCATAAAATGAGGATATCTGCCTAACAGTGGTAGGACACAATCGCCTCTGGTAATCACTCTAATGCGTATTTAACACCCCCACGTAGCATATAACAACTTGATCAAATAACTAGCCTGAGATTCATTACATGAAAAATTGTGGTAATGCGAGACTTTCCTAATATGGTGAAACGGCAAGGTTTATTAGCACTAGTTATCTCAGTATGTAATGATAATAGGCAAAATAACTTCCTATTTCTTGTCAGTACTTTAAGTAACCACCAATGTTTTGCCGCCTCATCGTGGCTTGGAAGTGGGCGTTCATCGAGATGATTCTTCCAGGAATCCCAGGCTAGCTCTATATATTACATCGTTCTTAGGTTTTCGCTCACAGGAAGGATTCAACTAATGGACGTGCGTTTATCATTACGTGAAAACTCCAGCAACTCTGCTTCCCGCACTCCTAATTGTGAGTTAGTTTAACGTCTCTACTGACAACTCCACAAATAGCAAGTCTATAAGAGGAATTGCAGCAATGCTAACAGGAACACAGTCACAGAAAAACTAACTATGGTAAAGAACCTGAAAACATATTAACACATTTCTGGAATAATATCCAGATTCAACTATGAGCAAAGAATCGTCAACGCCTCAAACAATTAATACACCGCTTGCGGCGAATTTCAAGAAGCATAACAACGACTAAGAGACTACGAAATCACAGGCGAGCCTGATCGCTTTAACCATGGGTTCAAGTCACTTGAAGGAGTGTCATGTAGACTGTTTCTTGCTCTGTACTAACAATATCATTGTTAAAACGACGGTTTGTGCTCTTATTTTGAGAATACACACCTCACATTACCAAAGATGAAAGAAAACTTATGCCAGCAGAAAAGGTTTCATCACGAAACGTTGGTGGGATGAGTTCAGATGCTTCACCCTGCGCTACTCATAACAGCGAATCACAGTATCCCACCATTTCTCGTAGGTAACCAACTTCCACAAAATTTGTATGAAGAGAAGCTCACTATCAACCAGTACTAAGGGCCCGAGCGGCGCAGTGGTCGAAGGCGCCCTGCAATACATATGGGCTTCATTCCCACGTCCCTGGCACACAAAACCTGTCATCCCTCTGGAGTCGGCAAATTGGTACCAGACTTGGCTGGGAGGATAAAAGCACTGACTCGATACATCGGTAGGACACCGAGAGTCACTGTAAAGGCCAGATATGCATTCAATCACCTCCAGTGATGCTTAGTGAAGCTGAATATATAGCGCATCAATAAGGGATTGATCAATGTCGAGAGCTTTACCCTTTACCCTTTATTACTAATCAACTTGCTCAGTAGATGGTGGCGAATTAAACGCGTTCTATAATATTTGAAAAAAATATCCGTAACGAAAATACCTATAAGTATGCTGTCGGAAGCTTCATCGCCAGACCAGCGAAGGGCAATGAACGGGAACAATTACAGGAAACTCAGACGGATTGCACTTTCTTGGCCATTGAAATTCTTACAGAGTCATCAAACGCGTCCTCATTCTTCACCACAAGCACACTCTGGTTGTCATTAATTGGAGTTTAAAAAATCTAGCGAACTGTGATTAGGGTTTTCTGGAACGGCAGCAACCCATTGAATAGGTCTACTCCCAACTCAGATCTAGAACGTAAATATAGGAATAAACACGTATATTCTTTCTTTTGGTTATCCGCCAAGTGGGCGCATACATTTCACTTGAGTAAACTCCACTGCTAATTTCGATGCCGACAAGCGCGCTCTCGTAGCTGAGGTTGTGTTCAGAATTAAGTGCTAATCTCGACAGATTTCTATGATTCCAGCAAACAATGGAACCGTTATCGAACCCTTGAATGCTCAACATCAACGGTTGGACCTCAATTAAAAACCTCGATATGCCCGCTGGGACAATGTTTGTGATGGGCTTAACGAGCAGACTCAAAAACTCGCAGGCGTTTAGAATACTCTCGGCCGCTTGTCTTTGGTAAATTAACCGGATGTAGAACATTCACACGCGTTCTAACACGTACTTGTAGTATACCACACACAGGAAAAAAATCGGCATCAACTTTATTTGGAAATGGAACTGTTCCTTCCTATGTGCTGGTGGTTTTTCTCCAGAAATGTTAAGCTATGGCACAGTACTGTACGATGGCAGTGGTCTACCTAGAAACTCTTCGCTGTAGAATCTAGACCACTATTACTAGTTACTACTGGTATTATTAATATTAGTATCACCTTTTTAACACATTTTTTACTTTACACCGTTATTTAGGTGTATGGTCCGCCTTTCTAAATGTACCCATGCAAATCCTGTAAGGATTTACCACACCAGGCACCCATTCTCCACCGTGTGAAATGTGTTGAAGTGCGTTCAAGCTTCAATTTTCTGCTCATCAGCAAATCTTTAGTGATCACAGGGATGCAGTATAAGCACCTTGTTTGGGCAACAGAAGGTAGTTAGATATAAATATCAAGTCCTATAGCAAGCAGTTCTTCGTCTTTGATCGGGTCCTCCTTACTCTGCCATTCACCTATCGATACACTTTCGTTTTCGTCTTTCTTCTTAGGGAATCTAAAGAGGTTTCATTAGCTTATGACTGGGTCCAATCATCGGACGGAGAAGGTAGTCACCAACTACAGTAGAGAACGACGGAACAATGAAAGTGCCATAGAGCTACAACCTTGTATCTATGAGGATGATAACCGATTTCCGCATGAGTTGTGCCGTTAATCGACTCCCATAACAAGCGGAACCGTCTTCTTCCTTCTGGAAAAACGAGCGTCCATCGAAAAAGAAAGGTGTGAACAGGAGTTCAGCAAGATAATTTCCACTCCCATTCTCACTTTCAAATTTTCCGATCCTGTAACTATTTCCATTGGCGTTTCCACACCTGCCAGTAGAGTCTCAGACAAAGAACTTACACGTTCGGACTTTACCCCCAAACACTCTCCAACATCGGAACTATAAACAGTTAACCAGGAATGAATTATTACAGGGCGAATAGCACAGTGGTAGCGATGCCGATCATCATTAGCTCGGTCCCGCTCTGAGCTCACCAAGCATCTCACCCGTCCGAAGTTGCGGGATTGGCATCTGACTTATCTGGAAAGAAAATCACTCTCCGCAGTCCAACTGAGAACACTGCATCCCGGCTATCTCAGGACTCCAGGGAGAATCTACTCGACCAGCAAATACTCAAGCAGAAGCAGAAGCGACATGTAAAGTTGGAAGACCTTAGTGAACGATGGATGAGAAGAAACGAGTCGAATGTGAGAACTACTTGATGCGCACAGTAGACGTGAAGACGAGTAGTATAAAATAGAATTCAAAAATACTATTAATACTCATCTTTATATAATACCGTTGTTCTACTGGCACAGTCAGTACAGTGGCTTCACTACGTGCACAACCCTGGTTCGACCCCGGCTTGGGCTAAGATGAAGCCTCTTATCACTTTCCATCTCTAAAAAGAAAGCAAAGTCACCAGACACTCACCATTCAATTGGATTATGCTGATGCTGCAACAAATAGGGCGACCTCTCACCAGCTAGTTTATTCGTCAAACGCTTTCCTGTTGACATATCTCTAGAATAAATTCCGTTACACCATAAAGAACTGTAAGAATGACAGAAAGCTCAGTGGTAGTGACGCTTTTATCACAAACACGGTGCTAGTTTGACTCTGCCTAAACTCAGCAAGCCTCTTATCAAATCGAGATCGTACATTTGGCGCCGGAGTTCTCCGGGGAAGGCTTCCTCTCTCAAATTCATAAGGGTACGGTTTAGTATAGCTATCCCAGGTCTCCAAGGAGAATCAATTCTTCCATCATTCAAAGACAGTCATAGAAAAGAACGAAATCCTTAATCTGCAGACGAACCCTGGTAAAAGAGACCTTTGTTGATGGTGGATGAGAGGCAACGAATCGAATGTAGGAAGCACTAATATTCGCACAATCGATATGAGGAAGGGTCCTATAATAAACATAGATATAAAGATAACCCCTATCTTATATGGAACATGCTGAATATACATATCAAAAGCTTAAAGAACTTCCCCGAACTAAAAACTATTGCAACACCACCCCATCATCGTAATTCAGCTCGGTCAATCATTGTTAGCGGCATTAGAACATTCACTTTTCTCTCGTCATTTCTACTCTGCCCAGGAAAATCGCAAAGTCCGCTATAACAGACGACAAAAAGGAGACGCATCTATTCTAACTTCTTATAAGGACGCACTCCTGCGTGTAACGCAGTGGTCGGAGTGCCCTGCAACACACATGGGATCGATACCACTGCCCAAGGCCCACCAAGCCGCCTATCGCTCCGTGATCGGTAAAATGGTACCAGATTTGTTTAGAAGGATAGCAACCCTGGATCGATACACCGGTAGGCGACCGCCAGTCATTGTAAAGGCCAGATATGCATTCAATCACCTTCGACGATGCTTATTGAAGTTGAATGCATGGCGCATTCCTCGTGGAATGATAAACGCCGACAGCTTCATTCCTCACCCTTTTTTATTGTCCTTTTACGATTTAATGCTCACTTAAAAAATTGGTTGACATTTACTAGAAAGTGTAACGCCCTGAGATACATAGATGAACACAACCATACATTGACAGGATCCTGTTCTCCAATGTGATAAAAATAAAGATAGATCAGCTGAGCGAAAGGCGAAACGAAGGACCCGCATGGTGTGGCGGTGAACGCGTTACTCCCAGAAAAGTACAATAGCACGTTCGTTCCCCACCGCAGACACCTGCGGTCCGCAGTTTTGCAATTATCTCAGCATCAATATGTATTCTTTCTTGATAAGCTTGCACGAGGTTGATAAATACATCGATATTAAAGATAATATTAAGTAATTTGAAATATCTCAGCATCATTAGAGTAATATTTCGCAATATCTACCCTGCCGTTAAAAAGAGTAGGCAGTAAATAATAAGCTAAAATTGTAGTTATAACTGCAACTTCAGCTTAACTGGGTTCGTTGCCAATTTGGGCTGCCAGATCAATCCCACTGACGGGTGATTGCTGATGGCTGAGATCGATAAAACTAGCTGAGAACCAGGTGAAACGAAGGACCCACATGGTGTGGTGGTGACCGCATTAACCCCGGAATGGATAATAGCGCTTTCATTCCCTACCGCATACACCTGCGCTCCGGGGTTTTACAAATATCTCACCATCATCAAAGTTGTAAAACAAGACACTTACGAAAGCTGCAACCAAAGTATGATTCTCTTCCTACACGATCTCTGAATACCAGACAAGGTACATCTGACGCGAGCCTTCAAAGCATTCATAAACACCTTGAGATGAAGAATGTTCAGCCTATACAATAAGTCATTTTCTTATGGTCTTGGAAACACCACAAACAGGAGGAATTGTTATTAACTTAAGAACGAAGAAACATAGCCGCCATCGTTCAGCGTGGTAAAGCGATATTGACAATGAGGTACAGGTTGAAAGTACCATATCAATCAGAACATGAAATCAAACAGCACATTCATTGCAAGGAAAACTTTCATCAGCTCTTCTTAGTCATCAAGTGGAGATTTTTCCGGTGGGGGACCACATGGCAGTATCATTCGATTGATGAGGTTGTAACGAGTTCTGGCACGGGACTCGTTTTCAACTATCGCAATGAACGACGTCATGCCCGGATGGCTCACCTAAAGCAAATTATTTCCAAATAGGATGTGGTTGTAACCAAAGAAAGGCTTTTATGTTTAAAATGATACATAAAATTCATTTGCATCTCTCAAATAAACACATGCAATATATTCGCGGAAGATCCAATGAGGGATCCAACTACTGAAACGGAAAATTTTGCAAGGAAAACTTGATACTTGGATAATTGGACAGCCCGTCTTCACTGGCTGTGCCGCCGAAGCATAACTTCCGCTTTTTCGGGCGTTAGCTCCCGGAAAGTTTAATAGCGGGGTATTTTTGTTTTTTTTTATTTTTCACGGCAGGATATTATGCCTGAAACAACCACAATGATGCTGAGATATTTGCAAAACTCCGGACTGCAGACGTCTGCGGTGGGGACCGAACGCGTTATAACCCTTTCCGAGGGCTAACGCGTTCACCACGACACCATGCAAGTTCTTCGTTTCGCCTGTCTCTCAGCAAGTTCTATCGACCAGTGCCCCAGACCAATCTTATTGACGGGTGATTCCTGATGGTGATTGTCCTTCACATAATACCCTGCCGTGAAAAATTGCAGTAGGCAGTAAATAAAAAAAAATAAAACATTTCCTACGAGGTCAAAATATACTACAACTGGCAACTTAAAAAAAAGCTCGTATGGAAACAACCGAAAGAACTATATGGAAAAAAAAATTGGGTAGAAACTAGCAAAGAAAACATACTTGGGAAGCTCTGGTGTCCCTGAGCTGATTCGTCAACCACTCATATCGTGTTGTATCTGCGTGCCCAGTACCAGTGTACTTGGAATGAAGATGATCCAACTGCGCCAAGACATGGAATCGCTCACCAGGTCCAGACATTCTAGAAACATCCATCAGTCAACAAAGAGAGAACTGTTCCAAACTTGGAGAAAGAAACGGAAGGGAGACTAAAGAGCACCCGCGAAAGGCAAAACACAACGTAAACTCTGCAACGACATTTTAGAGAACAAGGACACAAAATCCTAGTTCGTAGAGATTGTCATCTGATTGTAATAACTAGGGCTAGCTCCTAGTGCATCCAGTTCTCGATCACTACAAGGAACTAACTGAGTAACAATCAGTTGGTCTAGAAGGAGAAGGCCAAACGCACTTTATTACCTAATTTGACAGAGTGTTATAAATCAAAAATGCCAGACAAGATTTGAATGCATAACTTCAAAAGAAACACCTCGGACAGATGCAGTATAAATCGATGCCCTAGCACGAGTAGACGAAATCGTTAATATTGAGTCGATGGTTGAAGTAAAACCACGCAGCAAGTATGCTCCAATTAGATTTGAACGCGCCAAACACAAAGTGACATGGAGTGGTCTAAACATTTCCTAGGTGGCACATTTGTCTCTACTTTGTGGAACTGTCAAGAGGCAGAGTTTAGTGAATTTGTGCCAGCTACTGTATTTGATTTCCTCGATCATTGTCCATAAGCTTCATTGTTGGTACTTCTGTAGTACTGGAGCACAGTACCGAAGCCATAGTAGTGGAATCTCTTTGAGCAGTAGGAATTGTATTCCAGCAGTTCTCAAGTTCAGCATATCCTTGTTCTACCAGTTTTGTGAGTGTTAATTATCCTTTATTGAAAGCAGTCATGGTTAGAGTTCATGCAGTACATTCATGAGTTACTAACGTAACCTTCTTCATTTGGTCCCAAGACAGTGTCTGAATACGAAATATTTCAGTACTCATAGAAGCAGTTCACTACTGGGTAATTAGGGCTCACTAAGTAGTAAGGCTGGAAAGCCTATTGGTAAAAGGTTGAGAGAGAGAGAGAGAGAGAGAATTGTTATATTGTGATAATTCTGTGAATGGAAGAGAGGGATTTACTGTTTGCTATGTGATTTGGAAAAGAAACGTTTTCATCGCCCTAAATGAGTACTCGAAGTTAAAATTCTTGTTTCTATTTTAGTAAGTTACACGACAGAATTAGATGTACTGTAGTAAAATACGATGTCTGTCCACCAAGCACATTCTTGTCCTTTTTGGTCTCTCCGGAGTGCTGACAGGACCACACCACATTTCCTCTTCGCATTTTCAGAAGGCAGCGTGCATACCCGAAGAAACTTCAGAACTTCTCGTTCTAGTTCTGGACTTATTTTCATTGTGGATTGTTATTGTGTAGGACCGTGAAGTGTGTTTTTTGACACGGAGAAACCTTCGTTCTAGTGGTTCTTGCATCAGGTTTTTTCTTTTTGGTTCTTTTTAAATGCTCGTTGTCGCTTCTGTTGAAGGCACGCTTGATTCGTTTTACACATAAATTTCCTTTCCGTTTTGTTCTCTTTTTTCTTTTGTCTTTGTGTCTTTCATTTTCACCAATGATTTTGTTGTTCAGCGTCGTGATGAGCAACTATGGTTCACCCGATGATGGAGAGCTGACGGACGATAGTCACGGACATCAAGAAAATTGTAAGCTGTTTGGGTTATTTCTGGAAAGTTGACTTTTCGATTCTCTTCCTTGTGATTTTAGCCTGGTCTTCTGGACCACTTTTTGAACGATGTTGATCTAAAGATTTCCATAGACCCATAGACACATTGTTTGTAAAATCCCACAACAATTTTGTAGAACGAATATTTTCTTACTGCAACCTGTAGTTTCGGTCATACATATCTCATCTCATAGTGAACTTTACTAATTGAAGTAGAAATTATTCTGACCTGCATATATTCCCAACAGCCATATTTGTCTTTTTTGAAGCAGATCTGGAGAAATTCTAACAGTGTAGAGCTTACGATCATCTGAAGGAGTTTTTGACAATGATTGCAGGAAGTTTCTATCCATGAGTAGTTGTCGGGATGCTGGGAAAAGTAGTTTCTGATTGGCTAGAGATTGGGAGAGATTGGCTGTGTTGGATACATAGGGTTTCATAGCCCATTTTTTTCTAACGCTTGGCTGTTTTTCGAATGATCAAATGGATGACACATATTGCTAACCTTGGTAGATTTTTCAAACGTACTGGTGTTATTGTAGCATTGATTTCCCGGGTTTGAAGAATTCTGAGCGTTTAATTCCATCTGTTCAATCGGACTCGTTACTTCTTCTTAAAGCAGTTGACTAATGGCAGAAATTGATTCCATCCTGAACTAATCCAAGTTAAGCAATCAACCTTTCTCAAATTCGTACATTGGACTGGCTATGATGTGAAGATGTGCTATTTTTGTAGCTTGGGTTTCTCGGGATTCAAGAGCAGTTATTCTTGAGCAGTATTCCACATGACAGTTAGGTAAAATATTGAAAGGACAAAAGGATAAAGCGTTCGGCGTTGATCAATCCCTGAGCATTCGCCATACATTCGACTTCACTAAGCATCGTTGAAGATTATTGAATGCGTATATGGCCTTTACAGTGACTCGCGGGGTCAACGGATATATCGAACCAGTGCTGCTAACCTCCTAGACAAGTTTGATAACAATTTACCGGCCCCCGGAAGTATGGAGGACTTGGTGGACCTGGGGCGCGGAGGTCGATCCCATTTACATTGCAGGACACCTTCAATCGCTATGCTACACGCGCCTAGGAAGAGTACTAAGTTTTAAATCTTACGCCCACTGGTATATGAATATGACCTACGTGGAAGAGTTGGTAGACGACGAAGCGATTGGTAGTGCTGGGATTCACAAAGCATGTGAAGTTGAGTGATTTAAGCGTCTTCTAGTACTTTATTTCTTAGACATGCAGAATTCATTGTAACCTTCTTATGCATGTTTGGCCGTGGAACTTCGCTGTTTAATCTTTGTCCAGTTATGCTGATATCGTCGTTGAATCTCGTTTGGAAAATTATCAGAAATTCATCCCCTTGATAGCAGATTATCCCCGTTCTGTTATCGTCAGCGTAAAAATTTTAAAACCAACGTTGCTGCTTTAGGTTCGTTTATTGTTCTGTATCTAAGTCCACTGTTGATGTTACGAGCCATTTTCATCACTGTGAATCCATGTTTTAATGAGCACGAAATTTGCCGGATTTTTAAAAATACGTATCAGTGTCAAAGGTCACAAGTAATTTTATGAGCCATTTATCAGGCTTTACGTGGATGTTTGAATTCGTTGAGAAATTGTTCAAAGATCCCTTCCTTCTTTTTTACTCCAATGTCCAAAATAGGGCGTGAATGGGAACAGAAATGTTAGCACTACTATATTCTGGACTAGATGCATTGAATTACCGTATTGAATTTAAAAGAAGCCCTTGAACGCTGTATATCGTTAGTATGTTAGACATGGCTCATTGATTACTGATTTTTGAAGTCCTAGCTATTGTACGGATACATTCTGAGGAAACCGAATAATCTGCACCGCTATTGCAAGCATTGATTCCGCGATTGATTCAACCTACCTTCCATGGTTCATATTGTAAACAGGAAAGCACAGAGGTGTCGGTTGTCCAGATGTTTTGCTTTTCCAAAATTGCTTCTAGGGCCTAAACCCATTTCTACTCATTACTCATTACACACTAGGGTTTCGATAATGATTCTAGTTTTCAGCGAGTGGCTTCCTGGTCAGCCGGCGCCTTTGTAGCTCCTTCCAAGTCTGCCTATCGAAAGGGCTCCACATTTTTGAACTTCGCTAAGTTTTATATTTCCATGGATTTTGCTAGATTCAGCGATATCTTCAGCGGCTCATAGTGGAGGGTCTTCTTCAAGCTCACCCGTACGTATGCCAGACCTGCCTGAAAGGAAAAAGGCCGAGTTCAGCAAAGAAGATATAGAAAGTAAGGAACTGAAGAAATTCATATATTATTGTTAATATCTTATTTCGTCCTCTTTAATTTCGTCTCTGCGTTAGTTAAGGTCGGGCCTTTTGAACTATTACATATGTTTAGGTGAGGAGGACCGATTGCGAAGGCGACTCTTAGAAAAGCGAGAAAGAGAAGTACGCCATAGTGATGACGAAGAAATGTTCACAATTCAACCTAAGGTAATAGTTGCTTATTTTTCTGTTGGAATTGAATGTATTTGGTGGTTTTAGAAAGCCAGAAGTAACAAACAAGAAAAGCTTAGAGATAAGCATCAAGACCGAGATCGAAGGGAACGCGATCGAGATAGAGGTGATAGGCAAAAGCATAAACATGGAGGTGATGCGTCGATGCATACTTATATGATTCTCGTGTTCAAGAATTTATTTTTAGAACGGCGTGAGAGAGATCGAGATAAAGAAAAAGGCGACGATCGCTATAGTAAGAAACATGAGGCTAGTTTCGATTTTAGCTTCTGCTATTTTATTTCCTATTTGTCTTCTTTAGGAATGAGAAAAAGTAGACGTTGTCTTCGTCTCGTTTTTATTTGTGCTAGTAACGTTTAGATGCAAAGATTCCTGCTCATAATTTGCCATGTATTGCTTGCAACCCCATCACCTCCCTCTACGCACCAACGTATAGCATACACTGGTTCAGGAACTCCGGAACAAATCTGCTTTGCGTGTACTGTCGAAGCATCATCGTGAGAAAAAGCAAAAAGATGATGAGGTGGAACGTGCAAAGAAAGAACGGCAAATGAAGCGGGAATTGAGGTTCGTTGGTTATGTTCCGTCATGTAACCTGATTTCTGAGAACACCATGAGCTCTTGCGAGGTTTTTAGAATTGAAATCGCTTTTCTGTCTTCAGGCGTTTGTGCCTTTGTTGTGAAGAGTCAATGACGACCTATTATTATTAGCTGAAACTTATTCATAATTTAAAGGCAGCTGACAGTTCTTTATGGATTTGCTGGTGTTTTTTTTCTTAACCATCGTTCAGTTACAGTCGAACACCTTCACCAAATGATCGTTTGACTGCGTATACGAAGAAGCGTGAACATGCTGCTTCTCTGGAGCGATTGAAAAAGAAAGATAGAGACAGGCCTAAAGGTGCTTGCCGTTCAGTTTTGCTCATTAATGATTGTGAACTACACTGTTTTCCGTATTTGACTCTATTTTTGAAATTGATTCTGTTTAGAAACGAAAAAACCTGAGTCTTGTGCACCGCCTACCGAAGCAGAGCCGGCTGCTGTAACAGTGTCGAAGATGGAAGTAGCTGTTTTAACTGACGAGGAAGCTTTTCTTGCAGAAAGCGGTACCACATTGTTCAGAGAAATTTTCAATTATTTGTAGTATAAGAGATTACAATCGGATCAGGCTTTTTCGTTGTAGAAATCACGTCTTTCACCTTGGACTCACCTGCAGGGCCTCAGAAATATTCGAAATTTGATAGTAGCCCGGAAGCTGTTGGTCATGACGAACAAACTCCGGAGCGTAGCCCTGGTATAAAACGCTTGGCTATTTGTTCCTACTGATTTCTTTAGCGCACTGTATGTGATGAAGTTGTCGAGAGGTTTTTTTGCAGTGGAGTATAGTGATGTGGAAATGGATGTAGAACCGGAGTTCGACCCGTCGACTGCAACCTATGAAACACTAACCGAAGAGCAAAAAGCACTGGTGACTTGCACCTTCGTTTTTTACAACTTTTCTATATAGACTTATCGAATAGTATCTCCATTTCTACTATTAAATTTGTTAATGTTAGCTATCGCCCGACACCAAGAAAAGATTGGAAGATGATTGGCAAGCTCGTCTGATAGCACAGTTACCTATCTACTATGCTTGTGAGTTTTTCCCTATAGTTCATCTTTGCATGTGTATAGAGGATGTGTGGTATAGAGGATTTCTTTTAGCATATATGGGTTGCCGAAATGTAATTGAATTCGACTGCGTTAATCGGGTAGAAGAGGGAACATTCGGGGTTGTCTATCGTGCAAAAAATAAGCGCACAGGTATTACAGTTCTACTTAGAAAAGTTGTTTGAAAAGTTATCAAAAATCTGAAGGGTATATGGTCCTCCTAGTTAGTTTAAAATTTGTGTTTTTATCCTCAATGTCTTGTTGGGATATTCGAGTGTTTTGGAAAAATTTCTTTGATCTATGCAAGTGGACTAAAATATACATTCAAAACATTGCAGGTTGAGAAACTTTTTAAACCTTTTTGTTTCTTTCTTAACGTTTTCCACATTTGGGGACAGGCCTCTGTCGTCAATAGCCAATTTCAGATGAGATCGTGGCACTAAAACGGTTAAAGATTGAGAAGGAACGAGAAGGTTTTCCAATTACTGCACTGCGAGAAATTAATATGCTATTGAAGGCTGGAAAACATGAGAACATCGTGAATGTAGGTTTTCAATAGACTAGAGGATTTTTGTTTTTGAGTTGGTTGTTTTCCGCAGTCATCTGAGAGATGGATAAAGAGAAGTCGAGTTCTTTAAAATGTTCAGGTACGGGAAATATTAATAGGCAGTAATGCTGATAAAATTTATTTGGCGATGGAGTTCGTGGAACATGACATGAAGAATCTGATGGATACTATGCACAAGCGAGGAAAACGATTTAGTCCTGGTTATTTTTATTCTATTTTACCTCCTCAAAAGTTTGCCTCCGAAGTCGTTAATGGTAAAGTCTAGGAGAACAGAAAACATTAATGAGGCAGTTGCTATCGGGTCTCAAACATCTTCATGACAACTGGATTCTTCATCGTGATTTGAAGACTTCCAATTTGCTATTCTCACATAAAGGGATTCTAAAGGTTTGTATTCTCTACTGATAGCTTATGTATCTATTATTTTCTCTAATGTTTACTTATATCACATTGAGTTATACGCTTGCCTTGACTGGCCACCTACTAGAACGAATGATAGTAAGAAAAAAAGGTTGTCATTTTTACTTGCTAGATCTATGAAGTAGGCCTTAATAGCTAAGGGAATGCGAAAGCAGCATATTTGCTGTACAGGGTTTTTATGAGGAAGGAACTCTCATCGCTTCACTGGTTTTCTTACCGTTCGCTTGACATTGAATCTAGAATTCGCATGACCAACTTTCTATTAACGTTGGCATTGATTGAACAATTCGTTGTATTCTTGCTGAGCAAACACGAGGTGTTATTTTATTTCTCCATTTACGAGCAAGCCGACGTCTCGGCTGATTTCGCCTTACTCAGACTTTGTAGGCGTCAACTTGACCTTAATCTACCCAGCTAAACACCTCCATTTTCTCTGTTTAGTTATGGAGTTGTTTGATTGGATAGATTGCCGTCAACTTGAAACTTGACTTTTCCAGGCTCTGAGGAAGGCGAAATCCGCCAAAACGACGGTTCGCTCGTAAATAAAGAAATAATACCTCGTGTTTGCTCAACAAGTACATAAAGAATTGAATCTAGACGCTGACAGATTTGATCGTTTTAAAATCATTTACATGAAAGCTAAAAGGTATTTTGTACATAAGAAAGGCAAAATTTCATCTAGTTTGCCATGCAAGTTGTTTGAATCCGCGTATTTATCAGGAACATATTTACACCTTTGTTTTTGATCTCTTTTCAACTATTTATTGGACGCTCTAAATTTCTATATGGATTGCTTTATATAAGCTTACCCTATCATCAATCGGTGTATTGGTATCTTGTTTCTGTGTCTTAAATTCTAAACTTAAATCCCCATGACCGACTTCCTATTAGCCTCGGCATTAATCAAATAGTCCTCGATATTTTTGTTGAGCAAACATGAGGTATTACATTATTCGTTATTCCGTTAAAGCTGATGTTTCGGTACTATCGCCTTCTTCAGAGCCTGGAAGGATATATTGAAAGGCAATTTACTATGTCAAACGCTCCAATAACACATACAGAAAGGTGAAAATCTAAATCGCAATCACACGATCAACAGCTTCTCGAAAAACACCGTTCATTGCTTGCCTTCCACTGAGGAAGAACAGCTGATCAGAGTCGTATTTGGTTGACGACTGCACCTCCCCACATCAACGATCGATGCGAAGCTACGGGCGAGATCACGTGTGATCTCGGGGCATTCCCCCCTGCTATTCATTATAGGGTTCCTGGCATTTATCCAAAAGCCTCTAAAAGTTTGAGCGTTGGTGTTTTAGTCTCCGGTGCGAGAATATTGACTTTTACATCGAAATCGTCTCCGCTATGCTTTTGTATCCTATGCGTCCCCAGTGGGGTATTTTGTCATACTTTTCGTTTGCCATCTAGATTTTCTTTCATGTGGACACGTAAAGGTCTGCCCATTTCGCCAATACACTCATCTCCGCAAGTACAATTTGAAATCAGGTATATCGCACCTGAACTCATGCATTCGCCGTCCCTGCCGTAAGGGCAAATTACGCAACTTTGTGTTTCGCATAGACGATCATTAACTAACTGACGACGAAGACTTGGCTCGGCAAATAGCCATCTCCAATGGCTACGAAATAGTAACCCCACGAGATAAGTTTAGAACGAGAGCGACGCCGCAAAACGAAGAACATGGCCAAGACAAAATTCCGTGTATGTTACCCTTCATTAGCGATGAAGTAAGTGTAGCTATAAAACGATGCTTAAGAAGGGTAGGTCTAGAGGAATCGGTAGCGATAGTTGAAATACCACTCGACTCGTCATCAGTTAGTTCGTAATCGCCTGTATGACCGTCTGTGCGAAACACAAAGTTGCGTAATTTGCCATTACGGCAGGGATGGTGACTTCATGAGTTCAGGTACGGTATACCTGATCTCTTGTAACAATTGCGGAGATGAATATATTGGCGAAACGGGTAGACCTTTGTGTATCCGTATAAAAGAACATCTAGATGGCAAACGAAAACTAAGACGAAGCACCCCACTAGGCACGCATAGCATACAAAAGCATAGCGGAGACGATTTTGAAGTGAAAGTCAATATCCTTGCACAGGAGTCCAAAACACCAGCGCGAAAACTAAACTATTTACTAAACTATTTACGTGTCCGCATGAAAGAGACCCGCACGTAACATCACGGCTCTGAGGAAGGCGAAGTCGCCGAAACGTCAGCCATCGATTAATAGCATCAAAAACAACGACAACGAAGACCTATACCAACCTCGCGTCAGCTTAAGAAGATCAGTTTATAAGATCACATAAATAAATATAACAACTATATATGCCGAGCAATTCCCAAGACCGACTTTCTGTTAACCTCGGCATTAATTGATAATTCAATGTTTTTTCTTCAATAAGCAGACACGAGGTTGTTAATATAGAATTTATTAGAACACAATTGCTGACGTTTCGGCGGTTTCGCCTTCCTCAGGGCCTGGAAAGGTCAAATTGGGATGCGATCTGTTCAGCCAAACACTTTCATAACCCCAGCAGATAAAACTTAACAAATAAATTTGTATTCGTATAAGAAACAGCTTCATTTAAACACCTACCGTTTATTCATTGTAGGTATTTAAGTTAGTTGATGGATAGCAGCCGCACAGAGTAATGCATTGGCGATAACTGTGTCTGTGTCAGGTCATTGGATTAGCCTGAGGTATGGCGCCAGGTCACGCGTGGATACAAGACACTCCTCCTTGCGGTTCATTTTTGAATTTTTGGAATTGATCCGAAACGCTTCAAGAGTTTTATGCGCTGATGTTTTCGATTCCTGCGTGGGGATAGTGACTACTACTTCAAAATCTTCTCCGTTGTATTCCTGCATCCTATGCGCGCCTAGTGGAGTATTTTGTTTTACGTTCGACGTTACCTCCCTTTACACAAACTTGTCGAACGACTCCGCAATGCAAACCATCCGCGAGCTTCTTGAGCAACACGAAGGAGCAATTAACATGTATGGCTTTTCGATTCAGCAGCTTATGGTCCTCCTGAAGGTCTTTTTAAACTGCTCGATCTTCAGATGGTCCGGGAAATATTACGCGCAAATTGAGACAGCGACTGGCACCAACCCTTGCCGTTGCCTTTATGTCTAAAGTGGAAGCACCAGTAATCGATCTCACGCCATTACTCTACTGTGGGTATATAGACGATTGTTTTGTCATCTGCTCCACACAAGAGGAGATGGACAATGCTTTAAGTTATTGAATAAACAGTCAAAGTACATAAAATTCACCCATGAGAAACCGAAAGAAAAATGGCTTCCCATTTCTAAACCTTCAAATTAACCTATCCGAGAACGGCTACAACACAAAATGGTATCGAAAGCCAAGCAGTAAGAATATAGTGGTTCATTACCGCTCCTCTCACACCTCACACACTAAAAGGGCGCTTATAGGAAATATGTTTCGAACCGCTTCCAGCGTGTGCACAGGTAGGGATCAGAGGGAAGAATCCTCGAAGCTGGCCCGGCAAATAGCCATTTCAAATACTTACGAAACTGTAGCTTCTCGGCATAGGCATCGAGGAAATACCACACCCCAGAGCCATATTTCTAGTGAAAACAAGGCTCCGTTCCTGTTGCCCTTTATTTCCAACGAAATAAGTGCAACTATAAAACGCTGTGTTGTTTTCTTGTTCAGCAATCGCGAGGTTTTTAAACAGCTGATTATAAAACGCTGATTAATAAGGGCCGGTCTAGAGATCTCCGTAAGAGTGATAGAAATACCACCGGACACTCTAAGACGCCAGCTAGTTCGCAACTGCCTATGCGACCGTCTATGTTCAACAAAAAACTGCATAATTTGCCCAAATGGTAGAGACGGTGATTGCATGAGTTCGGCTACAGTCTATCTGATCTCTTGTAAATCGTGCGAGCACGAATATGTTGGCGAAGCGGGTAGATCGCTCTGCGTCCGCATAAAAGAACACCTAGTCGGTAAATTTAAATTAAAACAAAATACTCCACTAGGCGCGCATAGGATGCAGGAACACAACGGAGAAGATTTTGAAGTAGGAGTCACTATCTCCACGCAGGAATCGAAAACACCAGCGCGTAAAACTCTTGAAGTGTTTTGGATCAATGCCAAAAATTCAAAAATTAACCTCAAGGAGGAGTGTTTTGTCATCACGCGTAACCTGGCGCCATACCTCAGACTAATCCAACTAACCTGACACAGACACCGTTATCGACTAACTTAAATACTTACAACAAATAAACGGTAGGTGTTTGAATGAAGCTGTTTCTTATGCGAATGCAAATTTGTTTGTTAAGTTTTATCTGCTGGGTTTATGAAAGTGTTTGGATGAGTAGATCGCATCTCAATTTAACCTTCCCAGCCTCTGAAGAAGGCGAAACCGCCGAAACGTCAGCAATTGTATTCTAATAAATTCTATATTAGCAACCTCGTGTCTGTTTATTGAAGAAAAAACATTGAATTATCTGTGCCGAGGTTTGTGGAAAGTCGGTCTTTCGAAATAGCACCTTGTGTTTGTTCAGCAAGAATATCAAGATCCATGCTTAAAGCTATTCCTACTAATTATACTGCTCTTTGGAACGTTGTTTTTTCTCTTGTAGATCGCGGACTTTGGCCTTGCTAGAGAATATGGCGATCCTCTTAGGCCGTACACAGCTGTTGTTGTTACATTATGGTATCGAGCTCCAGAGCTTCTGCTCGGTCAAAAGGTGTCTTTCAGTATACTTTCAAATTGCTGCCACTTTAAGTTAAAATTACCACAGTGTTTTTCAGCTTTACTCGACTCCTATAGATCTTTGGTCTGTTGGCTGCATAATGGGAGAATTTGTTCATCTTAAGCCGTTATTCCCAGGAAACGGAGAGCTCGATGAAATTAACAAGATATTCATGGTGACAATTTTAGCGCAATCTAATTATTACTTAGTTCCCTTTCCATCTAATATTGTCCATGTTTCTTCTAGGAGCTCGGGACACCTTCAGAAAGTATTTGGGAGGGTTATACCGATCTTCCAGGTCCAAAAATGGTGTGTTTTTATTAGTTTATTGATAGTGGAGAAAATAGAATGAAGTGTGATTGAGTAGTCTTTTTACTCATTCTTCCAATGTTTGATCGTTTTTAGATGAAGCTTGGAAACTATCCGTACAACCAGCTAAGAAAGAAGTTTCCCGCTGCTGTTATGAATGAAAGCGGCTTTAAGTTATTGAATAGGTACTTCTAGCAGCTTATTTTTTTGTTCGAAATTACCATTGCTGCTAATTACTAACATTTCTACTAGTATTATTGTTTCCTTAGAATCAGTGTTGCCTTACATCTTTTTGCAGTTGCTTTGTATTTCTGTGAAGGAACCGAAGTCGGTTATAATATTAATACATTTCAGGTTTTTGACGTATGATCCTAAGCGGCGTATAACTGCGGAGGAAGCGTTAAATGATAAGTGGTTCACGTATGTCATTTCTTATTCTTTTGAACCGTTTGTTTTCTCAGAATGGGCTAACGTCTCTATAATATTGTCCTCGAAATGTTTTCTACAGAAGTCATTTTTTAGTGAAGACCCAAAACCAACTCCACCCGAAATGTTCCCTACTTTCCCTGCAAAAAGTGAGCAGCATCGAGCACCGCCTCCGAAAGTTGATAATTCGCACAAAAAGGCTGAGATAATAGTAAGGGTTTCTCCATTGCTTATAAGTTACATTTTCTACTTTTACTCACATGAAGGGCGCGTGTAGCGCAGCGGTGGGGGACACCCTGCAAAACACATGGGATCGATCCCCACCTCACCAGGCTCGCCAAGCCTTCTATCTCCCTGTGGTCGGTAAATTGGTACTAGACTTGTCTGGGAAGGCAGCAGCACTGGCTCGATACGTCGGTGAGCCACGACGAGTCATTGTAAAGGCCATATATGCATTCAGTCGTCTCCAAACGGTGAAGTCGAATGCATGGCGCATCCCCAAGGGTAGTTCAACACCGAGAACTTTATCCTTCTTACACCTTATTTCACATGAAGTTTTAATTCCGATTAGTTCTTTTTTCGGTTAATGTTCATATCACGCGCTAATGTAGCGGCGAATGCAGGTTATGATTTTTAGAATCCGGAAAGAGCAAAACTCCTCGCTGATCTCAAGGTGCGACCAGATCAAGTTACATCCGGTTCCTTCTCGTTGAAATTTGACAAAACAAGGTTCTAATGGAAATCTAATGCCAAATTTACTATAATGTTAGTGTTCGCGCCAATAACAATGTAAAAAGGTCCGTACTGTCATTTTATCACTGTTCCTGATAGTCGTTAGTACCTTCTGTTTGTATATTCAAATGATTTTTTGATGCTGTCAAAATGAACAATCGCTCCAGAAGAAATGTGTCCATTGGGCATCACCCTATGTAAAGTCTTACAAGTAAATATTTTCGTATTTATTTTCTACAAGTAAATATTTTCGTATTTATTTTCTCTCGTACTGTAGGTTTACTAAGTTCAATTCAAATGAAAATGGCATGCGTAGATGTTTCGAAAGTGCTGAAATGGAAGGCAAAATGAGTGAAATAGTTCAAATCGGATTTAGGAGACGGTATTTGAAACTTTAAAACTCTCAAATGAAGCCGGTTGTTAAGTTAGTAGCGCCTTAATTCTGTGGACATACAGTTGCCACTTTTACGGGCGTGGTGTCTGTATTCCTCAAAATAGTCTGCAGTAAAATAGCATTCAATTGAAACGGGAGCTTTATGATGTTTCACCAAAAGCGCCACCATTTCCTCTTGTTTTCACTTGAAGATGCATTGATAGGCTTTCCTTCATTTTTGTTCTTTTCTTTCTTTTGTTTCTTGTCTTTTTCGATGTTTCTGGTTCTGTAAATGATTGTTGGTGTTTGATATGATCAATTCCTTAATGTAACCTTTAACTATAAGTTATCTGCCTTTAACATTTTATGCACTGCATAGAACGTTACAGGCGACTAAGTGATTACTGTACATACAGAATTCATTCCATTACTATTCTGATTTTCGCACGAGTTATGAGTCAAGTAGAAAAATAAAACAAACTTGTTTTTTTCGGCGCTCAAGTTTTGGACGTTCTCTGAGGAAGTATTGGGAGCTGACCTATAATGTAAAAAGTTATCTCTATTATTTTTATAGTAAATATGCCATAAACTCATCTGCCATTAGTTGAAAGCTCACTGTAACTGAACACTTACACAATAATCATCACCTATGTTATTGAGTTAGCTTGGAAGTGACTACTTCGATGTGACTTTCTTAGAAGCGCTAGCCTTAGATATACGTCTAACCTTGTCCTTCATCTTCACCTTGCCTTTACAAACACTTACGGCCCGACATGAGTGGATTTCCGAGGAGCGACAGGCTTCACATTAGCTTATCTGCTTTCTGTGGTTTATTTTACCGCTCAGGGTTCCTCATGTTGTAAGTTTTTGCGTACGGTCGATAACTTAACGAACGCAGATGTAACAGGACCGATTTACTTCCTGTGCTCTTTAATACATAAACTTTTTGGCGTGCTGATTGACCTACGTGAATTGATGTCAATACACGGGGAGTGCTGCAAAAAATTGGGAATAGATTTGACACGATAGGTGCACAGAATTAAGCATGAAGCCATAAATATGAAGAAGACCAAAGGCAAACGCTTGTTGATCTTTTTCGATTGCCGTGTCCTCACATTCCTTAGTAAAGAGTGAAGACACGAGATTTCCTTCGGCGAAAAACTTAGCGCTCACTTTTTTGCTTCATACGCTTTTTTGATGTGGTCATTTTTGTTGGTCGTTTGCCGAGACGATAGCTCTTCGGACATCCTAAATTTGTATAAGTTCGGTTCATCCATTGTTTGGGAAATCACCTTAAAATGCGCTCTCAGTTGTGACTATGAGTACCGATTAGAGCTAATCACCTAGTTGTATTATTAGAAGCGTTGTGAAATATAACCACAATGGTGCTGAGATATTTGCAAAACTCCAGACTACGGGTGTATGAGGTGGGAATCGGAAACGCTATTACCCTTTGCGGGGCTAACGCGTTCACCGCCATACTGATCCTTGCTGATCCTTCGTCTGGCCTTTCTCACAGCAGTGTTTTGCAGGTGCTATAGGGCTAACTGGGTTGCCACACAGCTTAACTGGGTTCGGTGCCGATTTATGCTCCCCAAATCAATACAATTGACGGGTGACTTCTGATGATACCTATGAAACAAGGTTGAGAGAAAGGCGAAACGAAACACCCGCATGTGAATGCACTAGCCCCCCAAAAGGGTAATAGCGAGTTCGATCTCCATTGCAGACACCTGCGGGGCGGTTTTTTCCAAATATCTCAGCGCCATTGTGGTTGTATTTCCTATCATACCCTGCCATAAAAAATGAATAGGCATTTAAAAGAAGTGATTACATTATAAACATTGTTTAAGAATAAGTTAAGCAGCTATTCTTACAGTGTTCCATTGTCGTCCAGTGTGGAACTCTGAGTGGTGGGCGTCGATGTTTCTTGTCTCACTTCACCAATTTTCCGAAGAAGTGCATTTTTCGGCATTCTGAACAGAAATTACTGAAGTGTGGATTTCTATGGAGACCTTCGAGTCCTTAGGATTTCTTTGCTTACTTAAGTTTCTTGGTTCCATCTGTGTGTTTCTTGCTAGTCATTCCTTCATTGGATGCATTTTTCTGTTCCCCCAAAGCGCCGTTGGTCTGAAGTGCACGTATAAGCCTGATTAATATGGTTGTGCTGGACAGCTGCTTGGATAACTACAAAAGCACAACTTCCTTTGCTGACGAATAAAAATGCGAGTCAAGCATAAGTGATTTAGGGTTTAGATGTTATCGGTTGTTGGCAAATATGTTATAAAAGTAGAAACGTTCTTACTCTAGTTCTATTTGTTGCGATGGATTCAAGTTTCAGCTCAAGGGACATAGTTAATCTACACGAGAACGTACAGATAATGTACAGACCTCTCTCAGCTAAACACAAATTTCCTTGTGCTACCATGATAAAGTTTTCTTCTTCTTCTTTTGAGTCCTCAAAACTTCATTTTTTGCTTTAGACCGTTTCTTAGCAATTTAGCCGTTGATGTAGCGGAGCTCTATCCGGGAGAACAATGATGTTCGCAAATATATTGCTGAAGTTCGCTTTGGTCGATTTTGCGATGAGTATTTCAAAAGTTTGAACTCTAGTTCCGTTTTCTTTTTTTTTGAAAATTTGAAGATGAAACCAGCTCAGTACTGAGATAACATCCCGGAAAACTTGTGCTTATCTTTGAAGCGACAGCGTAAAGCTTCTTCTAGAAGTATCAGTTCCCAGTCTATTAAGCAACTCCTGACGTAGTGTTATTGTCAAAGTATTATTGGCAGTTATTGGTAAGCAGCATATGGGGCGTTATGTATGTAGAAACTACTTAGTTGGCTTTGTTTAACGGGAAACAACTGAGTTCTGCTAATACAGTCTACTTATATTTCGTATAGACACCTCATATCTACTCATAGACGCTTATACGCTATTCCAATTGCAGAACTCTTTTTCTTCGAAATAAAAATCGCCCAAATGTTCTCTGTTTATTATTGTAAAACGATATGATACGGTTGATGTAACAAATATGTTCGTTGGCAACATAAGTACTTATTGAGGACACAGTTTCTTCTTCTTATTCTTCAGAACCATGAACCAAAATCTTCAGAAAAAACACAGATTTGCTTGACTTAACATCAATCCGTGTGTAGCGCAGGAGTCGTAGGCTGCCTTAATAAATATGGGATTGATCCCCACGCCCAAGGCTCACCAAGCCTTCAATCCCTCCGGGGTCGGTAAACTGTTACCAGACTTGTCTGAGAGGATAGCAGCACTGGCCCGATACACCGGTAGGCCACCGCTAGTCATTTTAAAGGTCAGATATGCATTCAATCCCCTCCAAACAATTATTAATGAAGTCGAATGCATGGCGCATCCCTCAGGGACTGATCAAGGCGGAGAGCTTTATCCTTTATTTTTTTATAACATCGATCCTTTATACTTTCGCTTTCTACAGTATCCGGAGCCATAGGCACGTAAAAATGTGGCAGACCAATTGGTGAGGCCATATTTCCTTGTAATGGAAGCTAGGAAGAACGCCATTCTTTGTTGTTCGTTCTTCTGCTGCGTTATCTGTGTGGTTTACACATTGCCGTAGTAGTAAGTCTGCTGCATATTTGCTGTCCTTCAAAGTGAGTTCAAGTTTTCGTTGAATCATTTGGCGACCTTTCTTAGCGTTAAGAATTCATGAAATATGAGTTCACACAATAAAGTTCATATTGTGAAGCCTTTCCTTAGGTATTTATTGTTTCATCGTTAGTTTCTAACATAACTATGTATGCATATGTATTCTTCTCGAATATTTAACGAACAACATAGAGGTTACGGATTTTATGAACAAAAACCTAGATAACTTGTTTGGAAGAATTCATAGCCTTTCAAGACATATAGAGGATAAAGGTTAAGTATAAAGCTCTCGGCGTTGATCAATCCCTGAGGGATGCACCATGCATTCGACTTTATTAAGTATCGTTGGAGGTGAATGAATGCATATGTGGCCTGCACAATGGCATGCGGTAGCTTGCCGATGTATCGAGCCAGTGCTGCTATCCTCTGAGACAGGTCTGGTACCAATTTGCCGGACCCGGATGGATGGATTGCTTGGTGGGCCACAGGCGTGGGGTTCGATCTAATATTTATTGCAGGAAGCCTCCGACCACCGCGCTACACCCGCCGAACATAATGAGATTAGCTTGAAATCGTCCAAAACCTAAGTATTGATTATTAGCAATTGATTTCAATTTGATTGTCGGTTCAATTTGTTAAGGTGTACTTACTGGTTGGTTGATATCCTTACAGTGTAGTAGTAAGTTCATTGACAACATCGCATCGCACCGAGCCACATGGCAAGACCTAATGAAGGAAGTGTAATGAAATAGAACTTCGCCCATATGCTTAGAAAGTTTCGTTATGATTCTTCATAGGAATCTTACGTTAGAAAACACATGAGCATAATGCCACTTTGTTAATGACATTTTTAAGCTATACGAGGAAATTATGGAATAGTCGACTCCGAATGGGCGGCACACATGGAGCAGGTGTTAGCTCCATGTTAAAAAGTGTCTTCAATGAAAACAAAGTGGGTTTTGGGAAGTTCCCACCACTGTTTCCCATATATATACAATTAGTTTACATAGAAATTCTTTAGAGGAAATTAGGAGAAATGTATTATCTCTGAAAATTTTAGAAAATCACTATTTTGAGGAGTAATGAAAGAAGTGGTTTCTTTTCTACCGACAAAGACTTTAATTATATCCTACGGTCAAGTCACTGAAAATAGAGGAATGCACTTAGAATCTGACATTTTGGAAAAATTAAGACGTGAAGTTGATTCTCGTTATCGTTAAGTGACTGCGACGAGAGTTTGATGAATGTTGCTTACCTACCTAAGGTATTAGGTATTGCGCAAGTAACCTGTGGGCGTTTTTCTGCACTTCTTCCATTCTTTCCATTCTATGGCAGTACTCATCCATAAAAGTGATGGATACGTCTGTAGTTTTTCGTTGCACCTTGGGAATTGGTTGCTGTTTTTATTCCTTGATGAAGTTCTCAGTATTGGTGTGGCACGGTGTTCCTTAGAACAGCGACATCCCATCCTAGCATAATCGCAGGTGTTCAGGACAAGCGGACATCGTGCTATGTCGATCGGTTTCTTTCAGTTCTCGTGATTTTTCAGCCAAATGATGGAGAGCGATGGGACGAGTCGACTACTTTTTGTTCAACATGTGTTTAAATTGTTGAGCTCACACGAAGTTGATAATAAGGTTCATTCGGCTGACGTTTCGATGTCGTCGCCTTCATCAGAGCCGTTGGTTCGAGTCGATGGTCCTGGTCCACAGTTGTTCGTCTTCTCGATGTGGCGTCTTCGTCTTTGAATGGAGTCGGATCTTTCTTAGCGGATCACCTCTCGAATGAGGCGTACTCACCCGGAGAGGCTCTTTTATACAGGAACCAGGCTGTTGATAATAGTGACTGCTCGGTGATACCGAGTTGTTTTTTTTCCGGACAATGCATTCTACAGATTATAGATTCGGTATTATTATCAGCTAATACAGAGCATAATAATATTTCAAAAACCAACTTTCCTTTAATCTCGGTATGACAAAGTAACATGTGTTTAAACTGTTGAGCTTACACTAGGTTGATTATAAAGTTTATTCGGCCACCGTTTCGACATCTTTGTCTTCATTAGCTATTATCAACAGCCAGAATCCTATATAAGAGCGTCGTCGGGTGAGTATTCCTCATTCGAGAAATGCTCCACTGAGGAAGATCCGACTCGATGCGAAGACGAAGACGCCACATCGAGGACACGAACAATTGTGGGCCATCGACTTGGATCATCGGCTCTGATGAAGACAAAGACGTCCAGACGTTAGCTGAATAAACCTTGTTATCAAACTCGTGTAAGCTCAACAATTTAAACAAAAGTCGGTTTTTGAAATATCCTTTTTGTTCACTGGAGGATACTAATTTCAGATGACCTTTTCTAAACGTCTACTGTGCTATGGTACCTGCATTGTTCGACATACAGGGATCAGGTGCCGTTTAATTGTTTTGTATATAAAAAGTAAGTTGAGAACATTTTACTTCGTGGACTTCATTCCACAAGGCGAGCGACCTATTAACATTTATGAGATCCGTATCTTCAAAATAGTTTATGCTCTATCACCCCCTTCTCCTGATGGTGACTAAATAATTCTATTAGGTGTCCATCTTCGGTAAACCAATCCGTACCAGGACGGACGAGAATCCCCTTCAGCAGCTATTACAAGAGTTAAACAATGGTTCTAAATAAAAATTTGTCCAAAATTCATAAAAATAGCTCGACGTGAATTTTTCAATGAGGCAAAAGTTCTTAAATGTTTGGGATTACCGTTGAGTACATTATATCTTGCTAACCTATGGGGATGATTTTGTAACATTAGTGGAACGAGTCAACCGGCTGTTCAAAAATATTGCCGCCTTTCTCGAGTGTTTGAAACATAGTGCAACTAAGAATCACTGTTTGACCACATAAGGGAACCTACAGAATAGCGAAACTCTGACGTTTTCGTTCGCATTTCTCCATTTGTGAAGCGATTCTATTGAAAGTTACTTCAACGTCCTCCACCTCTCTGAAGCGTTTTGTCCGTTCATCCCAAAGTTTTATAGAACAGTATAGTTTCTACGCATTTCTTAAAAATTACACGAGTTTCTATGAAAGTAAAAGGATACACACTGTTGAATCTGAAATGTTTTTAGGCCACATATGCCATCATTGTGTTGGAGAGCTTCATATTTAGCACATTCACAATCATCTACACTAGTTTTCAATTCGTGCATTTTCGAAAAGAAATTAAGGTTCCAACTTTAAGCAAGAACATCTCACCTCAATGTGGGTTTGACTTCTCTGCATGGTCAGGCATAGCATACTATGCCGAACACGATACTTCTTTTACTTGACTCGTTTTTACCACGTTTACCATTATCATTATTATTTGCTACCATTTTTTACCATTATCCTCGAAAGTCTTCGGATGGCTCAGTGCTTAAGGAATTCGTATTCTTCACAAATGTTGCTGAATGATGATAGAGAAGGTTCTATGTGGAATTGAAGTAGCTCTACTACACCGTTTACAGGTCTATATTACAAGCATTGCAATTCCTTGTGGATTGGAGAGAGCCAGCAGCCAGAGCTAATTCCAGACGAGTGGTACGAAATCCCTAATCCCGGAGAGGTGGGAGCCTTGACTGGCCTGAGGCAGGGTCGTACGATGGCATCGTGGGCATTGAATGGCGCTTCTTCCATCTGGTTACATTTGTGGGGATTACTAAGTGGATCAAATGCCTTTCAGATATTTAAAAAGGGTCCTGGAGAAGACGAAAATTCCCAAGTGTCGACCATCGAAAATTGAGATACATGTTAAAATTGAAAGACGTATATGTATGAGTGTAACGACTAAACTACTACTTGAAACTACTTGGCTGGCCTACCTACTTAGTTTCCTAGTTTCTTAGTTGTGCGGACCCCAGCATAGTTTCCATTCCCCGGTTATTTGCCGGTTTACCCATTGTATTTCACTGGAATATCGGAGTCAGTCTGCCCAAAGTCTGCCCCATGTCGTCACTAGCACAGGCATTCGCAACACTTGTGGATCAGCGGGAGATTTTCCACCATGCGAGTAGTTTGGTACCAGAACGGTGACGGGTCCTGGTATTGGTTTACTCTTAGCTGGGCTTCCTTATAGAAACGTCGTACTCCTCTGCTTGAGAGACCGTGCTGGGAGATGAATCCCTCTGCTGCACATCGCAGCCCGACACCCACGAACACCTCCCAGCCACGATGAGTCGGCAAACTTTTGGAGAGAACGGTTAAACCAAACGTAACGAATTTAGAAACAGTAGTTGCAATAGCCTACCGAAAGGTCAGTTCAGTTCCAGACGCCCTATCGGACAAGTTCAGTACCAACATGCCTACCTCAAAGAGAATGGTAGATTGCTGGGGTAAACGAGGCGCAGCATGGAACCGCCGACCACGTAAGTATTGCAGGGCATCTCTGATCATTGCGTTACATCCAAACATCCCTTAGTATCCAAAGGCGTTGATTCGGTCGTCGTAATGTCATATTTCTCTGTTTCACTAGAGACCAAGGAACGTGAGAGAACTAAATCTCTTCTTTGAATGAGATCACAGTTACCCGATTAAGCAAAGGGGCTAGAACACATCACAATGGAGGTGTTTCCACTGGTATGAAAAAGTTCTGATAAACAAAGATGCGATGCATGTTTCAAATCTAGGACAATATTTCTAAAGAAGATAGAGAAAAAAGAAGAGATCCATGAATTTTAGGAATATAAAACTGCTACTAAGTATCCTTTTGGCGAAAATTTGATTTGCTATTAAAAGTTCAGCAGAGAAATCATAATGCCTGCAAATTTTCTTTTCTTTCAACACTTACACATCCATATTTTCCACTTCAGCCGTCGATTTCTCGAGAAGTTGCTCTAGCTTATCAAAGCAGCTCTTTGCAGCAATCTGTAGCGTAAACGATTTGTTCTGTGTTTATTCTTAACAGTCAGTATGACTCATACAACATCGTCTCATCTCAGAGCATATTTTAGAGCTAACAGGGGAAATTCTTAACCATACAGAAAAATACTTCCATCGTATTACTAACCTTTATGTCTTTATTAGCGTTGACAATTCTTTCAGCTTCGCTCTCTTTTCCATCTTGTGTTTTCTCTACATCGTCTTTTGACTTGTCTATGAGATTTGCTTTACATTTTTTCGAACTATTCTATTAAAGGCTACTACGATAGCGTTCTTTCATCAGAGTCGAAAACTTCTAAAGCTAAGTGAAATTTTAGCAGACGATATCAACTAGCTGTTATACTATACTGTATGAAAAGTAAGGATGATGTGATCACCGGACATTGTCTGCTTCGATGCAGTCGAAATGAGGTTCCAAGTTTATTAGAAATGAATAAATTCGAACTCCTCAATGTTACTGATAAGATGTTAGGTATCCATTCAGAGTCATCAATATCGTACGAACTTCTACCGCCTTTGAAAAGGTGGAAAACGTAGAAACAGCAAAATTTTACTAAAAGTGTTTTATTAATTGAGACATTTAATAGTGCAGGTATATCATGGAAGTCGAGTGCTCTGCCGGACGTTAAGCCACTCATGTGTTCCTCGACGGCCCTTCGCATATCCTGTCCGATTGTTCTCTGGAAAGAAAAAATCGCATGAATGTATTCCCGCAGCGAAACTAAGGTTCATCAAATGCTCCTGATGTAGGCATTAATATTTTTTAGTTAACTGTGAATCAATACATATGCTATTGAACGTACAGACTTTCCCTACCTTCCAGTTGCTCGCTAGAACGTACTTTTTATTCCGCAAAAAGCTGGTCGCGTCCAAAACAAGCGTAACATTTCTCATATATGCGAAGAAAGAAATGTCCATCGGACCAAACTAAGCGAAGAACGTTCTTTTTATTTTGTACTGCCACTTGAACACCGATCAAAACCGTGCTTTGTGCTTTGCTGTTGTTTTCCGTATTGTACATTTAAATGGTAAATTGAAAAAATGAATTGATCATAGATGTTACATGATTCTGATCGTAGCGCCGAAGTGTGTCTTCATACTGTTCCATTCGGTTGGTGTTAGTGTATCCTTGACAAGAACGACGACGCTCTTCACAAAGTCCGGAGTCAACTGTTTCGACATAGCCATATAGGCCATATCCGGTGTTTCACCGTTAGCATGCACCTAAATGAAGAATCTGCAAGTTTTTTTTCTTCTACTGTTTAGGAGGTCTATTGTTCGAAAGGTGAGATACTTCTCGTCATTACACGTCACCGGTTTTTGTTTTCTTCCTCTATGGATTCATCATGATCAGAAGAGATTGTAGGGTTCTCTCCTACTCTACTGTGCATGAGGAACAGTGTAGGAAGAAGGATACGAGTTTCGAGTGAAGAGGTATTCTTTACCAGCTTTTAAGCATCGGTAAATTGAATCCAGTTAAATCATTCAGTGTGGTAGCTATGGTAGTTTCTAAGTATATCCTTATTTTTTGTCTCCTTATTCTTTCTATTCCTAGAAGTCATTCATGAGGCTATGATACGTTGTCATGGTATCGTGTATTTGGCCGATAACTCGCAGAAACTCCACCATGTCGATAGCAGGACTGACACCATAGGCGACTACCATTTTCGTGCGACGCAGTACGTCATTAGCGCCTTCATCACCAAGGTCCTAAAGAAGAAGAAAGCAACTATGATGTAATTTTACTTCTAACTTTGAGCAAACCTTGATCAGGGCTTTATAGCCGTCGGAGATGTTCTTCAATTGTGCCGTTGTCAGTGTCGTCTTCAAGTAGTCGTATAGATCTGTAACGTTTTAAAATCATAGTCGCCGATCCCATGAATGTGGTCTCTGATCTTTTTCTTTACTGAGCTTTACTGTTTATTCTCTGACTATATTTCGTTGATGAGACCTCCAAAGAGTGCAAAAGTTTTATTAAAAAGAAAGGAGGTTGTTCAACTTTTTTTCCTTTACATCGTGAACAACGCTGTCCAGTTGCTCCTGCTTGAACATTCCAGGAGGAAAAGCTCAAACTCTAATATCAAGGTAGCAAATTGTTTGCTAGTTCATCTTATTACAGTTGGTGATATAAAATAGTGCTTCGCTTAAACTATAAATTGATTAATATCGTGGTTTTAACCTTTTTACTTACTGCCTATTCTTTTTAACGGCAAGGTATGTTGCGAAATATAACTGCTATAATACTGAAATATTTACAAAACTTCGGACCGCAGGTGTCTGCGGTGGGAACGAACGCGCTATTGTCCTTTCCAGGGAGTAGCGCGTCCACCACCACACCACGCTGGTCCTTCGTTTCGCCTGTCTCCCAGCTAGTTCTATCGATCTTTTGCCATCAGCAATCACCCGTCAACGGGATTGATCTGAGGAGCCCAAATCGGCATTGAACCCAGTTAAGCTGAGGCTATAGTTATAATCACAATCTTAACCTTTTTACTTACATGGGGTTCCCCACCGCAGGCATCTGCGGTCCGGAGTTTTGCAAATATCTCAGCATTATAGTAATATTGTGATTATCTAATGGTCCAAGCTGTTCCTCCCACCGGACATGATCTCCTCTGGTTGCTTTGTCTTATGAATGTCGAGTGCTATGATGTCGACACCCTGAAAAATTTTGCTCATTTCTAGGTACTTAAATCAGTCGTTCACAACCCTGAACTGTTCATTGGCAACTCGTGGCTGCTGAGAGTCCATACCTGACTAGCCCAAGAAATTTGAAACTGCAGTAAGCACACGACAAAAATTCTTATATCTGGCAGCACTCAATGGCAAAAGCATAGATAACCTGATGGATCATGAGTGGCATCTGCCTGTGATGGAAAAGCATTTTTGACGATTAAATGAACAACGAATTCACCAAGTAGTTGCATATTTTATTTTTTAGGATTTTTTTATTGTGTCAATATTTAGGTCGAGTTGATTTTTAAATGGAACCGAAGCCTATAATGAGTGCCGATTTTGAATATTACGTTCTTGCAAGTGGCTATTACGAACGAATTCACTTAGTACTCTGTGGTGGTAATATCCCAAAGCGAATAATCAGAGCTATATTTAGCATCACATCTTGGCAGTACTAAGCAATCGAAAAAAATTTTTTATCTGAACGGTTCATCTCTTAACAATTTTAAAAAGTGTTACCAATTAAAGGCTAAAAGAACACAAATGGAATTCGATCGATTGATATTTACCGTTGATATCTGAGATTCGTTGAGGAATCCAGTGACGAGATCGTTGACTTTTCCCACCAAAATCTTTTTTGGTGTGAATTGAACGATGCAGGTGGCAATTCCGACAATTGCAAAGAAGAAAACACATTTCATCTTAGTGCTGAAAACCGAGAGGTAACAGTGTATCTGACGGGTGAATAGACATGCACCGAAGAAAGAAAAGCATTTCTATTACTCTGATTTTACGGCAGTCTTCAATACAAAGATTTATTTGTCGAGGAGAAAACATGATTACGAGAGAACTGGTTGTAATTTCTATACAAAGAGCGTTTTCCTTGGACTACATCACCCCAGTACGATCGTCAATGGGGGCTACCGATCAAACATCACTTGCTCATGAAGCTTTTTTGGCCATTCTAATTTATGATGTCCCTCATACTAAAATCACTCATGATACACTCACTCATGGTTATGATAGTATTACTCATCTATGTCGTGAAAAATAACAGAAGTGAAGTTTTTCGGTCTTAGGAGGATTAAGAGAAAATCGGCATGGACACCTTGCACTGAACTTGAATGCCATCAGTGTGAAAATTGTCATTCCATTTTACTACCTGGATCTACTTAGTACTTTAGAAAAAAGTGCGTGTAGAAGCAAAGTAGTAGATGCGATCGACGTCGAATGTGGCTATCGGTACACCTGACGGACGTTTTATAGTAACATTTTTGGATGCGCAATATTTGGCACGCGGCAATTGGCTTTGCCTTTGTTGTCGTTCGATGAACCTTGACAAGAAAACAGAACTAATCTCGATTCGCGATTTCGAGTGAACGATTTCGTCGGTGTTAACGAGAATACAATGCGTATTTCAGAGATTTTGTAATCATGTGATAGCTGGAACACGTCCCGAGACCAAAGCCAGTTTTTTTTTACTATGATTCCTAGTACAACTGCTTATCCTTCACCTTGAAATTTCGTCCCACTCTTAGTTTTCAATCTCTGAAAGTAGGGCTAATCTACAATGAGAGTTAGTTAGTATTCACGGGTCACGCTTACATGGAGAATACTTCGCTAGTTGGAATGGAAGACGCGTATCCTGTTGGCATGCAAGGAACGAAACGCAGATGGAAAAACCACGTATTATACATGGCACACCATCCAAGCACAGTTTGGTATTAACCCCAGTTAAGCTGTACTGTACTATAAATCGGAATGTGGCCACTTTTTATTTCGTGCCTATTCTTTTTTCCCCAGATCAAACCCACTGATGTTTAATTGCTCATAGCACCTATAGGTTAAAACACAGCTGAGAGAAAGGTGAAATGAAGGACCCGTATGGTGTGGTGTGAATACGCTAGCTACCGGAAAGGGTAGTAGCGGGTTCGATCCACATCGCGGACACTTACTTTCCAGAGCTTTGCAATCATCTCAACACCATTGTGGTTATATTTTACATCGTAGCCTGCCATAAAAAAGAATAGGCAGTAAATAAAAAGTGGCTACATTGAAGAGAGCCTTCTAAAATTTATCAGAACTTAATTTGTATCGGCTCTGATTATTAACGTATCTCGAATTCTGGGAACGAAGCTTACAACTGTCAACTACTTTTAATGTCTAGTAACTTATTGAAAACTTATTGAAAAGCAAAATACTGACAGTGGTTGGGAACTATTTGCTTCGTCAAGCAAACTATTTAATGTTGGTAATTTCCTAAACGGCTGAGCTAACACTGGGTTGGCATAAAAGTTTTATTCGGTTAGCACTCCGACGCCTTCACCTTCGTCAGAGCCGCTTTGATCCGCGTTCATTTTTCTAACCTGGTCGTTGTCACGAGGTAAGCATTCGTAGTCGCATCGAATCGAATCCAGTACAGGAACACCGTTTGAATGAGGAGCTTTAATCCACTATGCTTTTTCTTGAGCGTTCATGGTTAAAGAAATTATGATGTGTTGAGCACGTAAATCATACTACCAATGCCCTTACTTCTTTATTTTGCTTTGTCCATTTAAATTCTTCTCACTCGTATTTATTTCGTTTGTCCAATGCTTATTTTGTTTTTTTTCGTTTTTAAATTCGGTTTCTGTTTTTGGGATTTTTATGTCTTCACCTTTTAACCAACTTTTACTAGTGTGTCCATGAAGGTCAAATTAGTTACTGAAAGGCTAAACTGTTGGTAGCAAAATGAAGATGTTAAAACTGATCACTTATTAACATCGTCCTGTCCACTCCCGTTAGATGAGCATATATTCCCTCCCATTTGGGAGAGTGATACAGAACTTAACAGATCACGATTTGTAGTGGATCAGATCGCACTGAAGTAGTTCAAAATGAGGTAATTCAACCTCTGTTTGTACCAGATAAATGCCGAATGGAATCAATAAATGGTTATATCAAAGGTGCGAGATATAAACATTTCACAGATGGGTTCGGAAAGGTGCAATCGTACTCTATTTAAACAGATAAAGAAGATTCTATAAGTGGTAAGGAATATTCTCTATATGCACAAATGACGTACGATCTGCGTGCTATGCCATGTGATGCCCCACCCTAAAAATATATTTTTAAATGTTATTTTGCATTTAATGAGCAGTCCGAGATATTCTCAAGCATTCAAGTGTCTCTAATATCGATGAAGATGAGAATGTCTGGTGTTTACACTCTCCAAGAACTGAGCATCAGTTTTTTGTTCTGTGAGTTGCTCAACCCTTATTCGATCCAGGCGAACCCAGTCAGCTCTTCTTATTACTACAACCTCTTTCATACCACTTATTCGCGATAATTATTCAATTACTTAAAACATTGTAAAGGTACCTAAATCCTGACAATTGCCGATGAGGGGGTGTGAATTAAGCTTGCTCTGCGATACGTTCCAACTTAAACGTGACACTTAGGGACTCAGTTTAGATCAATAAGATAATGGATGACTGAAGAGATTAATCCTGTAACTATAGTGTAGATGTATACTTTAGAGTGGCTCGACACTTACACAGTGTCAAGTGTTTCTAGAGCACTTTTTACTAGAAGGAGTTTCAACCATTGTTAACACATTTTATGGTTGTTTCAAGCATCATGTTCGGATACACTTACTTTACAACCTACTTTTCCTGAACTATTAAGAATACTACGCCACCTAGTCGTCTGAGTTCACAGGTACTTTTGCCTAACATGAGCACTTGAGTTTGCAACAAGTTAATGAGATGATGTATCGTGGACGTCATTGCAATTTCTTCATTCAAAACTGACCATTATTTGTAACTTCGGCACAAGTTATTGATATTTTTAAAGATTTTCCAGTTAGAGCTTACACAAGGTCGTTATGAAATTTTATTCAGCTAATATTTTGACGTCTTCGTCATCCTCAGGGCCGGCTAATCTGAGTATATTGCCCACAGCCGTTCGTCTACAGGATGTGGTTCTTCGTAATCGTCTTCACAGTTCACTTCACATTTACTTCACACCTACTACTATGGGATAGATTGTCCACATAGCTTCAACTCATTGTCTGTGAACAATCACCAACTACAGTCCCGTATAAAACGGCAATGCCAAGTGAGATCCTCATTCGAGCGGTGCTCCACACCTGAAGACTAACTCAATGCTACTATGAAAACCCCAAATTGTGGAAACGAACGGCCGTGGCAAATCGACTCGGATCAGTCGGCTATGAGGAAAATGAAGATGTCGAAATGATAGCCGAATAAAAATATCATAACAACTGTATAGAGAGAACTTTTCCCTAGAGGCATACCCATATCCCAAATCCTAAAGCACTTTGGTTAAATTCGAGATTAAACTGAGAAAATCATAGAGGGTGAACAAAAAGCCAGCGTCGTAGATATAATAAAGCATTTAAAATCCAATATTTATGAGTAATTGGCCGTTCCTTTACTTTGTTAAATGTGAAGGATAAAGTGTACGACATTGAGATGCTTCATGTATTCGACTTCATCAAAAATCGCAATGACAACTGAATGCTTATCTGGCCTATATAATAACTTGCGACAGCCTATTTATGTAACGACAAAAGACTCTGGCACCAACTAGGCAACCCCAGAAGGATGGAAAGTTTGGTGAGGCCGAAGTGCGTGATCAAACCAGGGATCACGTATTTATTGCAAACTACCTGCAACAACTGCGCTACAAACGCAGCGGAATGTAAAGGTAGACAAGATAATGAAAGACTCTCTTTGAGGGGCATAAAACGCTGCAAGGGCTTACAGAAGTCTGGTTGGAAGGTAGACAACGTCTTCTGTTTCGTTCTCTTCACATACAAGAGTTGTCCGAAACATGAAGGTTGCATAGAAGAACATTGATAATGCGTAGAAACGCTAAAATTAAAATCTGAACAAATCGAAAAACCTAAGCATTGGGTAAAAGTGTTGTTCGGGAAAATGAGGAGCAGAGTGGCCGGTGTCAATAGATTCTAATTCGGAGCATAAGGTTAAGTCAGTTCTCCAGCGATAAGTTGCACAACTAGCAATAGACCAACCTCAGTACCACGCACACTGGGTGCTCCCGTCTATGACGTCAGGCGGTGAGACGATCGGTGAGAGGCCAGAAAATCTCGGGTTAAGCAGGACGTCATTGGAACCGGATGTGATGAACACACGCACGACACGTCATGGAGATTGTTTCTTACTCTACACGTTCAATACACGAACACTTTCCACAGACGCCGATCTTCACGCCCTTCTTGTAGCCGCAGATCGAGTTTTAAATTTCATGTGATCGCATTACAAGAAACAAAAACCAACAAAACCGACATACGCCAACTAAACAACGGGACCCTTGTGGTCGGCGGAGAAAAGGTCCGGTCACGAAATGTCGGTGGCGTAGGCTTTGTCCTCCACCCGTCCACTGTCCATCTCGTCGACTCATACGAGATCCTTTCCCCTCGCATAGCCGTTCTCCGTCTTCAACTGTCTCATCATAAGAAGACCACTATCATCAACTGCTACTCACCGACTGAAGCAACTGATGAGGACAAATTAAATGCGCTCTACTACCAGTTGGAGGAAGTCATCCGCAATGACAAAGCATATCATAAATTTCTTGTCGGAGACTTCAACGCCAGAATAGGAAAGGCCAACGAGAGCGAATACAGGATCGGAAGTTTTGGATTGGGAGAAAGAAATGAGAATGCAAACCGTCTCGCAGGACTCCTGTCCGCAGCACGTCTCTTCCATGGAAACTCGTTTTTCCAGAAGAAAGAAAGCCGCCGTTGGACATGGAAGCCTCCCAAGGTCATGACACATGCGGAGATCGACCATATTCTGACAAACAGAAGATGGTGCCTACTTGACACATCGGTAATCTCGCCATTCTGTACGGTTCCGATCACCGCCCTCTTCGTGCGAAGATTCGATTCAGCCACAAGCTGGAAAAGAACTCTTTTCATCGACCACGAGGAAAAAATCTAGCTGTACACGACGAGAACATTCTGAACAAGGTCCTATCCAAACGTAACTGGCAGATTAAAGAAGACCTGACCGAAGATTGCGAGCTGCTTGTCGAAGGTCCGAAAAGTTGTGCCGAATCCGCCTCAATTCCTCAAGCAAGAAGATCGGATCGCATCTCCATCACTACTAAGGAATTGCTCGAAAAGAGAAAGAAACTGAAGCTTGATCCTACTGCAACACGTTGAACATGACTAGTAATAAATTCCAGCTGCAGAAGAGCTTTGCAGGAAGATCTACAACGGTACAAGCAGAAGAAAATACTGGAAGCAGCAGAGAAAAGAAGCAGTCTGAAAAAATGCCGTCGGGACTTGTGTGATTATAATGTTCCGCTGTCAACCCTGATGAAGGAAGATGGAATCGTCAAAACTTCCCGCCATGATATGGAATTAATAGCGGAAACGTTCTACACCAACCTTTTCCGTTCCACAATCCCTGGTCCGGACCCTAATATCCCCGGTGGAGAAAAACCACCTGGAATTCTTCCGTCGGCGGTTCGAGTTGTCGACAAAGAAGGAGAGCAGAGATGTGAGAGACGCGTTCTAGTTGGCTACTTACGAACCTTCCGTCATCGCACTAGACGGTTAATTGCGAGTGTCTGGGCACACATTTACAGAGTTCATTCATTATGGCCTGTCGACACAAGGTTTTTTCGAAACTAATGGAAATACGAGTGGTCAAAGGCGGCTTTTACATTAGCCGGGAGTTTGTTTCCATTGCAGCTAGTTGGCAAGGTATATCAGTAAGAATAAGCACTCGTACTAATGGAGTACATCCAATACCTACTCATCTGGTTTACGGAAAAACTACCATGATACGCAACAAACGCTGTGGACAACAACCGCGCTGTGTGGTGCCACGCGTTGCGGTTCTGCTTCATTGACAACGAGAGAACAGTGAATCGTCAACCCGTCAGCGATACGACGCGGTATTGCCACTGTTCCTAACCATGCGTCGTGCGTCGGTTTTCGCCCAGTACCGCAAGGTACTGCGCGTGTCGAGCCGTTCATTCGTGGTCGTGCTGCAAACCGAAATTTTTGGAATGCCGCACCGGGGTTATCCGGTGAGGCGAAATACGTGAGTTCATCGGGCTGTTACGGCCGTAAGCGGTGTACCGAATATGCACGGGGGAGTCGCTTGTTTGTTGGTTATCTCGTTAAGAGATAATAATCTAGGTGCTTGGATAGTTAGTAGTTCCCTTAGCAAGGGATCCGGTATGATTGGATAGAAATAGCTGAGAGACGTGCGAAACAAAGGACCCGCATGGTGTGGTGGTGAACGCGTTACTCCCCGGAAAGGATAATAGCGCGTTCGCTCCCCACCATAGACACCTGCGGTGCAGAGTTTTGCAAATATCTCAGCAACGTTGTGGTTGTATTTCGCTTAGTAACCTGCCATGAAAATTATAGAAGGCAGAAAACAAAAACGTTAAACATAGTGGTTTGAGAATTTAAGCAAAACACGCGCGCGCCGCTTGTGGTTTCACTGGCCATCAACTCGCCACGCCCCCACTTTTCATTGTTGGAAGAAAAAGGGAAATGGAAATGGGCTTGCCCGTGAACATTCCTTCGATCCACAAACTTCAGTGTCCACTTGTGATGAAGCTATGGGAAAAATCAAGTAGGTACATTGAGCCATGGATCCACATAAATGAATCGAGTGCGAGAGCTGATGAGATCCGCACAATGTGTTGCATAATACGCATACAAAAATGGTGATTATGGTCATTATTGCTATTGTTATCAATTAAATCTTTATACCTCATTCACTCTGATCACCATTAAAATGCTGTTTCGATTGTTTGCTCTTCCAATTTACGTGTGTTGTTTAATCAGGAAATTGCTCATCAGTAAAGTAAAGTCGGACCGGGAGCAATGATTAATATTTTACCAATACCACTATTTCATTGGGGAGAGGGTAGCGCAGTGGTTAATGATTTAATGCATTAGGAAGCAAGGTGGTTGTTCGATGCTTTCCCAATGATGTCCACCAGTAAATGTGCGAACACTTGGGCTTGCTTATCTCGAAGCTTTCAGAGAAATTTAACCCGGCAAGCCTTCTGCGACATCTGTAGAGAAAACGAAGTATTCAAGTAGCAATCGAAACAATACGCGAAATGTTGAAGACCACTATTGGTGTTGGATGCGAAAGAAATGAATCGAATGCAAGAAGTGCTGGGATTCGCACAATACATATGATAATGTGTTATGAAAAAAATGAAAATGAGAAACTATTCCATCATTCTGCAAATACTGCTCTCTTCTAAGTCATCAATCTTCTGTGACCTTGTCTGCTTCCAATGAAGACCTTATCATTACTGAGCGGTGCTCATGTTGCGTTATCGTCCCACCAATGTTTCTCTGGTGGCATAAGTTGGGTGACCTCGGCAGTTTTGGTGGTCTCTATCTCTACTAGAGCAGCGCTATATTCCACTAGAGAAAAAAACGCCTATGATAAAGACCTACATTTGAACACTGCTCGCGAATCGGCATTTGGTTTGCAGCATTATTTGTTTCAGTTCTAAATGGTCGTGATCATTTAAAAGTTGTCATTTGGCTGGCAATACACGGCTCTCAGAACAAGTTCATGCCTGTTCCAACAAGTAGCACTATTATTTATTTTAGCCTACTTATGTCATTTTGGAAAATAAACGACGCCTCTATTTTCTTCAATTACCCCTATAATATCAGTGTAAAGTGCTCGCTTTGCACCTACGGGGTTCTATGGCCATAGAATTCTGCTTGATTCCTTGTTAATTGTGGACCTCTCAATATGCTACTATCCTTAAGTCCTCTGCTTTCCATTGTTCGTGTGTAACGTCGTATGTTATACTGAACTCTTGTCGATCCGAAGGTCACAACCATAACTGGTAAGTACGTCATGTGACGAGCGATGCATTGATCGTTCCGTTGGCAACGATTGGCCGCCCATATATTTTTTCTGATCCATTCCTAGAGAACTTTAATTAGTGGTGGTATTATGTTTTAAAGTAGAGGATTGAATTCTATGTGGAGACTTTTGTACGCTTAAGGTTCTTCTTTGCAATGAAACGTTGTAGGTCCTGTGATCAAAAAAGGTTGTCACTCTGTTCACTACAATCTATTCAGAACAAATCTTTCTCAGAAAGTCGCTGGCACGTCATCCACTGTCGAAAACTTGAGTGCTATTTTGTAAAATTCCTTCTGAGCTATCTGACAGTGCAGCTCTGCATAAGTTGTTCTGCATGTCTCGCGCTAGTGATCACCATCAAGTGATAGTGACCGTCTTTCACAAAATCACTACGTTTTTTGTTCAATGTTATTGATTTCGTAGTGGCTTGTGATCTCAAACACAAGCATTGTCAGACATCATCAAAGTGTCTTGAATTTAATCGTGAAGTTAGAATAAGAAAGTATGTAGGACTTTTGAGACATTTCCAACAATTCGGTTAGACCTCGAAGCAGTCAGAATGAGCACAACTGAAAATTTCTACAAGAGATACCCGTAGTCTTCTTTGGAGAGCACGTTTTTATTTTGACTTGGATGGTTGTTTATCAACAGACGTGTGTCGTTGGCTCAGTTCAGATACGCAACGCTCACTGCCGATCTCTGCTGCTTTGAAGATGAAGTCATTCATCCCCGTACCACACGGCTCCGACTTCCCAATACAGAACTGTCCATATGGAGTGTTCTCTACCAAGACCAATGTAAGCAGAATCTTCTGTTGATAAATATTAATCATTCTTTAATCACTTTTTCTTTATCGCCCATTCTTTTCCATGACAGTTTATGCTGTGAAATATAACTGCAATGATGCTAAGATATCTGCAAAACTACGGACAGCAAGTGTCTGCGGTGAAGGTCGAACACCCTATTATCCTTTCCGGGGATTATATTGTGACTTATACCACAGCTTCGCTTAACTGGGTTCAATGCCGATTTGTTCTCCTCAGATCAATCCCGTTAAAGGGTGATTTCTGAGAGTACCTATAAAGCACGGGTGAGAAAGAAGAAACGAAGGACCCACATGCTGTTGTGACGAATGCGTTAGCCCCCGTAAAGGGTAATAACCTGTTCAATCCCCGCTGGTTACGTCTACGGTCCGGAATTTTGCAAATATCTCAGCATCATTGTAATTAATCGTTGTTTTGGATTTCTACGTGCCTCAATGAAATTGCTACCATTAGTAGTTAAAATCCTTATGTATTTTTTGTTTTAATGTGTAAGTTAAAGTGTTTTTCCCGTCACTACATTATTCATTCAGAAGATTATGATTCAAACGAATGATTTAAAAAGATAGAACAGTGTACAAGTTTAGCCCAGACGTCGTATAGGGGTTGCTATCGGCGAATGTATTTTGGACCTCTCAGCAATCGCTCATCTTTTCGACGGTCCTGCGTTGAAGTCTCATCAGGATGTCTTTAAGCAGGTCTGTGGTGGTGAAGTATATCTTACAACTTTTAAAACAATGGTTTGTAAATGACATAGCAACTACTGAAACTTACTGTGATGAGATATGGTATGAATGGCAATTACATAATGTGTTTTGTAGATTCGTGAAATATGACCTCGATGAAGGGCTCCAATTAGCCTCATGGCTATGTCTAAAATTGAAGCAGCCTTCGGTCCTGTTTAGGAGACATTGAACGATTTCATGGCTCTTCCACAAACCGCATGGCTTGAAGCGCGTTCGACGATCCAGAAGCTGCTCAATGACAACGTGACTACGCTCAAGGAAAATCTGGATCTGAGAGACAAATCCATAGTTAACCAGAAAGATGCTACCATGCACCTTCCAGCCACTATCGGTAGGCTTATAGCGGTAAGATAAAAGGGCTAACAATTGAGAAGGCCTAGAGTGATGGTCGATTATTACTGTTCACTGTAGAATCAAAGTTTATTAGCTTTCTAAAAAGTTGCTAAAAATTGTATTAGGGGCTTATAGACTTTCGTAACGTCGAAAATTTTAACACATTACTATCGGCACCAGTAAAGAAGTAGAATCAAATCTGATATTGTGAAAATGAGGTTGGTTGCTGTTAGTTTTACCGTCGTTTTTTTCGGTGAATATAAAGGAGATTTCTCAAAAGTTGTTAAGTTTCTTTTGGACAACTCGGCACAGGGCTATGCCTACATCATCGTGGAACTGTTTAGGCGACTACACGGACTTCTACTCGTCAATCCACCATGCCACTAATGTCGGCATTATGCTTCGTGGAAAGGAAAATGCGCTCATGCCCAACTGGTAACGTAATTCGAATTCAGTTTTTCTCGCGTTTCTCTTCTCTATTTCTAATCAGCACGTCAACTACGACAAAAGGACTACTGCATTCTTCGCTGTACTCTTAAATATTTCCTCGCATATCTATTATTTTACTGTTTTTTCTTTCTTGATCGATACTTAGATACTCATCGTCTTAGCTGAATTTATTTTTAAAAATATCGCATGTGTCCAGATTGATCATGCCAGATTTCAAAAACATGAGGTGCTCAGTTCTGTTCTATGCTTGTTGACTGTGTTTAATATATTCACGCATAAGCCTAATCTTCTGTGTCCGTTACGTCTAAGTGCTTTGGTGCGCCAGGCACGAGTTGAATTCGATGCACTTAGTCCGTCGTTCATCTCTGGAGGAAAGTGACATTAACTGCCATTCTAAACATAAGAGATGAAATAGCCTTGGAAGTTATGCATTTTCATTTGTGTAGTATGCTAGCATTTTCCTCATTCGTGGTGATTAGGCCAGCAGAGATACCTTAATGCCCTCCTCAGCAGCAATAATTTCTGTGCTTGGGGAAATAATTTTGTTCGGGAAAGTTTTTATGTATTATAATGAGGTGCAGAAAATAGCATTTATCGGGTCATACACGGCATGGCAGCTGTAGTGGGGAACTATCGATTGAATACAAAAGGTGTGACAAACAAAAGCTCTGTTTTGAAGGAGAAAGGCAACAGCTGGAAGGAAAATTTGTTGAGATTAATGAACATTGTTGAGCATGTATTATTTATATTACTGAAGTTTATTGTTATTTAGGAAATGGCTGCCAGTTGGTTACCACGGACGTGCTTCTTCGGTTGTGCCATCGGGAACACCTATTCGACGGCCCCAAGGACAGGTGAAGCCTGAAGGGGGTAAGGATTTAACCTTTATAAAAGGCTCTAAATCTTTTATCGTTACCTGTGATTATAGAAAGTCACGGTCACTGAAAAATACATACACAGCACTTTGGTTTACCAATAAGTTTATAAGCTTTCAAATTTGAGTCGTATCGATCATGAAGGACCACATCGCAAAAAATAACTGCTGCTTGAGTTGACTTCTGACAACTCCCAAGAAGGCGAAGCCTCTGAAAAGTTGGCCACAATGGAATTCTATAACTAGTTTATCACCATAACAAGGTATTGACTATCTATGCCGAGGTCAAGTTAAGGTCGATATTGAAAATGCTTGGACAAAATTTGCTCTCAATTGATTTTATCTGTTAGAAAAAGTATTTTCAGCCAACGAGCCTTCTTATGGACCTTCTAAATTGCTGGACTTTGAACTGGAGATGGCATTCTTCGTTGGTGGTCCGGGTACAGAGCTCGGTAAACCAATACCAATCGAAAAAACCGAAGAGCACATTTTCGGTGTTGTGTTGATGAATGACTGGAGCGGTTGGTGTTCTCTGCATCTATGCATTTCTTGAATCCAGATATTTATGAAGCTGAGTTACGTCTACGTGAATACCATAAACAGTGCATAAAATATGACTAGGATTATGAAAATGTAAGAAGTAGAGAGTTGTGAATATGTTAATATTCTGTTATCAAGGAAGGGAAGTAATGCAAAACGTGTGCACTTCTGGCACTGCGCAGTTCTTGTACTGATAGTTACAAAATGTTTTTAAAACTAATTTTATTCCCTCGAACTCTTCTATATAGAGAGATAAAAATAAAAGGAGAAAGCTCTCGGCGTTGATAAATTTCTGAGGGATATGCTGTGCATTCGACTTCATTAAGTATCGTTCGAGGTGACTGAATGCATATCTGGCCTTTACAATGACTCACGGTGGCCTACCGATGTATCGAGCCAGTGCTGCTATTTTTCCAGACAATTCTGGTACCAATTTGCCGACCACAGGATAGAAGGCTTGGTGGGCCATGGGCGCGGGGATCGATTCGCATGTGTGTGTCGCAGTGGTGCCTCCAACCACTGTGCCACACGCGTCCTTTATGGAGAGAACGGTTCATGAATTAAATGAAGTGAAATTCAAAATAATGTGTAGTGCTGAAGCCAGATGAATTTACTACATGGAGGTTTGGAAATAGCTCTGAAAAAATCCTCCAAAGCCGGACTTCCATGCGACGCACTTAACTAGCACGTCAATTTCCAATAAATAAATAATGTTACACGAAAAAATGATAGAGATGATTATGACGACAGCTAGTTTTGAGTTTTTGATGGCCCAGATTTGTGGACGAGTTTTGTGTTCGATCAAATTGAACTGTCATGATTATTGTCGTGACGTTGACTTCAGTGACAAGGTGAAAGAGGAGAACAAGTGTAGAGTAATACCACATGTCGTGTCGTTTTTTTTAATAGTAACTCGCAGGTTAACCTCTACCTGCCATTTGTTAGATTTCAAGCTTCCGCAATAAAATAATTTATACAAACTAAATAAATGTAAAATATATTCTCGTTATGTTATACCTTTTTATTTTCTGCCTACTATAATTTCGCGGCAGGGTACTAAGCGAAATACAACCACAACGTTGCTGAGATATTTGCAAAACTCTGGACCGCAGGTGTCTATGGTGGGGAACGAACGCGCTGTTGTCCTTTCCGGGGAGTAACGCGTTCACCACCACACCATGCGGGTCTTTGTTTCGCCTGTCTCTCAGCTGTTTCTATCGATCTTTGCCACAGCAATCGCCCGTAAACGGGAATGATCTGGGGCGCCCTAATCGACATAGAACCCAGTTAAGCTGCGGCTGTAGTTGAAATCACAAAGATCGATAGAAATAGCTGAAAGACAGACGAAACAAACGGCCCGCATGGTGTGGTGGTGAACGCGTTACTCCCCGGAAAGGACAATAGCGCGTTCGTTCCCCACTATAGACACCTGCGGTCCAGAGTTTTGCAAATATCTCAGCAAAGTTGTGGTTATATTCTCGTTTGTAGAAATTTTGAAAATGGAATAGTAGAAATCATGAAAATCGTGTTTTGAGTGATATTATTCCAGCACGTGATATCCAAGCATGGGAATATGTGCCGCTTGGTCCGTTCTTGGGCAAGTCATTTGGCACAACAATTTCACCTTGGGTAGTCTCAATAGAAGCGCTACGTCCGTTTATGGTGTCAAATCCGAAACAGGTGAGAGGATCTCGTAAGGCTTAACATTTTTTCAGACTGCAAGAGATCAGGTTTCTATTTGGTCAAGAAATGGTTTGTTCTGGTTGCGAAGAAGAAGCGCAGACGTTACTCAAGGCGGCAATTTCTTTGGTTGCAATTCAATTTATGCCTCATCCATTTGTCGAGTTTCTTCCACTTTTCTATTTTTCCAATTTACTTTAGATGCCTGGGAAGAATTGAAATGTTCACGACGCCGAGTTTTCCTCCAATTTCTTGAACAATTCGTACGTCTTAATAACTGAAAAGACCGACTTTCTATAAACCTCGGACTAAATGATCGATATATTTATTTATATATTCTTACGATGCGAGTACAGTTATGCGTCTATTTGCTTGCAAAAAAACTTAGAATTAATCGCCGTCAGTAGCAGAAATATGCCGCGACTCCGTTACCTTCAAAGTCGAATTCATCATGGCGAAATTTCTAGAGGCAATATGGCACTGTGCAACCCTTCCTTGGTTCCATATGTTTTTGAGCCTTCGAATCGTTAGCACTGTGACCGAATTTGAATATGTTGCAGTAGATTTGTAAAAATTTCGGGGTCACTAAGTTTTTATAATTCTACTACTATTAAGCGAAGCACAGTGGCTACAATTGGGTTCGATCTCTCGCTCCAGACCTACCAACCCCAAACCTCCTATCCCTCCAGGGTCGGCAACTTTTCACGGAATATAATTGTGCTGCATTCGAAAAAAAATATTGAATCCTACACAAGTAAATGGAATTTCAAATCGGGCACAGCTTTCCCAATCATTTTAACAGAACGCGCCTCATCATTACCGCTTTTCTGGAGAGTAAACGAAAGAAATATTAAAGAATTTTATAGGATCCGGCACCTCTGGACTACTTGGCACACTCAGATCCATTCACACTAGATGTTGATCTCGAAGTGACAATCAAGCCAGAGGGTGGCTCCGACCATACTGTGTGCAAGACCAACTTCCGGGTAAACTTCAATTCTCAAACTTTTTCAGAATCTTCTTGAAGAGAATGAGATTGTCTTTATATTGCTCATTTTTTCGTGAAATATCCCAAATGCTAGAAATTAATTGGTGGAGCTCAAGGGTGACTCGGGAATGTGTTGGTTTTCGACAATCTTTGATAACTTTCGATTAATTAGAGTTCATGGAATTAAGGATGTGGTAGAGGAGACTGCTATATCAGCCTGGAGTTATATATTACAGTCATTCCGAAACGTTGGTTTTAAACATTGTCGAGAGCTTGAATTTCTGAAAAACTAGGAAGTAAAGTGAGATTTTTAATAATCTACTAACACGACTACCACTTAACGTGGACGTGAATAATCAATAAATTTCGTTGGATTGTTCAGCTTACACGAGGTAGTTGTTCAACTTCTATACGGCTAACGTTTCGACATCTTCATTTTTCTCAGAGCCCGTGAACCAAGTCGATGTCCCCAGTAGTTCGTCTTCTCGATGTGATGTCTTCGTCCCCATAGCGACTCAGATCTTCTTCAATGAAGCTTCGCTCGTGATGTAACATCATTTGGCATTGCTGTTTTCTATAGGACGGTTGCTGTTGATAGTGATTATCCGTTGATAATAACTTGTTTTTCCCTAAAAATCCATCTCTGAACACAAATGGTTGCATTAAAACATTATGGTTGGGCCTGGCTTGTGTTTAAACCTCTGCGAAAGATGGCTCTGTGGTTACAGTTGCGGACAGGAGGACATGTGGAAACACTGGTTCGAACTTGTTCTGCGCCTAAGGCAAACAAAGTGCTCTATCCGAAATGGATACCAAGCTCAACGAGATTTCTGAGCTGTATTTTGTTAACACTCAACGAAAATAATGGACTTCATGCCAAAAGCGTTATGCTATTCGTGTTCCTTAAGTAGGCTTGACTGCCTCTGTTGTGCAACGACACCGTGAGGAAACATTGATGGTGCTTGTTCGAGTTACTCGATGAATAATGGAATTGTAAGTGATGCAAGTGATTACTCGAAAGTGTTGAAGTGTACTCAAACAATCCTGGTTTTGCATGAACTCGAAATTGTGCGGATAGAGTAAAACTTCGCTCTCCACTCTCTATGTCAAGCATAAATCCTTACTAAACACACTTTAGATAATGTTGACTTTTTATTTACTGCCTTTTAATAGCTTTCGCGGCAGGGTATTATTTGTGAAACAGTCACAATGATGCTGAGATATTTGCAAAACTCCGGACCGCAGGTGTCTGCGGTGGGGAACGAACGCGCCTTTCCGGGAAGTAACGCCTTTACCACCACACCATGCGGGTCCTTCGTTTCGCCTTTCTGTCAGCTAGTTTTATCGATCACAGCAATCAGCAATCACCCGTCAACGGGTTGATCTAGGGAGTCCAAACCGGCATTGAACCCAGCTGAGGCTATAGTTGAAATTGAAAATTATAATACCCTGCTGTGAAAGCTAGTAAAAGGCAGTAAATAAAAACTCAACATTGTGAATTTCAACTATAGCCTCATCTTAACTGGGTTCACTGTCGATTTGGGCTTCCCAGATCACTTTCGTTGACGGGTGATTGCTGATGGCCGTGATCGATAGAACTAGCTGAGAGACAGGCGAAACGAAGGGCGCACATGGTGTGGTGGTGAACGCGTTACTCCACGGAAAGGACAATAGCGCGTTCGTTCCTCACCTCGGACACCTGCGGTTCGAAGTTTTTAAAATATCTCAGCATTATTGTGGTTGTTTCACACTTCAGATAATTTGCAGAGCTCATTAATCCTGCTTATGATTGATTAAATTTCAGCACATGTACTGGACAATGAAGCAGCAACTAGCTCATCACACGGTGAACGGCTGCAATGTGAAGCCAGGTGACCTCATGGGGTCGGGTACTGTGTCAGGACCTGTGAGTTTCATTTCCATACATGACGGTTATCACTCTCTGCTACTGTTGATTACTAATTTGTAACAAATAACTACCTAAGGGCAGTAAAAGGGTAATGAATAAAGCTTTTGGAGTTAGTCAATCCCGGAAGTATGAGTCATATATTGGGCCTCATCAAGCATTGTGAAGGAGATTGAAAACATTCCTGACCGATACAAAGACACCAGAGGTCTGTTGATGTAGCAAATCGGTATTTTTATCACAGTGATGGAGGGCTTGGTGAACCGGGAGCGTTGGATCGAACGAAATACGGATGCAGTGGATATTTCAGAACACCTCTAACCATCACACTATGCGTCCAGGTCCAAACACACTAATTCTTCTTAAATTAGAGAACAAATGTCTTTGGATTTCCTTATTGTTATTCCTACTATCATGCCCAATTATTTTGCATATGTAGTGAATCTGGGGAGAGTAATGCATTAGTAGTGATGCCGTTCACAGGGAATGTGGCCCCAGTTAGATCCCACCTCTGCCCCACCAAGTCTTTCCATCCGCGATCGAAAAAGTGGTATCAGACTCGTCTGGGACAATTTCACTCCCTGGAACAGTTCACTTACAATGACGCCAGAGGCCACTATGTGCAGCAAAACTAGTAACGCTCCAGCCCGGCTGTACTCCATAGAGAGTCGATTCAATCTAAAAACATTTGTTTTTATTTCGCATGACTCGTCATCATATCATATGTGCGGATCCTAGCGCTTCTTACCTTCAATTCGTTTTCTCGCATCTAGCATCCACAATGGTCTTCGAATATTTTACATGTTGTTTGGGTGCTACCTGAAGAGTTCGTCTTCTTTATGAATATTGTAGAATGATGGTCGAGTCAATCCTCCTTGCAATTTTAGAGATAGCTTTGCTAAGGAGTTTCCACGTGGATTAGAGGAGAGTGTTGAGGTGGGGGTCGAACTAACGCCTTTGCTTACTGATCGACGCTATCACCAGGGATAGCGCTATCTATGCCAAAAAACAAATACAGTATTTATATCATGATCACTGTTTTATTTAACAATACTTAAATTCTCAATATCTATTCACTACTATTGAACTACGTGTCGAGCGTCTATTGTAGAAATGGGGAAGAAATCTGAAACCAAGGGCATAAAGTACCGAAAGAACTGTGAAACAATTCACAAGGCTACAGAAGACTTGAACTTAGCATTCAAAACTATATTGCGGATTTGGCTCTAAACTCCTTTCTTTTACAGGAGGAAGGAGCATACGGCTCGATGTTGGAGCTGTCATGGCGAGGGACGAAGACGGTGGCGGTCGGCAATCAAACGCGAAAATTTTTACAAGATGGCGACGAGGTAGAAAAATCTCACCGATTCTAAAAAGCGGAGGAGTAGAAGTTAGAGGTCTAAAGAACTATCGCCGTTTCTTGTTGTATTACTGAAGAGGAGTGAGCCGTTCTGGAAAAACAAAGAGTCTACCAACATGAATAAGAGAGAAAACGGCAGCGAACTTACTCGAAACCTAGCAAAATTACTAACATATGGTTTTTCGATTGTAATGGAGATCTCCATCATCATCTCAACTGGCAGAAAGAACTAATGTCTTGTTTTCCTTTTTTTTGCAAAGGCATGCTGCTTCTCTAAGTGTTCTATAGATGTTTCGTGCCACCTTGAAACGTTTGCAGACATGCCGCTGTTTCGATAACTACCGAAAATTTTCAATAACTGGAATACTTCAAGCCTTGAGAAGTTGACAATGGAGACATCGTTTTTAAATTTGCTTGAAATTGAAGTTTTCAAACAGTATAAAACGGAATTTAAGTTCCCAATTTTTGAATACAACCACGATAGCTGCAAACGTCAAGTATGTAGCATCGCTTCATCGTGGTCGAAATACCACCTATTTATTTCCTTCGTTGATAGGCAAAAGCGAAAAAAGTTATGAGCTCCAAAAATTAGAATTCTAGGCAACTTAGATTTTATCATGTTGGAATGAGAGAAGTAGTAAGTACCTTGCTGGCAAAGATTTGTAGTTCTTTGAAGGTTTTTATTTTAATTAGCAGAGCTCGCTAAGAGTTGAAATGTACTGGTCTAAGGTTGAAAAGTGATATATTTTTGGAACCGATGCCTATTATCGCAAGTAATTAGACAGTGGGCATTTCTTGGGTTTTACGTAGCTGAGGGAACTAGGTATCGAAGAGGCATCTCTGCTTGTTGTTTGTCGTCTACTAAAATCTTGGTTGTATTGATGAAAAATGAATTGTTGGCGGTGGCTAGGACTGGGTACGGTGGTGGCTACGGTTGCCACGTTTTTATATCAATAATGATGAGCTGTAATTTGGTTGGAGTGAAACTCATTGTCAAGTGCATGGACAGTGCGTTCGAAATGGTACTGAGGTACACCATAGTTATCACTTGTTGTTATATTCACTATGGATATCCGTCATAGAGGGATCTTATCCCAGTTTGTCGCGAGGTAACGTGGGGCGTCTCAAGGTGCCGGATAGGAGGTTAATCGTGGACAAAAATCGACCATTGCTTCCCTGAGACGCAGGTGAATCCAGGAGATGGACTCCCTGTTTTTGCTGCACCGATTTGCAGATACCTTCTGTATTTACGAGGAGGTATGCATGCATACGTGCGTAGATATCTCGTCTATGCGGATTGCATTCTCCGAGTCAATTCAACCATAACGCTGCAATCAAGTGACTGGTAAGTATACGGGAGGCCGTTAGGAGTTGACTCCCACAAATAAGCTCCTCGTCTACTCTAGAAGAGGCTGGAAAGCCACCCGTGAGTATATCGATCGCCCCACGCTCAGAGTTCAGGAAGCTATATGGGGATCTCAAATGATAGAAGCAGTGAGATAAACGGTCTCACTCCCACAACTCCGAAAGAACACCCGATCATACAACGTTGGCTAGGATGAGTACGGAAAGACTGCTAAAATCTCAAGGCTATTCTTGGCTGCCTAAATCGCAAAATACTAAGGTGATGGATCTGTACCTGCAATTCACGCGCGCTTGCATCTGACACAGACAGAAGACTTGACTATGCAGGCAAGAAGTACAAGGTGCGACGTCATCGGACCAGTTGAGACGATAAGACCCATTTAATGCCATCTATGATACCGGGGAAGAACTGTTCCTCGGGACATGCGACGGTAGAGGAGTCGGCGGCGTGGACGTTCTCGTCAACACGAGTTTGTCCATGAACGTCGATTCATTCGAGTAACTAGCAACCCGAATCGGACGTATACTATTGAGGAAGGATCAGTACCGATTTTGACAACCTTCGTCGTTTACGCGCCGACATCAAACTATGACGAAGAAAAGGTCGAAGCGTTCTAGATGAACTTGGAGAAGTTCTACAGGGAAGACCATACTTTCTTCAAGGTTGTCATTGGAGGTTCTAAGGCCTTTGGTAAGATTGAACCCAGAAGAAGGTCTGAGGAGCGTCACATTGGGACACATGGATTAGAATGAGACGAGCATGGTGGGCAGCTTTCTGACTTTATCATGACGAGCAAGATCATTCATGACTACGATGTCCAGACAGAACAGCACAGCTTCCAGAAAGGCAATGGAGAAAATAATTCACATTTACTACTCGGATCTCTTTAGTAGCCGCGTCCTCCTACCCTCATACGAAGTAAAAGAGGATGGATATGTCGCCAAACCGGTTATTCCTTCCGAAATCTGACATTACTATTTCGTCAGTGGAAAACTGAACAACAGCTGGTTCGTACAGAATAAGATTTGAACTCCTGAAGAATTCTTATTTAATGGCGTACTAGCATGGCTGTGTTATTTTTTAAAGTAGGTTGACCTCCGTTATATTGGCAACCTTGCCCCTGTCTGCTTACTTTCTGTCGTCTGCGGTCTTTTCACTTGAGTCAGCTAAAGTCACTAAACAGGAGTGGCAGAACACTGGAAGTAGGGAAGCCATACGAGCAAGCAGGGTTTCGAACAAGATTTGGTACGATGGACCACAACTGCACCATAACAAGGTTCTATGAAGAATCGCGACAATACAAGAGACCGCACTGTCTCATTTCCATCTATTTAAGGAAAGCTGTTTGTTCAGTTGAGGTAGAAGCAGTGATGGAAGCTAGGGAGGCCCTTCTCAGTATATGAGGATTGTTCGTGAGCTATATAAAAATTGCACAATCAAGATATCACAATACTACAACCATATTAAAATCGACGTTAAAAGAGGGGTTATGCAAGACGATACCATCTAGCCAAAACTATTAACCGCTATCCTGGATAGCGTGATGCTAACACTGGAATGGGACAAGATAGGAGTGAATATCGATGGTCGACAATTACATCACCTTCGTTTTGCTGATCACATCGTTCTTATATCGCTAAACGTTAGCTTAGCGGTACGAAGTGCTTGCAAGAGCTTGCCGATTTTGATCAAGCATACAAAATGTTTGGTCTTAGACTAAATCTCACAAACACGACGTTCATGAGCGACGAATTAGCTACATATGCCCCATTCACGCTGAACGGAACGAACATCTCCGAATGTTCCAGTTATGTCTATCTGTATCGGGAAATCAACATAATGAACGGCTTAGCCTCAGATTTGTGCAGGTGGAAGGCAGCGGCTTAGGAAGTTTTCAGGAGCATTGAGGATTTAGTAAAGAGAACAAAGAACCACAACGTTGCTGAGATATTTGCAAAACTCTGGACCGCAGGTGTCTATGGTGGGGAACGAACGCGCTATTATCCTTTCCGGGGAGTAACGCGTTCACCACCACACCATGCGGGTCCCCCACCATAGACACCTGCCGTCCAGAGTTTTGCAAATATCTCAGCAACGTTGTGGTTGTATTTCGCTTAGTAGCCTGCCATGAAAATTATAGAAGGCAGAAAACAAAACGTTAAACAGAACAAAGAACATCCAACTTCGTGCTCACCTTTTCGACTTCATGATTCTTTTTGCTTTAATGTATGCGATGGAAACCTGGTCGCCATGTAAGTAGGACGAAGCAGTCGAAATGTCGATGCTGATCGCGTTTCACACAAGTGAGCGTAGGGATCCGAAGCTCCGAGCTACGTCAACGATCGAAAATCAAAAACGCGGTTATATACGGCACAGTATTGATGATAAAATGGGCCGGACACGTAATGCGTATGGACGACAATTGATGGACAAGAGGCGTTACTAACTGGTTTCCTCTGAATGTCACACGTACTGGAGGAAAACGATCGGTCCGATGGTTAAAGTTTCTCATGAAAGCCGTTGAAGAAAGGTATGGTGCTCAACGTGTCCCTAGAGCGAGTGAAACCCATTGGGCTACTCTTGCACGCGACAAGGAAAAGTAGAAGATTTACTGGCGCCCGCTCGGGTCACTCGACGATCAACCGGACTACAGGTGATACAGGTGAACCTATGAATTCAATCATGCAGTTTTTTCGTAATGTTATGTTAAAGTGCCTCCAAGGTGCAGTGTTTATAATGCGAACCCCGGAAAGGGTAATCGTGGCTCGATCTGTCCTGGCGTCCAAGTTTTGCGAATATCTCAGCATGATTGTGGCCGTATCTCATATCACACCCTACTGTGAAAAGCTAAATTAGGCAGAAATAAAAGATTAACATTATGTTAAATGTTCTTTCATTGAAAGCACGTGGTTGGGTAACCTAATGGGTTCTACTCACGTGGGCTACTCATCATAATCAGCCTCATCATACTAGTCCAAATCAAGCCCGTTATTTCGATGTTCTTCAGAGGTCAGAAGAGTGAAAACGTTTATTCTTGCTGTTTCCTACCATAAGTAAGCTTGGATAACTTCTCGGGCTCTGGCGTAGCGACTTGGTATAGTCTATGCCGTTTCATAGGCTTTTCGAGACTGCAGATTTTTGGCTTATTTTGCTTGCAGTGCGCAATCTGCTTATGCTCTTGCGACCATATTTTTGTCCGTAAAGAACCGTTTGTCCTATATTTGCTAACAATTATACCGTATCTACACCGATCCCAATGCATGGCGCCTTCACATCAACGATTGGCTCAACTTTACACGTATATTTTCTCACAGTGGATTTTTTAAACTTCAACATAGGCATTGGAATCTGTACGAATTTTTATTTAGAGAATACAAGCCCTCTCGTCCTAATGGGATGAAATTTTGGTTTTCTGGAGCTCACAAACCATATATTTCCGCTCGTTCTCGTCGAGGCTCACATTTTGAAAAGCAAAGAGTGGAGGCGCAGGGTTTCCAGCAACACAGGGGTGATGATCTCTCCAAATGCGTAATGAGTGTGGTTCGCTCACGCAGTTGCGTTAAATAATTAAGGAATGTGCACTTCGTTTTCTTTTTTTCCTGTAAGAAACTTGGATCCTATACAAATTTAGAATTAGCGGAAGGCTGGTTAAAAAATTGATACTCTTGGACTTGGAACGATAAACCAAGATTTCCTTTAAGGGTTTGTCAAGTTCTATGTTTTAGGCATTTTATTTATCGAAAAATTATCGGTAACTATGGAAAGAGCTGCATCGTGAACGCGTTACTTGTTGATATGTTGCTTAACAATGACGTTGTTTATCGTTCAAATATTGAGCCCACTCAAAAGAAACAATTTTCAGAGATTTTTGCTTTGTGCAAAGTAACACCTTTCTGGTAGAAATAGTTCCTTTCTCCACTGAATTATAACTGCTTTAGGTGAATCTTATCGGAGTCTGTGAGAAGGACGGTGTTCGTATCGGTTTCGGCGATTGCCGTGGGAAAGTGCTACCGGCACTCTAGAAGAATGTCACTAGTGTTAAGGAGAAATGCTAATGGGTTATAATAACTTCACATATCATTTCTTATATGTTATATATTATAAATTTTCAGTGACGCAACTCTCTTTAGATTTTTTATAACATTTTATTTGTAAAGGTTCCAATGTTTAAAAGTTCCCAATTATGCCACAGTCTTTGAAGTATAGATTGCCAACAAGGGATTAAAGTCTATCGTTGTAGCTAGATCCACCAATGATCGGTGATGTCGTGGGTGTGAAATGAATATCACCGCCAAGTTTACTCTGGAGAAGCGCTGAGGCAACATATCGTAGTAAGAAGCAACAGATGTAGAGATAACTATCAAAAATAGGCACCTTAAGTCATATTACTTGACTCGATTGAAAATATCTTCGAATAGAAGTGGTATGTGCTACGTCCGTCAACAGCGTACCGCTTCATCGAAGTTGGAGGTGTTCCTAAGTGTCAAGGAGAGTAAAGTCGGATTTATCCCTTACCAGCAGGGTGATCTTAAAACTGATGAATTCGCATCTCCATCAGAAACCCAGGTACAAATGAAGCAGTTCAATGAATCATCGAGATTCCAAATGAAGGAAATCTTGCTCAACCAGTAAATTATCAGACAAGTGGGGAGAGTGCTGAGGTTCGCACAATTCCTCTTCTTTTGTGAAGAACTTCATTCGAATGTTCAATTAAATATAGATGACGTGAAAGGGCAGAAGCAGCGGTGCTCACACCAAAGATTAAGGAAAAACATTGTGAACGTAGAAAACTACAGCGCCCTCTTCAAGCATTTGATATTCTCCATTCCTTACCGCATTAACCACCCAGCGATTTTTGATTAACATATTGTATTATACTGTATGTTTTCGAGTGGGCATGGAAACGTTAGCACGTCTTGATTCACTTCAAAACCTTCAAGAAGGAATTCAAAGTCAAGAGGCCAAGCCATGGGTCAAGGATTTAAATTTCAGCTCTGGTCATAAAACAGTTTTTTCAAATAAGGCTACATATTAACATCCTCTCGAGGTTTCGAAGAAAATAGAGCCCATCAAAATGTTCTTGTGGTGGTATTTTCACGTGGCAAATCGAAGTGGCCAACAGTTTCCATGAATGGCTAAAGGATAAAAAAAGGACAACATTCTCGGCGTTGATCAATCCCTGAGTAATGCGCCATACATTCAATTTCATTAAGAGTCGTTGGTGACTGAATGCATATCTGGTCTTTACGATGACTCCCAGTGGCCTACCAATGTATCAAGCCAATGCTGCTATCCTCCCAGACAAATCTGGTACCAATTTGTCGACCTCGGACGGACAGAGCCCTTGGTGAATCTATGGCACGGTGACCGATCTCACGTGTACTGCAGGGTACCCCGGACCATTTCGCTATATGCGTTCCTCATGAATGGTTAACAAAATCTATTTACGAAAGAAAACTTCTTTTAATCGCTAATGAACCATATGTGGGCCACTCACATCAAATCAACAACCGCAACAGCATTACTAGGAACAAGTAACAAAATGTTTACACCGAAATTTCAGCATTAGAGGACCATCAGAATTGAAAGCTATCGGATTTTATACACTTTCAAGTGGTTTTAATTGAGAATTTTTAGAGTCTATTTGTTTTTTATGAGGTTAATAAAGTTCTTATGAGCTGTAACATGTTGGGTTAAACGTTAAATATTAGAAATTCCGTTATCGAATGTGCTCGATGATATCAGCATGGCAATCATTATTCATTCAACATTCATTGTCCCAATATATGACGACACGAATACCACGTAATCGACATCAAACAAAGCTATTCGATAGTTATAATAATAAGAAAGAACATTAATATACCACCATTCATATAAACGAGGTGCAAATAATGTTCTTAATGAAATGGAACAGCACAGACAAGTGGTGAGATACTTATATTCAACACGCGCACCATCACATCATTGGACATGAATGGAGAAACAAACGTTATTTAATCTGTGCAATATCTACAGAAAAAAGATTCTAGTGAGAATTCCACTTTGGGTTAGTTCTGTTCAGCAGTGGCCGCCTGAATATGGGAAGACATTTTTCATCTCAGTAAAAATAATGATTGACTTACTTCAACTTCTCGTTTCTCCTCTTCGTCTCCGGAAGGTCCTGGCACCCACAATCCAGAATCAATACAACGTTGGAAGTGATAAGCAAATACCTATAATGAGGACTAGACGCAATAACCGCCTCCGAAGTACACTCTTCGGAAATCAAAGAACAATTTGTAGTTTTTCTTATCTGTTTTACTAATGATTTTTCTAATGCTAAATTATAACGTATCAGTCAAAAGCTCATTTTTCCTTCGCTTTCGTTAAGTATTATTGGAATAAAACAGAAAATGTATTTTCAACAAATTACACGGGCTAAACAGTGAAATAACGGGGGAGATAGCACAGTTGTAGTTATGCTGATCATCACACTCACGGCGCTGCCTCGATCCTATCGCAGGCTCACTAAGCCCCTCATCCCTCCGGGATTGAGAAATTGGTACCGGACTTGTTCACAAAAAAATCACTCACTTTCTCCAATCTAATTTGGAACGCCCCAGCTCGACTATCTCAGGACTCCAAGGAGAATAGATTCAACCAGCATTGTATGACAGATGAAATGAAGAATCCTCAAACGGCAACCGAAACCACACGTAAAAAGTTGAAAGATCTTCATGGATGACGGATGCGAGGAAACGAACCGAGTGTGAGAAGTGGTGCGATCAGCACAATAGACGTGAGGACGGGTCGTATAAAATAAAATTTTAAAAACGGTGAAATGTTAAAATACCAGTGCTGATAAATTTATTTCCACGAATTCGAATTCCATCGCAGTGCGGCGCAAACGGCTCGAATCATGTGTGAGGCTAATAAACCGAATGCACAATGCAACGTTGGTTCCAAAAAATTCGTCGTGACGAGTTCTATGTTGAAGAAGGAACGTGGACAATCTTCTGCTATTGAGCACGATATTAAGGCTTTGTTGAAATCAAAAGCATGAAGCTTCGCAGCACTTCACAGGGCCAAAACTGTTCCGAGAGAAGATCACGCTGAATGTTGGTGGTCCGCAGCTGATTTGATCGATCACAGCTTGTTGAAACCGGGTGAAACGATTATGGTGAAGAAAGAGGTCCAGGAAATCTATGAAATGCGCCATTTCGAAACTTTCAGAAATCAATTCCACGCGCTAACTACATTCAAAGACTTCATCGCATCCAGAACTCCAGAGTTTCAAGCAAATGGAATACATAGACTTGTCTCTCGTTGGCGAAAAAGTACAGATTCTTATATATCTTATTTCAGTTAATAAAGTTTGAAATGAATTGAGACATGCTACTTTAAAGATGCAAGCTGAAATTTTGCGTTCAATTCCGGACAATCTAATATCAACCACGCGCTGTAATTTGGGCGATTTAAAAAAACGGTGGAAAGCAAACAAACAAACGAAAAAAAGAGATGCAAACCTCCCGATCCATTGTTAACGCCACCTCCTGTAGCTTTGATACCTCTTGGCTATCAAAAGCAGCACGCATCTCCTCAGGTAACGATTCGTACACTTCTTGTGGATCAAGTCCGCCTGGAGCTGCTGCGATGCGCTTTTCCTATACAGAAGGATCTCCGAAAAAACACTTGAAAGTATTCCTCATACGATCTTTAACAGAAAATCGAAGTAAAAAACAACCAGAACTTCTCTGTAGGTGCTCCCATTTTCTGTTCTTCCATGCCTTTTGCAAAAGCAGGTAAAGGATAAAGCGTGTTGATCTCTTCTTTATTAATGCGTTATGTGTTCTACTCGGTTAAGTATAAAGGTAACTCGATGCATATTAGACCTATAATATTAATCGCACGGGCCGACCGAAGAATCAACCCAGTACTTTTACCCTGCTAGATAAATATAGCCCCAATTTGCTAACCTCGAAGGGCCGCCGAAATCTTGCCTTGTTAGGAGTGCGTGACAGAACCAAAGATGATATGCGTAGCACGTCAAAACACTGCGCCATTTATAAGCACAAGTTGAAATCTCAAGCTTTGTCAACAAAACTGTCGCATTTGTATTATCACAGTGTCTTATCAATGAATCTAATTTGATGCCTTGTTTTCCAAAACCTCTTCATTTATAATTGAGCGCTGGAAAATCTAAGGATCTCCATGCCTAATGGATCCCCTGCCACTTAGCAGCGCCCAGAGACGTAGCTTGATTCAACAGATGGAGTACTTGTCTTCACTATGTCAATTCGATATATACATTCTGTAGGTGAGGAGACATGTCTATGCATGCGTATGTTGGTTTGCTCCCACATATGCAGATTGTACTCTGCAAGCAATTTGGCCAAAAGCGTACAATAAAGTGACTGGGAATTACATGGGTGGTGGTTTGGAGTAACTCCAAAAAATAAGCTCCACGTGCTTATTCTGGGAGATACTAGAAAGCTTAGTCTATCAGGTCCCAGAGTGACAACTCGGTAAACCACTCGTGGGTATAAATAGGGAAACGGTGGAAATAATGGCCCCCAACCAATGAATAATGGCCAAAGTCTTTGAAACAGTTCCACGTATAGAAGCGCTGTTAAGCATGATGATGGAGTGGCCACTAAAATCTAAAGGCCATCCTGGGACACGTAAACTTAGAAGGACCAAGATGACGATCGGTACACATAGCACAGGCTTAGTAGCACCTGAATCTTCCGCTAAGGGGCTAGCCGAAATTATTGCGTACGACGCCATCGGGACTTGCTGGGATGAGAAAACATCATTTAACGGTCTTTACTATATCGGAAATATAGTCCTTCTAACATACCATAATAGAGGATTCAGCGGTGTTGACGATTACGTCTACGGCCTTAAGGCTAACATTGGAACCAGGAAAACGTCTAAACAACTTCATGTCGGGAACCATAAACTGCCATGAGCGCACATGGAGACAGAACTTGAGTTTGTCACGATGACCAAGACCGTTCAGAGTAACTCACAATGGCTGTAGAAGCAAAAGACATAAGCAGTTCAGGAACCACTTTAAAGATTCTAAGATCCACCAAGAAAATCTTAACGCTACGTAATAAACGTAATATCGCATCGAAAGCGCTACGTAAAACGTGATGTTACGAATTCCGGTATCCTGCAGGTGAGAGAGGAATTCCGAATTTCTTATCTACGTCAACGGTCAAAGATCACAAACATAGTCTTATATTGCAAGGTGTCAAAATTCTGGTGGCTATAAAAAGTGATGGCTCTCAACGACGATCAAAAGTGTCAGCGACTGAGTATCATGGAATACTACGCGCAAGTCAGAATGAGGATCAATCAGATGTTAAAAATTCTTTAAGGTGATCTTAAAATGAAAATACTACGCCCGGTGAGTTTCTAGAGTGAAGTTAACACACATAAAAACTGCATATGATAGGTAGAGAAAGAGAGAGAGAGAGAGAGAGTGAGAGAGAGTGAGAGAGAGAGAGAAAGGGAGAGAGACAGAAATGGAGGCATAACTTGCTCCTGATTCTCCAAAAACAAAAGGACAGGCAATACAAGTAATATTGAGAATATCTTGTTACCTTAATAATTACGAAAGACTAGATTACCTTCTCCTCAGCTTCGTACTCAGCTAAAGCAGCGTCTCTTTTCTCTTTTGCTCGTCGAATCAGTCTCTCTTCAAACGCGGCCACTTCGTCTGTGTATAGCTTTAGATACTGCGGGTCAGCACTTCGGAACCTGTAATAGACTTCAGACTGAATATTAAAGCAAATGTGGCGAAACTGAGTATAGTTTAAACATAAAAATCTAGTTAGAAACATCAAAGGATAGCGAAGAAAACGAACAATCCTCACTTCTTAAAGAAAGCTTTAATGATGTTCACATTCGTTGGAATAGCATTCATATTCTTTGCAAGCTCTAGCAGATACTGTATGATAATACATTGTCTGGCAATGTTGCTCATTTCAGCTTCCTATAAAACAAGCCTTTTTCCGCCACGTATAAAAAAACATATGACGGGCTACGCTCTCCTGAAACAAAAGTTAAATTGCTGTTAAATCACTAGAAATCACCTTGTGTTCGATTGCCAAATTCAATGCATCAATTGTAAGGTAGTTGGCAGTATATTCACTGGCAAGATGAGGATGCTCGAGAATGAACTCCTCGGACTCTTCCAGCGAATTAAGTTTTCCATACTCTTGAATAAGACTTTCGTTCTGGTCGAAAAAGTTGGTCTAAAATGGTCAATGTATCCAGATAAAATAGCATAGCAACAATCACACTTCGCAATCTTCTCTGGGAAAAATCGCTCACCATTCTTTTGGTATCTTCCTCATCTGAAATTTTAGGTGGAGGCTTCTTTTCACCAACTTTATTAATACGTGAAGAACTGAACGCCTCATGACCAATCGTGTCCACATTCCAGGGTTCAAGACGTTCTTGCTCCTAAAACAAGCAACTAAGGAAGCAATCTGTGACAAGTAGCGACTGTCCCAAACCAGCCCCAGTAAGCACTGATAAAAAAATCTGGAACTATGTCCAACTCGCCTCAAGTTCCCTCTCCTTCGCTATCCATTTTGCCTCATGCTCCTTAATGTCAGCCAATTCTTTTTCCAACTTGACTCTTTCGTCTGCACTAATATCAGCTGAACCAAGTTTCTTCTCCAGTTCCTGAAATACGAAACACCTGATGTTTAAGCATGGAACGACGACTGCTTAATCTGGTCTCCTTAACACTTCCACCCAGCTTTAGATAAACCATACTGCATAAAACCATTTTTTGAAAGACTTTATTTTACCCATGGTAGACTCTCGTGAGCCAGCCATTGGCTCTATGTGGAATGGATAAATAATGAATTATGAAGATAATGAACTTCATACAACAAAACAGTGGGACATCTCGAGAACTTAGTGTGAGCTGGTACTTTACGATAGCTGTGGTGCGCTATGAAGATGAATGGGAAATCTACAGGTGTCCGCTCATTCAACAAAATAAGAGAAGTGAAGATGACAGATTAATGGATTCACTCATAGGAGAAACAAGAGCATTCATACTTGCCCATGGATAACATGAGATAAACGGCAACGAAGTTCACCACACTTGGGAATTATCGCATCAGAAATGATCGAAGTGTAAGTTTTCGTACATAATCTTCTGCTTCCTCCTACACACTAAGTCTTGCCAGGTCATCACTTCTGGAGAAGTGACGATAAGAGATGCTTTAAGAGTGTACAAAGTGTAAATCAGAACTACAAAGAAGTCAGCAGTTATAACTACAGCTGAGGAGTATAGTAGAAGATCACAAGATCTCTGAGTGTAACAATACCAAGATGATTCTGACGGTCAAGCAGCTCTCTGTTCGGTTACTAAACAAGACGAAAATTCCACCCCTTTGCAGCTAAGCATTCCGGAGTTTAAGACTTAATTCTTCAACGTTCAGCGTTTTCCACTCTAAATAGTGCTGTGTGTAACACGCGAGCCCTCAGGAAAGGGCAATCGCAATTCGATCTGGCCTGGGCTCCAAGTTTTGTAAATATCTCAGTATCCTGCCATGGAACAATAATGAGCAGTAGATAAAAAGTTATATGTCGTTCATTTTCCTACAGCATTCGTGAAACTTGCATGTAGTTGGAGTCCAAAGGATTCCTAGAGATACTACAGTGTAGGATCATAATCAATGTTTTTTGGTTCGTTTTCAGGAAAAAGGTTTTTTTACTCACTAGTTCTTTTATGTATTGCAGTCAGCGAATTCTTAGATGAAAACTTCGCGCTGCTGTTAGATATGAGTAAATTTCTGTTTTCTACTGCGATGATTGGAGCGTGTAGCGCAGTGGTGGGAGACGCCCTGCAATACATATGGCATCGATCTCCGGACCCTAGGCTCGCCAAGCCTTTCATCCCTTCGGGGTCGGCACATTGGTACCAGACTTGTCTAGGAGGATAGCAGCACTGGCTGGATACTTCGTTAGGCCACTGCGAGTCATTTCAAAGGCCAGATGTGCATTTAATAACCTCCAGCGATACTTAATGAAGTCGAATGCAAGGCGCATCCCTCAGGGATTGGTCACCGCCGAGAACTTTATCCTTTATTTTTTATTTATTGCAATGAATTTACAACCAAGTAGGTTATGAGCAATACGTAAAAGTCAGTAAATCCCTTTAGCAATTATAGATGGGGAAAGCAACACTACTAAAACATATGTCGATCGCAGCTCAAGTGGAATTTTAAGCAGCAAATCGAGTTAGATATGATACACTTTTCCACAAACCAGCTTAAAAATGCGTTACAGATTAAAGAATGAACAAGTTTCTTTCCTTTTCCCATGAAAAGTTCCAGTACCACCCACAGACTTTTGGGAAAATGAGCACGAGTACTTAAGATGAACTCATCAGCACTCAGTTAATTCACTTGCCTCAATTTTACTGTTACTCGTGGACTTATTCTTCTCTATCTCCTCCTTCTTCTGTTTTTTCTCTGCCATCCTCTCAAGACGAGCTTGGTGGCGCCATCTGAAAGCTGAATATTTTAAAGTCATACTGTACAGCAGAAGGCAGGGTTAAATTGACAGGAAGTACAACTGCAGCGTTTTCGCGTGCTATACTGGACATGTGCAGTCCCCTGTGACTGTATAGTTTCCAGAAACGCTTGCCTGAACAGTGACGGCGTGTCGATGTTTGGATGAGTGTCGTCTTCATCATCGGACACTTCGATCTCTTTCCACTTGGAATAGTCGATGGGCATGTTAACGAGCGCTGTCCTATCTCTAACGGACCAATCTCTGACGGATCTCACCGGCAACTAAGCCACACCTCTAATAATAGCGAGAGGTGCAAATGAAAAACAAGATCACACAAGACTAAAACATGGCAATTGTGGTGTTTTCCAGTAGATCAATAAACTTTGATAATTTAGGGTGTGGTATCAGGCACTCTAGATTTTAAATCTATGGACTATAGTGTCCACTACTTTTCACTTGATAAGCAGCCTATAATAACTCATACCTACTTACCATCCCATGAAATTATTTGCATAACGAAGAAATGTGTAATACAACTACAACAATGCTACAGTACGAGGAAAACTTGCAACCTCAGTTGGGCTCCGAACCTGCGACGATACCGCTATGGGGGCTCACGCTCTGTACACCACACCTACCGAAGCCCTTGCTTTACCTTTCTGTCAGCCAGTTTTTTACCCTAACAGTACTACCAGAAATCATCCATCAACAGGAAGGATCTGCAAAGCACAAATCGGCGTTTAACCACGTTAATCTGAAGCCAGGGGGCGGATAGCATAGTTGCAGTGATACCACTATTCACGAACACGGCGTAACAGACTCACTAAGCCTCCCACCCTTCCAGAGTCGGAAGAATGTTACCAAACTTTTACGGGAAAAAAGTCAATTCCTGCACTCCAGTTGGGAACGCTCTACCCCGGCGATCTCAGGACTCCATGGAGAATCGACTCGACCGGCATTCTACGACATTCAAGATGAAATTAAAGTCTTCAGTCACCAGGCGTAGCCTCCACACGTGAAACTTGGAAGACTTTAGTGGATGATGAATACGAAGAAATGAGTCCAATTTGAGAACTGCCGGGATCCGTAAAGTAGATGTGAAAGACAAGTCGCGTGAAAAAATGAAGCTGCACTCGAAATCACAATGACTAACTTTTATTTACCCCTGTTCATTTACACAGCAGAGTATTAAGTCCGCAAAGGGCAATGGCGCGTTCGAAGCCCACCTGGTGTTTCGAGTTTTGCTTATATTTCAGCATCTCCGCAGTTGTATCCCACATAAAGGGCTGTCATGAACAAAGAATAGGAGTCAAATTTAATTTAACCGTTTTGAATAAACGAGTGTGTTGACACGACAGACAGTTATAATACAACTATTGAATTGTGCGAATCACTTTCTGAGAATGAGAAATTTGAGATCGAGACTTTCTGACCTGACTACTCTAACCTCATCAGAGGAAGCAAAAATGGTCACTGTATAGAGAATAAAGCTCCCAACGGTTCACTACCTCATCATGGCTAGGACGTGCTCCTGGGTATCGGACTGCGACGTACACCGGTAGATTCATCCCTCGGTCAGGGTCTTCCAAGCTGAGGAGTCCGGAGTTTCTATCAGGAAGCCCAGTTAAGAGTAAACCGATACCAGGATCCACCACCGTCCTGGGATCAAACTAGTCGCATGATGGCAAATCTCCCGTGATCCACAAGGGCGACGCCTGCTTATGATGGTGACGACTCGGGTAGTGTACTTTGGCTAGGTTGACCCCGTTGAACTACAACGGCTAAGCCAGTAAAACTCCGAAAAATCGACATTGTGCCAGGCCAACACAACCAGTGAAGACGGGAAATTTAAGCACCCAAGTAAGTATGCGGAAGAAAAACTAAAACATTAAAAATTAAAATACTGGCAGAACTCTCGTAAATGTCGACAAGCAGTAACTACCATTCGTAAAGAAAAAGCTGGCAGACATTTCAAGATAGAATAGGAACTGCTTAGTGCAACTAAAACGGCTGAGAACTGAAAAATCTAATCGACGAAACCAAAATGCACCAAGTCGATGCTCACTTCGACGTTATTAGGAGAAATCCTGAACCTATTCTGAACAGCCAACGGCAATTTTTCAACAGTTGGATGTTCGCTGAGCGGAGAGCTGAGTCGCTCTGTTAGGTAACACCTCCACGACAACAAAGAGACAACGAGAAATCCGCGATTTAAACGAGTACCTTCCCGAAATGAAACGATTGTTATTTGCAAAGAAGTGAAGGCTGAAGAGGCTTGCAACGCCCACAGACCCCATCGACATGTTCAGCAACACTTGTCTCCAACTCAGAGACTGTCTCAAATGTGGATTTGACCCCAAGGACCACTCGTGATTTTCTAGTTCGCTGCTCGCTAGTTCGCGAACAGAGGATACACCATCACCCAATGTCAGGATTCACCACCGACCTAGTATCAAACTAGTCGTGGTCACAGGACGAACTTCGTGCGCTGAAAGCCAACTTGTGGGACAAATCAAGGGTCAGATAAGCGATCATTGAAGCTTTATTGTCCCAAATATATCAAAGTATTAGTGAAAGTCGCACCCAGGCACTCTTTGTACCTTACAAAATCAACACTTTAGCACACAAAAACTCAACGCCAAACAAGGAAGCACTGAACAGACAGAAATAATGAGAAGATCATGAGTACTGCCGGTAGAGAAGCGAAACCTTTCGGAGACTGACAACACCAGATAATGGACCACCGGCCTCCCGGATGAAGAGATGTCGAGGAGAATTCACATGCGTCTCACGGCGGTAGGTGTCCGCAATTGCGGTCGAACACGAGTGTCGCCTTGTCAAATCGTCCGGGCATTCGAGTTTTTCCCATCACTGGAGTGAAGTCGGTGTCATTATTTGGTAAGGATTTTTTTCTTTTCTTCTTTTTCTTAGTGGTTCCATCTCAACTCATGGTGAGCCTAGGAAGTCTTTGAGGATGCTACCGTAACCATTTCTCGGCTTATTTTTTTACTCGAGTGTGGTAGGCGATGTATTGTTGCAGTCATTCCTGTTCCGAGTTGTAGGTTCGACCTTTGTTAAAAGTTTAGCCAGAGGTCTGTAAAACTCAATCTTATGACTTGGTGCTGAACAATGCTTAACTAGCGAGGCACAGGCCAAATATTCCTTCATTTCAAGTTCCTTGATCCTCTTTTAACTGCCTCTAAATGGTCTTATTCGTCTGGCTTTTGTTGTATCTATTGGGTACAGTCAGAATTTTTAATGGTTTTTCTAGTACATGACTCTGCACAAGAGGTGCTTGGGGCGCAGTGGTCGGAGGGCCGTCCAATACACAAGGGATCCATCTGCGTGCTCCAGGCTCACCAAGCCTTCCATGCCTTCGGCGTCGGCAAATTGGCACCAGACTTGTCTGGGAGGATAGCAGCACTAATTTGTTACATCGGTAGGCCATCACGAGTCATTGTATAGACCAGATATGCATTCAATTACCTACAACAATGCTAAATGAAGTTGAATGTATGGCTCATCCCGCAGGGATTGATCAACGCTTGGAGCTTTATCCTTCTATCCTTTATTTTTCTTGCGTTCCTTCATCATCGCTTATCGTTTCTTTTGTTTCATATGATTCATTTGTATTACAGGAGATAGGCCAGCACAAAATAATGGGTTTTCTGTTTTCGAAAATCATCAGGAATATTGTGATTGCCTACGTACTGTTCAGCGGCGTTCAGTACTTGCTACGATGGAAGTCTTACACAATTTCGCCTAAGGAATTCCGTAGTGTCGCTGCCAAGGCTCAAGGTTTATTAGTTCTGCTGACTTAGTAGTACCAAGACGTCTTACAATATCTTCGATAAAGTAGGGTTTTGCCACAGTACTAAAAATTATGCGAATTTATCCAATTTATGGGCTGTGGTAACGCGGCGTTGCCAAGCAATGCGCCAGTGGCTAACCAAGTCTCCCCTACCTCTGAGTTCAGGAAATTAGTACCAAACTTCTTTGTGATCCACAAAGACTAGTAAGAACCCTTACGACTCTTTAGCACAGCTATCCCAGGATTCCAGAGGCAATCTGCTATCACTCGACAACATTGAAGAAAACTAAGAATCCTAAAACAGTAGCCGAACCCGCCCGCAAATCCGGAGACATTTGTGGTTGGTGGTTCCAAAGGAACAAACCGAATGAAAGTCATGGCACATACACAGTGATATTGGGTCATATGGAAAAGAGCTATCTATCTATCGCATGTTGCTAACGCATGGATAACTTCTTGATATTTTTTGCCAGGAACTCGGACTATTGCGAGTTGCGCAACTTGGAGGCGGGCTTTGCAATAGGTGGTTGAAATGGCCTCTTATGCTTATGCCTTTAAGGTCGCTTAAATGGATGTTATGCAAAAAGTCACGCTATGCATTGTTTTGGAAAGAAAATTTCATAGAAACTGGTCTAACAGATCTTATGCGAGGTCTAAGAGGTTTCATCTTTGTGATGAAGACAATTTGAAATCCTTTCTCTTGTTTTCTTAAGCCTTTAATGCTGAGCAGTGCTGGTAACTTCTGATTTTCTCGTGTGTTCTTAGATTTACGCAGTCTACAATTCCAGGCGTCGAGAACGTTGCGTCTGCAGTAAGTCGTTTGACAACAGATCTGAGACGGGCTTATGGATCTGCAGTTGTTGTTGAATCATCTTGGGTAGGTACTACTACTACATCAAACTGTATGTAGTTTGATTTCAGGTCTTTAGAATATAAAACTACCTTTCTTTACGTGTAGAGACCTCTCTAAATTCTAATGTATAAAATCCATTGGATGTGGGAAGCACAGTCATTAGAAAGGCGTAAAATAATTCATAGCCACTAATTTCGCGTTGTAGACCTGAGAACTGCCTAGTCCGGCCATCCAGGGATTCTAGGTAGAATCAATTCGGCCGCCGTTTAATGATATTTAGTAGGAAAACAAACTTTTAATGTAGTAGTCAAATCGATGTGAAACTGAAAAACCTTGGATGACGGATACGAGACCACAAACAGGAAGGTGAGATATGAAGTGTTAGGTTTCGCACAGTGTATGAATCGTACTCGTATAAATGAAAATAAATGAGTGAATTCCTCTTCTTGCAAATAGTGTGGTTAAATTTATTACTCATTCTTCGCAAAAGGTGCTGCTGGTGCATTGAGGCAAGTTTGTTCACCAATAATATCTAGCTGAGTTTAGGTACCATGATGTGTTGTCAATTCTCTCAAAGATTTACCGTCTCATCGTGGCTGGGAGGTGTTCCTGGGTGTTGGACTATGATGTCCAGCAATGAGATTCATCTCCACAGCAGGGTCTCCCAAGTTGGGAAGGAGGCCGGCGTTTCTATCAGGAAGCCGCTAAGAGTAAACCAATACCAGGATTCACCACCGCTCTTGTATTAAGCTAGTCACATAATGACAAATTCTCCTCCACAAGGTGCCCCCGATCATCACCACCATAGGCAGTCGCCTCGGGGGCAGACTTTACCCAGGCTGACGTCGGGACTCTACGGAGCACAATGGCTAAATGAGCAAAACTCCGAAACAATTGAAATTATGTTGCGGTCCGCCACAGGTGAAAACAGACCATCCAACTCTCTAAGTATCCAAGATGTATAGTAAATAAAGATTGGATCGCGACCGTACTAATTCTTCACATTGCCAATTCTTGATTTCGTGGTCGATTTTTTTCTCTTTATAGGTTGCTCTCACTCTTGGAGGCATACCATTGAAGGCACTGTTCCTTCATGCATCAATCACTGAATTTATTGCAGTCATCGGAACTCCCTATCCAGTTGCTGGAAGAATTGGTTAGTTGGGATAATTGTGATCTTGATGGCTACTTCTTGTGCAAATATATAATTCCAGGTACACATTGGAGCAACAGTACGTGTACCGTCTTAATGGGCTCCGTTGTTCGTTTACCTGATGTCGGCTACATGCCCAATAAGGAGACATTTAGTACAGGTTTGGCACATTGTCAGCATAGGAACATTCTTATTTACGACTTATCTCCTGTTTTGGTACTTAAAATTAGTCCGTGGAATTCTGAAGATATTTTTCATTTAATTAACCTTGAAATGTACTGAGACCGTAACCATTGGCTTATTTAGGAGGCAACTTCCGCCACGGCCAGTTTGAATCGTACATATATAACCTTGGTTCAGAAACTTACGTGGTGTGTTATGGTGAGTATTGCGTGTTTCGGTGGACTAAATCACTCCGTTGTTAAAACGAAAGCTAAGATTAACACAATTTTGGATTCATTTTTACCGTCAGTTCATGTGTCTTCCGTAATGAGCACTTTGTTATGTTTCAGGATTGATCAGTTTTAAAGCGGTTTGCATAGTAAGCATGAAGGGCGCGTGTAGCACAGCGCAGTGCTCGGAGGCGCTCTGCAATACACTTGGGATCGGTCCCCGCACCCCAGACTCACCAAGCTTTCCATCCCTTTAGGGTGGGGAATTGTTTAGGGGGTTAGCAGCACTGGCTCGATACATCGGTAGGCTACCGTTAGCCATTGCAAAGGCCAGATATGCATCCAATCACCTCCAAACGATGCTTAATGAAGTCGAATACGTGGTGCCTCCCTCAGGGATTGATCAACGCCAAGAGCTTTATCCCTTATTTTTTTAAAGCATGAGTAGTAGTGAATCACTGCTCGAAAGTTCACTGTAGGATATAATGATCTTGAATCCGGTTGAGTCCGCTGTAACCATCTATCGCCCATTTTGATTGTGTTTGCTTAAAAAAACCAAAAAAGTAAAGTAAAATACAAATTTCTGCGTGATTTTGAACTTTTCGTGGTACTGAATATGTTCAAAGTTTAAATTCATTGCGTACAAAGCACTTGTTATAGGTAAGATTGCTGCATACACTCAGTTTAGTATTTGCTTCCTGATTACAGTTCAGCAAAGCGATTAGGTCAAACCCCACTTAATATACAGCCATTACACACGAGTTAATTGCTCGGCTATAACAATTTCAAAAAGTATGTGTAAGTGTCGAGGCAATTTTCTATTCTAATTCTACATCAGAATGGAAGTCATTCCTTCACTTTCGCATCTTTTGCAACTGACGTTCTTTTTTCTTCATGAAAGTGGCATCATGAGTACTTGAGTTCTTTCATAACTACCATAAACCAGTGAATGGTTGCCTCTCCCATGGTTATTAAATTATTAGCAACTACATCGCTCTTGTTTAGGACGCGGTATCATTCCGGTGTCTGGTCTTTGGGCGGCAACTGGTGCACTATCACAGGGCGAACCTATTTCGCTCGCACGTCTAATTTACGTATATGGACACGAGGCTTTCAATCAGTTGACTTTGGGTCTGATGAATACCATAAATTATTACAAAGCAAAAGCTACAGGGAAAACGGAGTTATAGGTCATTGAGCCTTTCGTTACTGTTGCCGTTGCCATCATTCACCTCTCATCGAGTCGTCTTAGTTTGTTTCCCAAGAATCTTTTTTTTTGAGTCGGTAGTTCTGGTTATTTATTTAGAACGCTGAGCATTATATATTCATAACAGGTTTGTAATCAGTTTTATGTTGGCCCGTTCCAGTTGTTTACATTGTATTTATTACATATTTAAATACTAGTGATAAAATTTGTGGTTGGTAAATACCGAGATTTTAAATAGGATATCATGATAGGACATCATACTTGATGTGATGCATTGGGACAGGATGTACCAAGGTGTCCTAAGGAGAAAAAAAAGCATTGCTAAACGTTTGTAATCTCAGTCATTAACTTGAAAGACTTACTTTCAGATTCACGGTATATTCAGGGGGCAGAATTGCTCAAAGTTATGCTCAGTTCAAGTTGGATACGAAAAGTAAGATTATACATGATAAGGAAGCTCTTACTCCTAAACGAGCGCGTTACGAATCAAGTACGTCTCAAACTCATTAAAATTCATATGAAAATGCTATGCTATGCTAGAGAACACATCACACGTCCAGGTGAAATATTAAAGCATTCAAATAAAGATGTGAACAAAAATGCAAGTAATGGGGATCACGAATGGGAAACATGTTCACCACTGAAGTGGCTAGACTTCTGTTCCTGTCGGTCTTTGAACAATATCGTGTTTTATGAGAAACTTTAGCGTATCCTTGTATCCCATATCATAGTAATTCTGCAAGACAGTACGTGATGGTGGGAACAACGCCTGAGCTCCTCTGACAATATTTTTTAGGTTCACCTAAAACGAAAAGTAAAAGCTTCCTTCAACACTTGGTGCTTATAAGAATCATATGTGACTCATGCGTGCTTAGATATAGCTGCGATTTTCAACAATAGACGGGATTTCAACCTTTCAAGTTCCAATTCATAGCAAAGCCTATTAGATTGAGTAATTACCACGAGTACCTACAAATCTTTTGTCAACAGCATACATTCCTACATGTCTGTGGAGATAAAATTCTGATTCTATCAACCTCGTGTAAGCTTATCAAAGAAAGATTACGTATAAAATTCCGGTTCTTTTAGTCCATAAAAAATATTCTTCACTCTCATTTCTACGTCTAGGTTCGTATCTTTAAAAATAAATATGATAAACGTTCGGCATCCCGCCCATCAAGACATCAATGGCGTCCTCACTCGAGTTGACGTCTCCAGTTATCCATCGTTTTAAGAACAAGAAGAAAGCAGAAAAATTTGAGCTTTGCTTTAAACTTTTTTTTAGAACTTGAATTCCAAGCATTTGACTTAAAACAATATTTTAGAAAAGTTGTTTTCATTAAGGGGACAATAAAGCAGCATCTTCTGTAGGTGTAACAAATCCTCAACATTAGGGCATTAGTTGGCATAAAAATATCTAGACGCTGGAGTTATGCACTTTTTCAGCGGCTACCCCAAAAATTAAACTGTCTTTTGGACTTCACGGTATCAAATACATGCAAAGAATTATACTTTGTATAACTGACATTCATCGTCTGATTACAAACTGTCATCTTCCAGTCGAAGAAATTTCGTGCATCAGCTGGTGAAATCTCAGCATTGCCGGAGAATGGCGACACAGTGATTGTACGTATGTCATCGAAATCGGGTAGATTATTAGTGTAGCCTCCATCTATACAAGCCTGAATCATACCTCTATGAAAGCTGTTACGTTTTCGAATTCTTAAAACTTCCAAGAAGAACCTACTTGACCATCGATTATAGGTGGCTCAGTACCGTAGCCCATAGAGTACAGTGGAATGAAACAACTGGCCATTAAGCATTTTAGTAAATCATCTCTGCTCGAGAACTGTGAAATAAGCCTATTTGTTCTTTCCTAAACATGTTTTTACGCCTATGCGGATTTAAAGACGAACATAGAAAATCGGTGAACATACCTCTCTCTTTGTAACGGAGATAAATAATCTACCTTGAGCTGGAGAAATATCCTGAGGTAAGAAACCTTGAACAATCTGCAATAAAGACCAGATGCAAGATTTGTGATAATGATCAAGTGGTATACAATCACTACCTCCCAGTGCATTACATTACATTACCAGTAGAACTCGTTTTCTTATATAGTTGGATACTTGGATGGGCCGTCTTCACTGGTTATGTGGACCCCAGCATAATTTCCATTGTTTTGGAATTTTGCTGGTTTAGCTATTGTGGTTCATTAGAGTCCTGAGGAGAGCCTGGCCAAAGTCTGCCCTCAGGACGGTGGTAGATCCTGGTATTGGTTTACTCTTAGTTAGGCTTCCGGATGAAAAGTCCGGGCTCCTTCTCAGCTCGCGAGACCCTGCTAAGGGATGAATTCTTCGCTGCAAATCGCAGCCCGAAACCCAGAAACACTTTCCAGCCACGATGGGAAGGGTTTTCCTATATATGATATAGTATTGTTAGTCTGACATGAGAAGGTTGTATAAGTTTCTATGGTGGCTAGGTTTCAGAGTTATCGCCTTCTGTAGACCCAAAATGATTCGAGTGCAATGTCAACAGCAGTTTGTTCTTGTGATTCGAGTATTCTTAGAGCACTCCTGGATGACGCCACCCCATTCGAGAGGTTTTTCACTCTAATAGTTCCAACTCATTACGACCGTGGAGATCCATGCCGCAAGAAAGATGCGGTTGAAACTCGACTTGAACCATTGTGGTACTGAAGTCGATAGGACTGAAATTTCATCCACAATGAAAACTTACGATACAGCCTCGTTTAAGCTGAAAATTATGACGGGATATTTAATAATACCGAGATTAGACAGAAGTCGGTTTTTAATTCTTTTTTTGAAGCCATAACTAAGTATTAGGGGCGGATAGAACAGCGGTCGTGATTCCGATCATCACTAGCATTGTGCTGCTTCGTTCCCGTTCCCAGCTTACCAACCCTCTCATCTCTCCAAGGTCAGGGAATTAGTACCGCACTTTTTCGAGAAAAAATCACTCCACAATCCAACTGGGAATGCTTCAGCCCGGCCATTTTAAGGCTCCAGGGAGAATTAACTCGACCAGCATTCCGTACGACATTCACGATGAAACGAAGATCCTTAAGCAGTAGCCGAAGCCACACGTAAAAGTTGGCGACCTTCTTTGGTGATGGATGCCAGGAAACGAATCAAATGTGAGAATTGCTGGGATCTGCACAGATGTGACAACAGGTCATATAAAACAAGAAGAAAAATAACTAAGTATTACCTACCTTCAACAATTTGTCATTCAAACAATAACCTGGAGTAAGAGCACCGAATCTCAAATTTGTAAGTTCCTCTCCTAAATCAAACAACACGTTGAGGGCAAGTCCCAACCTAAACGTTTCTCGTCAATCCAACCGGATATGGATTTAGATAGGAATATGAGGGTGTGTTACAACAATTATTTGGGATTGACTCCACTATGCCCTAAAGAAAAGTAGCAGCAAGTGAACAATTAACATCATAAGCAACTGAAGATATTCTACTAAACTTGTGATTTACACTGTAATTTAATTTGTTGAGTCAAAGCTGGGACTCCTATCATAGTCTGACGCTACCAACACTTCATAATAATTCTGCATCCGCACTTTTACCGCATTTAATAACCGAGGAGAGTTGCTCGACAAAATCTTCCAAAAATGAGGCAAATGATTTTAAAACCATGTCCATTATACGTACCTATGCCATAACCACGACTTGTAGACGGTAACTGGACCTTACAATGTAGTCGACCATCAGCTTCATATCACCAGTCTTGCTGCAGTCGTATAATGCAGAATTCTATCGCGTGAAACTGACACTTGTTGACCCTGCCATTGTCGCATTGGAAAAGTATGACTTTAACTATTCGACTAATTACTATGTAATTACTACCTACATAAGCCATTCGTTTTCACAGACGACATAGGCGGGATCAACAAGTGTCTGTTTCACGCGATGCAATTAATTTGTTCGAGCCCAGAACTTGTTTGTGTGTTATATGACTGGAGCAAGATCGAGGAGATGAAGCTTACGGTGGCCTACATGGATTGGATGGCGTATCACAAATGCTTACTATGTAGTATTTATTGCTTAACAGTTTGGATGGATTCTAGATCTGTTCTTTTCTTCATACAACTTACTACAGGGTTAAAACCCACATATTCGAAAATACTGCATAATCAATGAAGAACAGCATGATAGGGGTGTTATGATCCTCTCATGCGATGGTCATTCTAATAGCAACTTCAATCCCGCTAGGAAAATTACGTAGAATTTAGCAAGGCAAGATATTTCGTTATGCATAGTTGTATAAACACGTCTTATTTTAGCGACATGATTGATGAAAACCTTGTTAAAGTGCGGTAGAACAGACATCATTCTGCAGTACTGGCAATCTCTTCGTAAAGAACTATCTTCAGCAAAGCTTTTTGCGGTTTGATATTCTTTCCAATACAGATCCGTTTGTGTCTCTTACAATCAGTATCTCAGTGGCGAAGCTTAAGGCGAGAGGTAAAATTTTTCGACTTTTACTTAAACCGCAAGCTAATCTCTTAAGATTATCGTCCTTATTTTGTAATAAACGTTGGGTGAAACAGACAGGTGTTCGTAGTGTTTATCAAAAGTAAAAAATCATTTCAAGGCCTAGAATTAGATAAGAATATCAATCTCGGGGCGCGTGTAGCGTAGTGGTTGGAGGCACCACTGTGACACACACGTGGAATCGATGCCCGCGTCCATGGCCCACCAAGCCTTCCATCCCTCCGGGGTCGGAAAATTGGCACTAGATTTGTCTGGAAGGATAGCACCACTGGCTCGATACATCGGTAGGCTACCGCGAGCCATTTTAAAGGCCAGATATGCATTTAATCACTACCAACGATACTTTATGAAGTCGAATGCATGGCGCATGCCTCGGAGATTGATCAACGTCGAAAGCTTTATCCCTTTTAGCCTTTACCAATCCTGGGTTGTTCAGTTTCCCAAGTTTCCGTTCAAAAACAGTTAACAACGACAAATAAGATTTTAAAACATGTAAGTAAAAACTTATAAAGCTGTACCACAAAACACAACAAACTGCACACAAAACACCACCTCACGCGAAATAGTGCAACCAAAAGTAACAGTAGCACTCACTTTTCTGGGCCAAGTAGTAGTAGAGAAGCTACTAAACTACCAGCTGAAGCACCACTCACTCTGTTCAGACGAGAAATAACGTGCTATAAGTAAATCAGAATATTTAAGAACAAAGTCCGAGCCAAAAGGAATGAAACTAACTTGCCCGTTCTTTAGAAAACAGTCGACCGCGCCGAAGTGGTACGTGCCAAGGAAACCACAGCCACTTAATGATATACATAACTCTGGTATAGCTGAACAAAAACAAAAGTGTTATCGGGATCAAAAGCGCTTGAGAAAAGCCTGAAAATAAAAGGAAAGTAACAAGACGTACTTTTTAGAGGCAAACGGCATATCTTTGGTCGCGTCAGATACATATCTTTTTCCCGTAACTTCCGGTCCTCTTCTTTCTCGAAAACGTTTTTTTCTTTCGAAGCAAGACTTATTGCACTCACAACCTAAATTGTCCGACTTCCATCGATCCAAAATTTATTGAGCTTGTCCACATCTCCAAGAAAAAGAAGAGAAGCAGAGAAACGGTCTGTGAACCAGGGTTTTTTCACATTTAATGCTCTTCTGCCCTATTGAACTTTTAAAAATGGTTTACTGAAAGCATAACCTAATGGGGACCGGGAAATAACAGCAAGGCAGTGATTCGAAAGAGCCGCTTCCAGCCTTTCTTCATTTGGTAAACGATTTCGGCCCTCGTTCACAAAAAACACGAAGGAAATCAACTTAATTCACTTTATGGAAGGAGCTTATCCAGCTGGCCGTAGGGTCTTTCGTTGGGGTTTGTTGACTAGAATGCGTAGATGATGACCTGAATAGCATCGAATTTAGAATTGATGGCTTTTTATCTACTGTCCCACTGTTTTTGAAAACAGGATGTTATGCAAAATATAACAATTATGCTGAGATATTTGCAAAACTCCGGACCGCAGATGTCTGCGGTGAGAATCGAATACACTTTTACCCTTTCCGGGAACTAACGCGTTCACCAACACACCATGCGGGCCCTTCGTTTCGCCTTTCTCTCAGTCGTGTTTTATAGCTCTAGTGCAAATATCTCAGCATAATTGTGATCGAATTTATCGAACAAATGTCATATCTGAGAAATTAAAACGGACGACAAATCGAACGATGACTTGGCGGACGATAGAGACTGTCGTCTTAAGTTGTTTGTGCTTCCATTCTTAGAGTACTGTAAGGGAAAAGTCATAACATATGAAAACTCTTCATAAAGGATAAAAAGATGAAGCTCTCAGTGCTAATCAATCCCTGAGGCATTCGCCATACATCCAACTTCATTAAGCACCACTGGAGTTGACTGAACGCATATCTGGCCTTTACAATGATTCGCGGCGGTCTACCGATATACCGAGCCAGTGCTGCTACTCTCTCAGACAAGTCTGGTACCCATTTGCCGACCCTGGACGGATGAAGGGCTTGGTGTACCTTGGGAACGGGAATTGATCCCACGTGTATTTGGCGTCTCCAACCAATGCGCAACACAGTCCCCCGGAAAAAAAAACAAACGAAAACTTCACAAGTACGTAAAGCTCACGGTGAACAATAGTGGAAGGCTTGTGCTTGAGCCCTGACCGCAGCCATTGAAATGCGTCTTGGAAGCGGACGGTTTCCTGAATTAGAAATTTAACCTTACATATAGCAGAGGAATTTCCGAAGAAACCAACAAGTCTACAAGTTTAAGAACGTGGTAAAACGTTAGTGGAGATAGAACGCTGAGAAAAGCAATGAGGATGAAGTGAAATTAGTACAGCTTACTGATCTGCGTCAGACACCGACTTCAAAGATGAGTTGTTGCCCGAAGACGAACTACTTTTCGAAGTGGCTTGCTGAAATGGTTAGAAAAACGTGGGTCAAAAAGCACGAAATCGGAGGTGCAGAATTATTTGAGCAGGTATTTATGCGTGAATGAGTAGGCAATCGAGAAAATCCAAGAGACTAACCGCATTGTTGTGCATTCCGACTAACTACCCTAAGCAGATTACTGGTATCTCATTAGTGCTGAGTCCTCACGAAAGCTGCTCTAACATCAGAGGCGCTATCTTCGTACTGTAATTGGGGCATATTTGTGAACAATCGACGAAATTTTGCGGACATTTGCTGCCAAACGCTGCGCTGTATAAGATAATCGTTACTAGCGTAAAATACTGACTTAGAAACTCTAGATGGCCCTTGTTCACTGGTTTTGCTGCCCCAGAATATTTTCCATTTTTTCGGAGTTTTGCTGCTCTAGCCACTGTGGTTTCCTGGGGTCCGGAGGTAAGTCAAACCGGTCCGGCCGAGGTCGTCACCACCGCAAGCAGTGGCCGCTCTTGTGGATCAGAGGGAGATTTGCTACCATTCGACTACTTTGATACCAGGACGGTGGTGGATCCTGCTATTGGTTTACTCTTAGCTGGGCTTCCTGGTGGCAACGCCGGACCCCTTCTAAGCAGGGGTACCCTGCCTGGCGATGAATCCTCCCGCTGTACAGCCATGATGAAGCGGTAAGCCGTTGGAAGGAGTGTAAAATAAAGTATGGGAATTGGATATTGATAATGAGATATTAGTAAAAGTGGAACAATGGAACATTAAGTGGTACTCGGTGTAATCCATAGGCACCTGTTTTTAACACATTTGCGACGACGCCTAGTTTCTCCCTATCCGACGTATCTTTGTTCTGTGAAGTTACGATGGTGCAGACTCTTCATCAGCCCGAAAACAGGCTTCTGGTGAACTACGAAACGACAATTTATCGAAAGAACAATCTGAACCGTTTTACTTACTGCCTATTCTTTTTTAACGGCAGGGTATATATTGCTCCCCAGATCAACCGCGCTGACGAGTGATTACTGGTGGCAAAAGATCAATAAAACTAGCTGAGAGACACGCGAAACGAAGGACCCACATGGTGTGGTGGTGAACGCGTTACTCCCCGGAAAGGGTAATAGCGCGTTCCTTTCCCACTGCAGACACCTGCGGTCCGGTGTTTTGCAAATATCTCAGAATCATTAAAGTTATATATCGAAAGAACACTTCTCCTGGATAAGCTTACGCTAGAACATCTACATTGAATAAGCTCTTTATTGATTAAAAGAAGTATAGGAAAAAGCCTAGATGCACCAAAATAAACAGCAGGAAACAAAGTAACCTCTGTAGAGGTCATACTGCCACAGTGTCCCTCTATAAATGGCGTCTATAGAGATCACGGCCTGACGAATGCGTTAGTTTATGGTGACGTCTCGTGCAGCAGTGCATATCTTTTATTCGATGGTCTCTGATGGTGATCATGGAGAAGGCTGAACGGTCGTTGCAAAAAAAAAGATGTTGAAAAGATTCCGCATGTGAGTAGAGCTGGTTTACATGGATGACTCAAGCCTTCGGTAACCTCGTCACTGGGTGTTTTTTGGCACAATACCTGTGCTTTTTAGCATCTAAGTTTACGATTCATTATTCTATAGCCCTATCGCTTCATCATATTGGAGTAATAGGTTTTTCGCTTTAGACGTATGTATCAATGGATCAGGAATGAGTAAAGGATAAAGGTATAAAACTCTTGCCTTTAATCAATTCCTGAGAGATGCGCCATATATTGGAGTTCACCATACATCTGTACAGGTGATTGGTGAATATTTGGTCTATACAATATCTCGCAGTGGCTTACCAATTTAGTGAATCAGTGCTGCTATCTTCGCGGACAAGTCTGACGCCAATTTGGAAACACCGGAGGGATGAAGACTTGGTGAGCGGATTGCGCGAGATCGATCCCATGTGTACTTCAATGCGCCTCTAGCCACTGCGCTACACTCATAGCCAGGATAGTATATTTCAAATATCTGACCTAAGACAACGTTTTGATGCTAACATTTTCGCGACGACGTGACCTGTGTGCGAGTCATGCAGGGTTGTGCTGGTATGGCCTCTACAGAGGTCATTTTTCGAGATGGTTTATTCTTTACGTATTTTATTTGGGTGGACTGATACATTATACAGCATAGATTCTGTTGTTGGTTTCTATCGGGAAGAAATATCTCTGCACTTGGAACAGTTAGAAAGAAAACTCTTCCTGAGTAAATTTTTCCATGGGCCGGTAATTTCACAGCTGCTTGACTATTATTTTGTTTCTATTCTCTTGGTGAATCGTGGTTATTGTATGAATTGGGCTGATGTAGGAAAGAAAGAGGAGGTTGGTTAGGATTTTTAAGTTATACTGTTCCTCTCCATTTGGTAAACGATCTTTAATGAGATGGAGTTCGTTTCAACTCTGTGCGCTGTTCTGTAGCCAAAAAGCAAGGATCAGGGCGTATAGAGCTTTCTTTGGGCAAGTCGTAGTCCTATCCAACTTCAGTTTTCTGATCTGGTGGAACAGTCTGGCGATGTCGGATCTACGGAACAAACTTCTGATTCAAGAACTACTACGTCGTTGCAGTTTCCGTGAAAATTTCTTTTTTTTTGAGTACGTTCAAGAAACAACCCTTAGTCTTCGGTCAGGTTTCCTCTGACTGAGGTGCTAATAATCTAGATAAAGGGTTTTGTTTAAGAGATTCCTTTCATACACAACTTGTATCTATTTCTTGAGCGGTAACTAAGACACTTTTCAAATTTTTATTTTAATCGACTGCTTGCACTGAAGTTATCAGAGCCACTACAAAAGTTGTGTTACACAGGTGACAAAGAGGACCATCTCCCATTTGTGGGCGCATTTGTGCGGCTTTCCTTGTAGGTCGTGTGATCACGCGTTCTATGTGCACATAACAAGTTCTTCTCTGGTAAGTGGGTTTCCTCTAAACAAGTGTGGTTTGGACATGACTTGAGCACAGCGGTTTTCATCTCTGCTTTTATCATGTACTGCGAATTTCTTGATCCTGAATTTCCTTCACGATATTCTCGCATTTTAGCTCTGGTGTTTCCGGTAACATCTTTCCAATCACTTTTTGTTGTAGACCACCTCTTGAGAAGACCGTAAAACTTAACTCATCATGATTTACTCCACATGTTGATGAGTAGCAGTTAATTATTGTAGAATTCTTTTGATATGGATCCTGTGGACGACATTTGGCAAGGTGATGTGGTCCGAAATCGTTTGAGACTCCATGTAGCACCGAATTAGTGTAAGACAAAAGCCGGAGCGCTGATGTATAATGACACAGTTTTTCTATACGGATAATAAAGGTTGCGCTACTATGGTAACGTTAGTTTTCGACATTGCTATAGATTGCTATCCATGAAATTCTATGAAATTTGTCAAAGTCGTAGTTCTAGGTTAATAGACGGGCTAGATTTGTTCCAGCACTTCCTTTTTATTTCTCGTCTTCATTTATCGCCAATAGTGCAGTGCCTGAAGGACATCATATTTTTTGATACGAACCGCTTCGTCTTTGTTATTTTTGCCGAAGAGTTCTACATCTACGCGTCGAGGATCCGTCTGGCATTGTTTTACTGGGTTTCAACATGAAAACTATTGAGAATTCGGGCCCAAGCCTCAGCATGTGCAATCCTTCCAGCAACGTCATATGAGGAACCCGATGTTCACTGATACGACGTGCTGTTAACTCACATGGCGGTCAATTTCAGGACCCCTGCACAATTCATCACAGGCGGCCGGGACCGAACCAGAGATCCTTCACTCCACTACTTAACCACTGAGCCAACGACCACTCGAGCGTGGTCGGCGAGGCTGCCTGAGATATTCCAAAGCACAAGAGAGTGAAAATACCTATTTATGCATGAGACATTGTTGTCGTAGTACCACCTACCACAATGGTACTATTTGTGTTCAAATGCAACATATTAACAAAATAGCAGCTTTTTTTGGTTTTGGTATCAATAAAGGTATAAGCCTTAAAAAGTCCGACAGTAGATTTCAAAAATTATGTGGGACAAATTTTCTAGGTATTAGCTTTATTTTCACCTCATAATTGATTTGACCAACTTTATGAGACTTGTGAAGTAAAGTGGACGATTTTCAGTTTTTTTTCAGAGCAGTTTTCTGTTTGTGATTTTTAACTAAAATCTATCTAACCACAACGTTGCTGAGATATTTGCAAAACTCTGGACCTCAGGTGTATGCTCCCCAGATCAATCCCGTTGACTGGTGATTGCTGATGACAAAAAGATCGATAGAACTAGCTGAGAGACAGACAAGACGAAGGACCCGCATGGTGTGGTGGTGAACGCGTTACTCCCCGGAAAGGACAATAGCGCGTTCGTTCCCCACCATAGACACCTGCGGTCCAGAGTTTTGCAAATATCTCAGCAACGTTGTGGTTGTATTTCGCTTAGTAACCAGCCATGAAAATTATAGAAGGCAGAAAACAAAACGTTAAACATTAAAATCTATTTATTTAAGTATTGCCATAATTTTCATATTTTCCTTTCCTCTTTCTGCCAACTGTTGGTTACAGTGTGGCTGTGTTGTCGTTTTGTCTCATATCTACGAATGAAAAAAATCCTAGGATGCAGATCGACTTTTCCTTCAGCGAAAATCATCATTACATCTTGGTGTCTCCTGGTCCTTTGTCCTGTGAGCGATGTGGGCAGAGGTATACCGCGCGTGTGAATGACTTGTGAACGCGCGGAATTGTCGGCAATTTTCCACTAGTGGCAGCCATTTTTGTCAAGGTTACCTGTGATTGAAGTGAACCGTCATTGCCATCACACTGCAATCTGACTGAATCTGGTCTCACTTCTTAGCTGCAGCACCTTATTTGACTCCAGTAATCCGCTTAATACTTCTGAACTTATTTGACCAGCCACTGATGAATGGCCTGTACTAAGGGCAAAAAAGAGAAGAAAAGTAGCATCCACATTTCATGAAGTCGTTAGTGCTTTCCTAATGGTATTTGTGTTGGGTGTACGCATTTCAGCCGGGATGGAAGGACTATACGATTCAGTTATTCCTTAAGAAGCTATAGATAAGGTTTAAGAGAATCCGCTGAGGATATCGTTATCGTCGACACGATAACTAATTGCCATTTAA